GCTGCTTCTCGTGTCTGTTTTCCCGCCACGGACTCAACACTGGCGACGAGGATGGGATGCCTTGCACTACCTGGAAAGGAAAAGTGTAAGCTTACCCAAGGAGTCCTGAGCGGCGGAAGAGGAACGGCGTCGACTCGGCAGCTGCCCGCCAATCCGGTGCGCATTCGGGGGTAGGCTGGCTGATAGACCCGTCTCCTGAAGATCCGAAGATGGCGAAAATCGGAAGGCTTTCGGAATTCGACGTCTCACATCCAGAGCGGTGGGAGTCCTACGTATCCAGAATGGAGAACTACTTCAAGGCAAACCAAGTGAGGGAAGATAGCTTGAAGGCGCCACCCTGCTTTGCGTTTGCGGCCAAGACGCCTTCGAAATCGCAGAAAACCTTGCAGCACCTGTCCCAGTAGAGTCTGTAAGCTACGCAGACCTGAAGAAGCTGCTGAAGGAGCACTTCCACCCCAAGGTGTCCGTTATCTCATGGCGCCACACCTTCGAGCAAAGGGAAGGGCAAGAGCTACTGCCCATCTCCACTGAGGGAGCCACAAACGGCTCGTCCCAAGGTTCTGCAATTGCTCCGAAAAGAAAGTCATGGAGCTTACCCACACAACAGGCACTCACGCCTACTCCAGCCAGGGAGTCACCCCGGGGGCATACTCACTTTCCACACACATCACACAGCACTCCAGCAACGGAGGATACCCGGGGGCATCCCAACAAATCATTCCCCGCAAGAGAGCTGGCACACAATTCCCAAGGTTGGCCTGACCTTACCCCAAATCCTACAGGGGGTCAAACATACAAAGAGTTAGTCGAGGAACCAAGTCCTGACTACAACAACCCTAGCACAAATCAGGGAACACCTGAGTTTTGGGAAAGTACAGAAACACACACGAGCCCGAACACAGAATGGGGTTCAGGGAATGGACAGCCTCCTGACAGGTCTTGGACTGACCTAGGAGGTTCTACAGAGACGCCCAGCAGCGGCTATCACTTCAAGGGGCCTGAGGGTCTACAGCTAGGTAGGTCAACCAGGTCACAAAGTAACAGAAGCCCTGGCCTGACGAGCCCGGTGGGCAAGCAAGCAGGCCAGGTATCGGGGCACAGTCCTTGGAAGACACCAGGGCTCAATAGAGAGAACAGGCTCACGCCTCCCTCCAGTCAGGGGACTTATGCCAGTAATCCAGAGCTAAGAAGGTCACAGAGAGCAAAGAAATCTCCCAAGTACCTAGAAGACTACATAACATTGCTGGCAAAGCAAAAGCCAGTAAACAGTGGGAACATTGGGGAGCAAAATGTCGTATAAAATAAATGTTGTATGTTGGTAGTAGTTTTAGCCCGGGGGAAAGGGGTGTTATGTCCCGAGCCTTTGCAAACGGCTCGGGCGTTTGCAGGCAGTCCCGGGCAGGTGCAAAGCTGCCCGGGACCAGACAGGCTGTCGCCAGCGCCGTGCGCATGCGCGGGTGCTGGCGCGGGAAAAGTAACCCATTTTACCCGGGAGTTGCCTATATAAGAGGCTGCGAGGCGTTTGGGCGAGGCTGAAGCCATCTTCCTGTAAGCTGAACGCTGAATAAATGAAACTGAGAACTCCAGCTGCTTCTCGTGTCTGTTTTCCCGCCACGGACTCAACAGATAACATGAATGAAAAATAAATTGACAGGTTCTTCACAAATCCCCTGTTCCCAGGCATAGAAATGGAGCTAGGTATAATTATCTCCACAGGATACTGTTCCAGAGAGTAGGGGCATGACAGATTAGGCTGTCATGGTTTCAAGGGTAATCTCATGTAGGGTCCCTTGTACTGATTGAAATAGTACAGACATGAGGTCACTAGGGCATGAGTGACCATTTGAAGCCCCCCTCAGTTGAGAAAAGGATACAATTGACATTCATGATGGACCCATGCAAAGGCCCTCCTCTCCACAGCTATCATCTGCTGTTTGAGTAGTAGCTGTGAGTCTAGGACAGTTCCCAAAGTGCACACTATTTAGAATGAGGAAATGCAACATCGCATTTTGGAGTTCTGTGTGATAATATTTGTGATGGTTGATCCCCTGTTTCAGAAGAAGAGAGTGGCCAGGCAAGGTCAGCCAACCTCTTATTCTTGCAAGACTTCTCAAATAGTAACAGCTGCTTGATACAGCTCTTTCATCAATGAAGTATTTTGAAGAAAAAATAATAACATGGCAGTTTGTTATATTTTTGTCTGTCATTCTTGGTTGAAAATCTAGCCAGGAAAAAGGGTCTGAAACTATTGAAGCAGAAGAAACTATTATTATATGGTCTCCTTACCTCCTAATGCCTTTGCTAGGTCAGGTTCTTTCAGTTTGACTGTTCCTGCTTTGCTACAAGATTCTAGTGAAAAGATTCATAGAAAAACAAATGGCTTCAGTAGGGCCAAGGTCAATGCAATAGTGCTTAAGGCAAGGAAACTGTCAAACTAAATTAAATAAAGTGAGCTAGTGAGGGAGGATTGAACTGGAGTAAAAGGAATGCTAGTAAGACCACAAGTTTGGGGAAAATCAATGAGAAGGGGAGAAGAAATCTGTCATGGAGATAAGGCTGGAAGGAAGCGGTTTATTAGAATTGCTGTGGTGGAGGATGAGTCAGATTCAGTGTAATTGTGATTTTGACGTCTGATTTCTTTGCTGCTTTGTTCCTAAATTTAGCTTTAAGACGGAAATGCAACTTTTTTGAGTTCCACTTATTTTAACTATATTTGATTTGAAAGAGTTTATGCTGCCCTTTCCTGACTTTCATATAGAAGCTGTTGAAAGGCTAGAATTTTCTTGTGACTGTTACTCCACATATTAAGGTTGTATACAGATAAACATCATTCTACAATGAGCCAATAATAGAAACTAGATTGCAACATTCCCAGTATGTATCTTAAGGAGAACCTCTTTCACTGGCTTACAGCAAAATAATATTTTTACAATACTGATTCACCATTTTTATGTCAGACTCACATCTGTGCTCCCTTTCTACAAGTATAATTTATGAACATAAAGACTGTTTAAAAACCTAGGGAAAGACAAGAAAATGCTGAACAAATAACTGTGGTGAGCAAACAAAAACAGATTGACTGAAGTCTGTTTATGTATCTTCACATGATGGTGCCTATACTTCAGAATAAATGAATACTTTACCTGGACGCTAGATAGAGTTCTTGCATGAGAATGCAGATATTTTATATGGCCTTGCTTGAAGTGTCACAAAAGCTCATGTGGGAAGACTGAAACTTGTCTGTTTCACAATTTGTATGTTTTCATTTTAAATCTATATTTTTATTTGATGGGTTTGCCTAGGTGTTGCAGATGCCATGGTCCTAATACTCAACTGAGAGTCAGTTTCAGTATTTTGAGTGTCCACAACTGCCTCTGTTTCTGTATTATTCTACATCAGAAGTTTTCAAACATGACAGGATGTATAGACTTCAACTCCCAGAATTTCTGGCTGGGGAATTCTGGGAGTTGAAGTCCATATGTCCTAAGCTGACAAGTTTGAAAAGCACTGTTCTACATAGCAATAGCGCTCTTAGACTTACATATCGCTTCATAGTGCTTTACAGCCCTCTCTAAGCAGTTTACACAGTCGGCATATTGCCCCCAACAATTTGGATCCTCATTTTATCGACTGTGGAAGGATGAAGGTTGAGTCATGTTACTGTAATGGATATGCTAGAATATTTTTTTTGATAGAAATTAGCTTGTTTTCCCTTAATGGGATAGTTTTTAGAAAAAGCTATACATCTGGTCATGTATTCCTTTGTAATATACTGGAGGAACTTCCAAACCAGATCAAAGATCGCTGCTGTTCCTTAATGTTTCTCATTTTTAGATTGCACATCTGCTTTTCTGAAAGAAGTATTGACAATATTGGAGAGAACATGCAATTTTCTCTAAGTTTCTGTACAAGTTTATTTTTCAAAGTGTAAAACAGTGGTTCTCAACCTTTTTAATGCCGCGACCCCCAACCAGTCGTAAGTCGAGGACAACTCAACCGGTTGTAAGTCGAGGACTACTCAACTGGTGCAGCACCGTTTGCAGAATGGGACTTTTGGTGGACTCAGCAGGGCAGAGACAGCCTGGACAATTCCTATTGGCTTTTGAACGCCAATAGAATTAGACTCTATTCAAGAGAGTTTATTCTATTGGCTTTCAAAAGCCAATAGAATAAAAAGGAGTAGCACAGCTAAGGAAAAGGGGGAAAAAAATGGCGGATTGCGTTGTTTGGCGACCCCCGTGAAATGGTCGTTCAACCCCAAATGGGGTCCCGACCCACAGGTTGAGAACCACTGGTGTAAAACTTCATGAAAAGCTGATAATTGTCTGCAAATACATTACCTACACTAATTAAATCAGGCAATAGATTGCAAGTATATTATTGGTGTAACTGCAGGGTTGCCATGAGCAATTTCAATAAAATGCATTTTCATTTAAAATGTGACAGACTTGATGGTAGTTTTTGTAATAAGTTTAGATTTTCTGATACCACAATTTGGGCTGCAATTTTGATGGAAAAACTAGATTTACTTCATTACCTCCTTGCTAATCTTTATCTTCTTGCTCTTATGTAGAGGAAACACAGGGCGACTTTAGAAATTTTACCTATTCAGAAGAGTCATGCCTCATAGTACTATTTCAGAATGCATGAAGATACTATTCAAGATTAGTGTGGGAGAGCTAACTTCCAATTATTTAGAACACTATTACAATTATTCATGGCTGCCAACATTTAAACCTGTTTCATACTGCCCATGTGACTTTTAAGCCATGACTTTCCTAGTTACAGGAAAATATTGGCAGATTATCACTTCTGTTAACTCATAGTTAACTTCCATCCCATGAAACATCCATATTTAAATCCTGTCAGAAGAGTTACTTTCTTAAGGATATAGAGGTGACCTTTCAGTTTCTGCAGAAGGAAATAACAATATTCAATAACCCAAATTGCAAGCTCTATGCATGGTCTTTTTTTCAACTTTTGCAATTCTTGTTCTATAGGTGTGTTGTTGTGCTGTTTAACCCCAGGAAAAACAAGCAGCATCATATTCTAAACAGCTCCAGGTAAGTGAAAATACAGTTCTCAGTTACTAACATGTTTACATTGTCTTGAAGTAAATGTTGAGGATTTATCCAGCTGTAGCATTCAATGAATTCTTCCTAATTAAGAACTGTGTCTCACCTTTATAGCTTATAATGGACATATTCACACACACACAAATTGGGAAGCAATGCGTACAAAGAGCAATAAGCTTATAGGAATAGTTTAAACTGGTATCACAGAATTTCTTTTTTATTCTTTGGAAATTTATTACTGAAATGAAATGCTGAATTTCCTTTATGTTGAACTCCAGGGTATACATACATTATGAATGCCAGAAATCAAGTTCATGGAGATGATAATTGTGGGGAACAAAATTGTGGTTAAACAGCTGATTTCTTAACTTCGGCGAATTAAAATAACGTAAGATTATTCTGCAGTTCAGGTGCTTAAAGCAGTAAAGCATTTACAGAGTGAACTGTTGCACATTGAAGTGTTGTGTTTCTCCTTTTTATGAAATGCTGTGGAGGCCTGAGCTGTTGAAGCCTTTTTTCCATAAATGACTCTTGCCCTGATGTAACATCTGAATAAATCTCTGTTGAAAAAGTGTGCTAAAGCAACTATCAGCTTCACACAGATGTCCATTTTCTTCCGCTTTCCTATGTTTTCTCCCATACTGCCTAGAATCATTCTGGACTTAAGCAGCTTAAAAATTCAATGAATGAATGGTCTGACAGACAAATATTTATACAACAGGCTATGTTGCTTCAACACCTAGGCAAATAAGGATGTAGTGTTTGGCTCTTGTAAAACTTTCCTTCATAGTGCAAGGAACAGGAACATCACTGAAACTGTATGGCCTTATCTTAATTTTATTGAGTTGAAAATGCCAATATTGCGGTGATTTTGTAGTCTTTCACAGTAGGATTTATTCTTTTCTACAGGAAGACTATTACGGCCCTTGCTTTTTCTCCTGATGGAAAATACCTGGTTACTGGAGAGGTAAGTTATGGTCACATGCTCTCATGTGCCAGAAATTCAAACATTCCTTCATATTTCTTTCTTTCCTCTATGTATTCAAAATGGACAGTGATTGTGTGTGTGTATTGTGTGTGTATATAGATATATAATGTGTGTGTGTGTGTGTGTGTGTATAGCATAGTTATATCTGTGTTATGTATATGTACGGGTAGATATATACTTTCTTTGAGAGTAGGCAACAGAATTTCATTTTTAATGTGGGGCAGTGTGCTCATAGTAAAAAATGACAATAAAGGTTATCTTATCTTATTTCAATAATCAAGTAAGGCCAGAATGACCTAAAAGTCTTCCTCATGATCTGGACTATGGAGAGCGTCATGATACAACAAAAATATAGCTCCTTGCTTAGGGTAGCAGAAAAAAGGGATCTGGGATCCAGGTCTAAGCTTGCTGTTGCCCATCTATCTTGAAAGATCAGAATTCCTAGTTATATGCTCTACACCAGCGTTTACTGCTACTTGGAACCGCAGGAAAGTGTAGATGACTGCCAACTTCCCCTTTTCCATTGATATCTAAGGTAAAGAACAATGGTTGTGGCCAATTGCTGCCTACCCTTCCACCTCAATTTAAGCCTCGCTCTTGAACAAGCTTAACTGATGGAGACATCATTTTGAGGGCATGGGATCTAGGCAGCTACTCACCAGACTCACTATTGGAAAAACCTATATACTTGAAATAGCATGCTTGGGAAGAGCAGTGCTGATAGCTTCAGTAATGCTATGGCTGCACAAAGTTTCAAATGGAAGCAGTTATTAGGAAAGTCATCAAGAGCTGGACCTGATTTAATATCTCTATCAAATGAACTTATTTCTTTTTAAATCTTCAAAAACAGGAAAAATTTACACTTTGAAAAATAATTATTTTTCTCCCAATATCACCAGAATGTTTTTGAGGTCCCCAAATCAGTGTCACCAGGACACTGTTGTCATATATGAGGGCAATTCAGAAATAAACCTCCATTTGGTTATCAGTGACAGGTACTTGCAGATACAGAACTTTTACTATATACATTAGAAAACTACAACATTGTATTACTTTTTGACATAATCTCCATTCAAATTGAGGCACTTGTCACAACGTCCTACAGGGATTGAAATTTCTTAGTAATAGTCGCTCGGGACCAAATCTGGGCCACGGGGGGGGGGGATCAAATCCCAATGGAACTGCTTCAAAAGTTCTTGGGTGCGTCTAGCGGTGGGCAGGTGAGCATTATCGTGAATCAACATCACATAGGAAGTGGTGCCATAGAAAATCCCACCAAATGTGAAGATGCCAAAGGAATACTGCTAGTGAAGTTCATGAAGTGTGGTTCAACCATCAGTTTAGAAGTCTGCTGTGAAATGTTATGAAAACTCAGATGAGCCATCCATAACAAGCGTTGGGGCATGCTGACATCCAGTGTGGTGTTGGTTCACGATAATGCTCGCCCACACACCGCCAGACACACCCAAGAACTTTTGAAGCAGTTCCATTGGAATGTTTTTGATCACCCCCCCATAGTCCAGATTTGGCGCCGAGCACCTACTACTAAGGAATTTCAAACCTTGTAAGATGTTATGACAAGTGTCTCAATTTGAATGGAGATTATGTCGAAAAGTAATGTAATGTAGTTTTCTAATGTGTATAATAAAAGTTTTGTATCTGTGAGCGTCTGTCATTGATAACCAAACAGAGGTTTATTTCTGAATTGCCCTCGTACATTCCAGTCTATCTGTGCTAGATTTCATCTGTGAATGTGTCACCAGGGTCTATGGTTAATGGTGAACATGGGCTTTTTGTACAATGGTCACATTTTGTTGATAATTCATGGAATCTCCAATGCAAGCTTGTGAACAAAGGTAAAAAATATGTTATTGTGGGTACCTAAAGAAGATTCAGTCTCAGTGAAAGGTAAGAAGAGTTGCTCAAATTGCAAATACATAATTACTAAAATATTTTAATAATGTCTTGTTTTATTAAATAGAAGGAAAATACTTAATCTGTGGATACATTGATTTAAGTGGCTGGAGAAGTAGAGAGGAAACCATAATGAACTAGTTGCTCATTTGGGATTGTTTTGCAGTTAGAGCTGTTAAGGAGAGAACATTTAGAGCAGGGAAGCCAAAGAGATGGATTTGTAAGGTGAAAACCATTTGAAGGCGGTATATTTGATTTAGAAAATTTAATGAACTGTAGACCAGTTTTGTGTTGCACTCTCATGTTCTCTGAAGCACCTCTTTCAAAGCAAATCCTAATGTGTCCCCCTTAATTTTCTGTAGGAAATGAAAGGGTGGTGTTGGTTTCTGCTTTGGATGGTTGCACTTTGGGGTACAAAGAAGCCAATGTGTACTGCATAGTCTTATTTACACTTTTTATGAGGAAAGGTCTTTGGGGAAAAAATTGAATATAGTGACAAAGATGCTGATACTTGCGGATTTGGCAGGGCTGGGTTTAATTGCTGGCAAAAAGTTTTCATTTTAAAAAAATGTACGAAGCTAGTAAAAGACAGTATTCAGTTTCTAATGGAGACCAGATATACATACAATGCTACCATTGTGTGTTTTATGAAGATTGAATTAGTGCTTGCTTGAAGCCCACAAAAATGTTGACAGCCTCTTGTTGTCCATGTTGGATGCCTGCCATGTGTGTCCAAAGAAGCTGATTTACTAATGGACTGTGTACACAATCCCTTCATTATCTTGAATGCTTTGGACTGCAGTTATTGAATTCAAGGGGTGATTCACCCCACTCCCACCAACTCAAGCAATGAACTGTAGAATGCCAATGCTAGTCACATGACCTGCAAGCTTGTAACTGGGTCAACATAAGAATAATTGTGCAGGATTTTAAATGTTAGATTTGAGAATGGGCAACAACATATCCTCAATCGCTTAAGAGCAAAGCAGGAGCTTCTCCTATTCCATGATAATCTGATGCTCAGAACATTTTGCCACAGGATATAAAATCCTAAGTTGGAAAGGTCCTTTGAGGTCAGCCCCTGCTTAATGCAGGATTTACAAAGTGGGAATGCAATAACTGTATCTTTGACAGATGGCTGCTCAGCCTCTAGCCTCTCATGACTTTTGAAGCAACAGACTGCTCATCTTCTTTTGGACTTTTGAAGATTTTCCCCTTCAGAACATTTTCCAAACTTTAAATCAATGGAGCTAACTGTTAGCTCTGTTTGACTATGCCTCATAAACATTGCAATAACAGCAATCCATTATCCTTTTTTTTTTAAAAAAATATGCTTAGTGGCAATATAGTAATCAATGGCAAAAGGCTGGAATAGTTCACTCTGTAGGGAAGAGGAATTCCTGTAACTTTAAATGGCAAGGGATTGGATAAATGTTAACACTGACATTTCATGCTTGGGCAGCTGGGGTCTTACGTGGTGTTGGTTGTAGAATACAATGCCTCCATTGCTTCCTCCTCTTCCTTAAAATAAGGGCAACAATTCTCCGCTTTTTACTCTCATGCAGTGATTGCCTATAATGTTGACTTTGCTTCTGCTAGTATTAATTCTTCAGGATAGTTTTGTATTGTGAGATATGTTTTTTTTCTTTTTTCACTGAACCCTGTTAGATAAGTATTCATCTTGCTCCAACTTAATCTTATATATCTACAGTATTTCCCTTAAATATATTTCCCACCTCAGACTAAAAATGTGAATATTATAAGCTATCCATTACAAGAATCTCTAAACATGACTTTAGAGATTGTGGGAGAATAGTATAGGACAGGACAGGACAGGACAAGACAGAACAGGACAGGACAGAACAGAAAGCAACAGAATCATCATCATCAAAGAAAGCAACAGAATCATCATCATCATCATCATCCCCCCAATAAGAGAAGGGAGTAAAGAAGATATGAAGAACAATAAATGATAATATTACACCCATACTACATGGGTAAATATACATAGTTATGAGACAGCAGTGTGAGAATTAGATGTTCAGCAGATTGATGATGCGAGGAAAAAAACCTGTCTGCGTATCTAGTTGTTTCGGCATGCAATACCCTGTAATGTCCTCCCAAGGGGAGGAGTTGAAAGATTATGTCCAGGATGTGAGGGATCTACAGAAATCTTCTCAGCCTTTCTTCTGACCCATGCAGTATACAAAACTTTAGTTATATTACCCACATTTTGCATATGATCTTGAGATCTACATCAGTTAACACACCAATGAAGATAGATACATTAAACCATTTCCAGAGGTGTACTTTTCAAATGGAGATTTTATTTTCTAGATGGTGTCCATTTTTATTTATAAATTTATTTCTGTTGAGCTTACCCAATTCTTCTATTAGAGCTAACTTCGATTGGGTCTTGTAAACTGGGCTAAAAACATGCAATATACATTTCAGTAAAATAGCAGCAATTTTGTGATTTATGTAAAAATGATATATGGCAGAATTCAGCTCTGGGGATCTAGTCCTTTTAACAACCACTGAGCAAAAGTCAACATTTGTTACTAGAAATGACAAATACCATTCTAGACTCCAAGACCTGATGAAAGAGCCATGATTTGATGGATTTTGCGAAAGCCAGGTGCTATTTGGATATCTGGCAGAATATTATTTTATAGATGAGAAACAAGGACTGAGAAAAATTGCCTCTGTGGTAGCGGTGAAGATGGCAGCCCATGAGTGAAAAGACAGAGCAAGCTTTTTGAGTGACCTTCAAGTCAGTGCTGACTGCTGGAGACTCCTTGATGGGTCCCTGCAGTGTTCTTAGTAGAATTTCAGAAGTCGGTTTTCCCTTGCCTGCCTCCTAGGGCTAAGAGAGAGTGACTGGCCTAAAGTCACCCAGCTGGCTTTGTGCATAACCCAGGACTAGAACTCAGGGTTTCCCAGTTTCTAACTTTGGTGCTTTAACCACTATGTCACACTGGCTCTCAAGCCCATTCTGGTGGATTTTATTAGTGAGGCAGATACTCCTAGGAGACTGTGGTCCTGCAGATATGTAAATGCTAGATCACACAGGGCATTAAAGACAATCAACACTTTAAGCTAACCTGGAAGTCTATTGGGAGCCTTCTTTTACTCTCCCTCTTCCACATTTTTATTCACAGCCACACAACCTTTGATGTCTCATTTCATCTTCCCTTAACCATTACAGTTCATTAATCTGAATCTGTGAAAAGATAGGGTTATGTGTGCCTCAAACACCTAGATTTCCCATAGACAGAATTTTAAAGAAAAACATCTGAAATTGTGGCATTCACAAATAGTCTGACTGTTCAGTTGTTTTTTGCCAAACATACAGGAATTAATATTCCTTTTTGTTGCTGTTGTCTTATGTCACCCAAGGAGATGTGGAAAAGCATGTTAGTCAGGTATTAGTGTGTGAACTTGGGTACTGTATATCTTTAGAAACAAAGTTAAATATTTGTAATAGCCTTTACGACCAACTCAGAAGATGATGGGCCAGTGGCACTTTTCAGCAGCTTAGACAAGATTAAGTAAGTGATGAGATACGGAAGATATTTCAAATTTATGTCTGATAAAAAGAATTATGCTGCTCAAAACATGAGAAGTAGGTTGCCGTGAATTGCAGAAGCTAGGGTATGATGCCAGGTATGCAGTATTAGAATTCTAAACAAATGGGCATTTTTGTTGTGTCTTCACACTTGGCTTATTAAATGTGATTGGCAGGCATTCAGCCAACTAAGCATAATATTCAAGAACACCCTCCCACTTTGCTTGAAGAGAAAAGTTTTTGATCAGTGTGTGCTACCTACTTTAATATATGCCGATGAAACATGGACACTAACCTTGCAATCGATTGCTGCATGTGTTTTACCAGAAGAACAAAAAACTTTGATGGTTGAATTGTGAAGCTATTGAGCCAGTTTTATCTGTGGAAGAACTGTTAGGGAAGCCAAAACTTGGAAAATGAGAGTTTCTCCCAGTGAGAAATTTGTTTCATCTTGTTTCTTCTTGTTTCACAGTGTGTCAAAGCACTGCAAAAGACTAGCTTTCTTGTGGTTGAGGATATATTGCAGGTGAACTGGAAATGAGTCTTCAATTCAGCCAGTGCCATGTGATTACAGATAGCAGAAAATATCAGAGCACTCTCACTCATTCTCTCTCTCTCTCACACACACACCTGTAACTCAACAGCATTCTTAAGACCTGCACAAAAGATGAAGCACTTAGTTTAATAGTAAATGCTCTTCCTAGTCCGTATTCAAATTAACAAAAGTAAAAATAAAGTTCTCCAAAATTCCTTATTGAGCATATAATTTATTTTTTATATATAATTCTCTACATAAAATCTAAAGACAGATAAAATTAAGTCTGCTCATGGAATAGGATTTTCTTTCATCCTGCACCAGTTTACCCATTTTAAGATTTTTCAGGAAAATCTCCTGGAGGTTTGAAGGTTTTCCTGCTTCCTATTCTGCTGATCAGTTTGCTGCTAACCCATATTTCCATTTTAGTTATGCTGTGAAAGGAGATTGTCTGAAGAATTGTCTTCAGGATTAACTCTGCTCTTTTGTAAATGTTTTGTTATTGTTGCTTCATGCAAAGTTGCTTTTGGTCTTTAAAACATCCCCATCAGGTTTCTGTGCTCATCTAGGAGCATTATGTGGTCTCATCTGAGTTCGAATTTGTACCTTTCCAGCCTTACGGTTACTGAGAAAACATGATTAGAATTTTAGATTAAAGATTCAATTCTTCAACCAAGATGAATCAACATATGGTTGTGTTAACATGCCAGTACCAAATCATAAGGCTGCCCATGAGAAGATGTGGCAAGTAAGTTGACGGTATTTTGGTTGGCCAAGTGTTGCATGATATGCGAATTCTTGCTTTGCCTGTCTGAAAGAGAAATCAGAGAGCAAAGCTAGCTTTACTTTTAATTTAACGATTTCATCCTCTGCCTTTTCCAAATGGATGAAGCAAATTCTTTTCTTCATACTTTCTCTATACATTGTCCAGTCTAGCTGTAAAAGACTGTCTAAGTTCACCTACATGTGAGTGGAGTCACATGTATGTGTAGACATAAGGGATGCCTGAGAATTAAGGAGACTATGCCTATGTTTCTACCCACCCAATCTGGAAGTCCTATATGAAATAAAACAGTGTACCTGTTGCCCTCTTTTTGCAATCGGTTGTATAATGTGGACAATGAAGAATGGATCCTTTTCCAGATTATTTAGGATGTTTTCTTTTGACTACAGGTAGTCCTCGACTTACAACCACAACTTGAGTCCAGAATTACTGTCCTTAAGCTGTCATTAAACAAGCCAATCATGCAATCCAGGCAGTAGTCTTATGCAAAATGTGGGTTGCCTTTGGGGATCGGGATGGTCCTGGGCTACTGAATGAATGGTCATAAGTCGAGGACTACCTGTAATGATATATGAAGCCATCAAAATGCAAACTAGATTCCAGTGTTGCAAGTTGATCCCAAAATAAAAATGATTTACAAACAAAACCTGCCACTTTTGGCCTGTCCTCCATGCCTGAATAAAAGTGCATGTAAGTGACTGTATTGTAACGGCAGATTCTCTTTCTGCTTACAGAGCGGGCATATGCCTGCAGTCCGTATATGGGATGTTGCTGAGCGGACCCAGATGGCTGAGCTTCAAGAGCATAAGTATGGAGTGGCATGTGTGGCCTTCTCACCAAGCTCCAAGTACATTGTCTCAGTGGGTTATCAGCATGACATGATAGTCAATGTTTGGTCATGGAAGGTAAATTATATAACAAGATTCTTTGTAGGCATTATTTGATCATAAGTTGCACTATGATACGCATTCAGAATACCTGTTTCCTCACATATAATCTACTCTGAGTTTCTGTCTCCTAGTTTGAGTTTGTTCTTGCTATGTATAACAAGGATACACAGCCTGAGCCCCAAGGATTGCATGAATTCTTGAAGATAGATAGCACGTGGACCAGAGCCCTTTCTAAATTTGCAATCAAATAGAACAATGTAATTTAAAATGTGGAGTGCAACCATTCTGAATATTTTTCATTATTTTAATTGAATTTAAAAGTCAATGATATGCAATTTCATCATGCCTGTAGGCCCTCCCTCCTTTTGGGAATATAGTCTTCAGCTCAAAAAGTGATGCTCACCTCACAGAAGAGGTCTGATAAAACAGTAAACTGCTGCCATCGTATCTCTATGTTGCAATAACTGAAATGAAAGGATTGTATTAGAGATATATGCTATATTTCAGTATGACAGAAATTATGTTAATTTAATGACTACCCTCTAGCCTTCAAAATACATAGAGAAATATTTCATTACTTTGATTATTAGTATGTAGAATAAACGTTCTTGAAATGGCATAGTAGTTCTAGTTAGGAAGATTCCCTCAGACTTCCACTTCTTGGTTTGTGCTAAGGCTCACGCAGCGAAAGATCACAGCATCCTTTTCATTAGATAGGAAGACAGGAAACTGACAGGGTCAGGCCATTTTGCCATCTCTGCCATGGTCTGCAGTGATGGATACTGATTTTTAGAGTGGAAGATGTCAAAGGATTGAATCCTGGGCCTTCTGCATGTTTGGGAACCACCGTCTCTCTCTTCTTAGGTTGGCGGGGTCCACACATTGTACCAAGTCATGGTTTATTTTAAATATGTTTAATTGTGTTAACCTTATTTGACTGGGTTCACAGAACAAGCTAAGACAAAAAAACCCTCATGTTATGGCTTTGTCTGATGCTTTTTTTTAAATTTGACATTCACTCTCAATGCAAAAAGCTATCCTATATTTTGTTTTAAAGAACTGGTAAATATATTCAGAGTTTTATTTGATTTCTTCTCTAAAAATAAGTGGCACACAAGTAGATGTCTCTTCAAGGAGCAAAGATTTGGGTTGGGTTTTTTTTTAAGGCCTCTTCAAAACATTGGATTATGCTTTGTGTTGACCAGAAACAAAGCCTTCCGTTATTGATACTATTTATCACAAAAGTGGTTTCTACAGAAAGAATAGCTGGTTTGATCAGGAGTAAATTGAGTGCTTAATATATTTCCTGGTATAACCAAAATGTGCTCAGTTTATCTAATTATATATGAGAATTCAGGACAATAAACAAGGTTATCATAAGGGATTAAAATGGCAATGATTTTTATATGCCAAATTAATGTTGGGCAATTTTTTGTTGTTGAAGTTAAGTGTGGTAAGCTGTCATTGCTAAGTCTGGATTTGTTCATTCTTGTATAATCTTTCTTCAGCACACTGGGCTGTTAGTCATAAATTGTTTCACTGCTTTTTATCTGTGCATGTTTATTAAGTGGTGTCAAAAGACTTTTTTCTGACCCGAATGAGTCAGGGGTAAATTCACCTCCAGATTTCTGATAATAGAATGCAAATCCTAGTATATCTATGTAAAATCATATTTAGATTTTTCTTTCATCTGGGGAGCAAGAGACTATGTGGAGTCATGTTACCTTATCTCTGCAGAATTTAAGGTTACTATCAATGCAGATGCCTAACCAATGGAAGGCCAAGATTCCTGCTTCATAGCTCCTTGGATCATTGGGAGGGAATCTACAGAAATTACCTCACCATTGGGAATTCCCATGGAGTTCTTGTGTCCTAACTCATGTGATCATGAGAGAGGTAGTTGCAGGCTTCTTTCTATCCATGAAGATTTTCTCTGTTCTTGCATCAGTTTTTGCTTTGTTCTGATTCTGTGAACTATCCCTCTTTATTTTGCTCATGCCAATGGTAGCAATAGCTCAATAGTAAGCAATATTTTTGTACAATATTTTCTAGCTCATATTTCAAACTTAATCCCTAGTGCCAAATGGCTACAAATATTGTTTGTCTCAGCAAAACTCTGCAACTTTCTTCTAAATGTTTGTCCAGAAGGTGTCTGTCTTTGTAACAGAATACAAATGTGTCCATTTGTCCATGTGCAAATATATATAAAATTGAGCATAGAGTCTTTAAAACTAAATGTTAATGTTAAAAGCCAAGAATACTGCAAATGAGCTGGTAGTGTGTCCTGAATAATACAAAACTCACTTTTGTCACTTGATCTGTTGAAGGCTGTAGCATTTTTATGTAGACAGTCTGGGATGTATTGCTGTGTATTCCCAGAGATCTTGTGCATAAATCAGACAAATAGATTTAATTAGAGGAACATCTGACTTGCTCAACTGTCTTTTTTCCAGAAAAACATTGTTGTGGCAGCCAATAAAGTCTCAAGCAAAGTGACAGCAGTTTCATTCTCTGAGGATTGCAGCTATTTTGTTACAGCTGGAAACCGGCACATCAGATTTTGGTACCTGGCTGATAGCAAAACCTCTAAGGTAAAGGACATTGTTGATGCTATTGAAAGAAGGGGAGATATTTGTAACCAAGATAATTAAGTCAGATTTACGAGTATTTCTGCAAAGTGTTAATTAAACCATTCCACTTCCCCAAAGCAAAACAGTCTTGACATGTTGTTCTTTCATGCCAGGTGAATGCTACAGTCCCCTTGCTTGGGCGTTCTGGTTTGCTTGGAGAACTGAGGAACAATTTTTTTACAGATGTAGCATGCGGCAGGGGTAAAAAAGCAGACAGCACGTTTTGTATCACTTCCTCTGGTCTGCTGTGTGAATTCAATGAGAAGAGGCTATTGGACAAGTGGGTAGAATTGAGGGTAAGTGGCTTGTTGAACTTGGTTATCTGTTCATATTAGAGGTGAGAAGATCTTTCAGTTCTGCCAACTTTTTTCCTAATGCGGAATTTTGAAAATGTAGGAATTGATGTCTGGATGGGATGATATCTGGTACCTTCTGTATGGCAAAAAAAAAGATATTTAAATTAAGTAGCTAAGTATGAGTCATATAATCTACTGTATAAGAGAGGCAATCTCTCTCTCCAAGTGTTTTCTGCTAACTAGATTTGGGTATTTGAAGTGCATTTCATTAGGAGAAAAGTTATCTGGAAAAATTCAGCAGCTTTCTTATACGTGTGCTTTTAAATTGCATTCTTATTCTCTGCTTGATCTATTTTAACTGTAGCTGTAGTTTTATAAATCTTCCAGAGTTTCACTCAGGCCAAAAATAGTCTCAAAACTGCTGGCAAACATGGCATCAGAGGGTACCTACTTTCTTAGAAAACAACCAATTTTACAGTCCATTCCTAATACAAGCACAAGCTATTTTAGACTTATTCAGTTGTGTGCTTGTATCCATTCAGCCATGCATTTGTACTTTGCTTCAGTTGCATAACCAAGATGGAAAAAGACTGATTGGTTGAAGCCCACTTATGTAGGATAACTTTCATGTAAATTGATTTTCCATAGACCTAAGTATTTCCTAGATCTGTGTTTAATTTCCAGTAGATCCTGAATGATGTGTTATTGTTGAAAGACATTATGAAAACCTTTTCTTTCTCATAAAATGGTAAATGCAAGGATTTAGGGCAGGGGTTCTCAACCTTGGCAACTTTAAGACTTGTGGACTTCAACTCCCAGAATTCTGGGAGTTGAAGTCCACAAGTCTTAAAGTTGCCAAGATTGAGAACCCCTGATTTAGGGCTTTTCTTCTTTTTTTATAAAGGAACCCAGCTCCTAGGCCCTTGCTCACTCTTCAAACTGAATGCTCTTTCTCTCTCTCTCTCTTTTCCTCCTTTTCCTTTTGGCACTGAAAACACCCTTCTCTCTTTTACTTAGAACACAGACAGCTTCACAGTAAGTTCTAATGTCTCTTGTTTCCAACATGCCACTGCCCTAGCATCCCTCCCATTTGTCGTCTTTTTTTTTCTTTGCAATTGTGCTCACTACAGTAGAATTTAAAAGCTGGAATAAGATTGAGTCTTCATCAGGAATTATATCTATTTGTTCTGTTGTTTTACATAGTGTTAGTTCCCATTCCTAATACAAGGGAAATCTTTTTCAGTGAAGTATCCAAATCCCTGTATGCTGGTATTATTGTTGTTGAATGCTGCTGTTCTGGTCATTCAGCCATGCTCCCTCCATTTCAGATCTTTTTTTTTTCTTCTAGTCACTATTTTCTCACTGAGCATGCTCAGTGTTCATTAATCAGATTGCTGAGTTTCTCTGCAGTGGCTGTTATTTCACTCTGGTGTAGTGCTGATACGGTTTTGGATAGATAATGAGCGGCACAGATTGTTTATTCTAGCTGTGGAATTCTGGGAGTTGAAGTCCATGCAGCTTAAAGTTGCCAAGGTTGAGTGAAAAATATTAGTCTCATTACTGAAAATAGGAGCTTATAATAATAGTTCTCCTACAGAAACAGTTCTGTAGTTAATGGAAGAATACTTCCAGTTTAGTTTTTTCCCCCCTTATACTTAGTGATTCCATCTCATCTTGCTTCAGTTTTTTTCCTTCTTTCTTAACTTATTTTCTTTCATGTCTTGTGTTATGTTGTGGCTCATGCTAATATGTTATGTCTCCAGACTACTGTGGCAAACTGCATCTCCGTGAACCACGATTACATCTTTTGTGGCTGTGCCGATGGTACTGTTCGAATTTTTAATCCTTCAAATCTTCACTTTGTGACCACACTCCCTAAACCACACTTCCTAGGGACGGATATCACCAGCATTACGGAAGCCAGGTAGGAAAAGTAGAGATCAGAAGCAACTTCTGTCAGAATTTAGCTTCGCTCTCTGTCTTGCATTTGCAAATACAATTCTAAGACGCCCAGAGTCTCCTTGAAATATAAGATGGGTGGCCAATAAATTTTACAAATAAATAAATAAAATTGTTCAGGGAACAAGAGGGGACCTAAAGGTGCTTTCCCAAAAGCAACTGGACTTCCTTTGTTTTTCGTTGAAGCTGTTTCGCTTCTCATCCAAAAAACTTCTACAGTTCTGAAAAAGCATCTTTCAGTTCTTGAAAAAGCACCTTTGGGACAACCATGGCCTGGATGACTGAGAATCTTCATAGACACCGAGCAAGAGGGGAAAAACTTTTTTTTTTATGAAAGGGGTGCTTTCATCTATACTAAGCTGCAATTTCTATCATCCCCAGCCAACGGATGGCATCACATTTGAGGAGGCTGGCAGAAATGGTTCTGGGATAAATTACAACCATTGCAGCATCTCTATGGTCATGTGATCAAAATTCAGATGCTTGGCAATTGATTCATATTTATGGCAGTTGCAGTGTCCCACGGTCATCTGATCACCTTTTGTCACCTGACAAGCAAAGTCAATAAGGAAGCCAGGTTCATTTAACAACTCTGTTACTAACCGAAGAACTGCAGTGATTCACTTAGAAATTGTGGCAAGAAAAATTATAAAAGGGTGCAAAACCCACTTGACAACTGTCTCACGTAGCAACAGAAATTTTGGGCTCAGTTGTGGTTGTAAGTTGCAATTGAGGACTACTTGTAATCATATTGGTATATTTCCAAAGTCCCCAGAAATTAAGATCTGCCAAAGAAGACCCTTCTTTTTCTTTAGCTGGGGGAGAGGCTGAGGTAATTCTTTTTATATATGTGACATAGAGCATCACTCAGTGAAGAAGATGTAGACTGAGGATATCAGAGGAATCTATCAATGTTTTGAGCCAGCAGCCTGCATATTCACAACATCTCCTCTTAGAAAAACATGGCTGATATTTGAATTAATACAGAAGCACATACATAAAGCTGACTTAGTGGCTGTCTGCATGTGTTTTAATTAAATGCATCTCTTTCTGAGAAATTTTTTTTTGATACAAAGGCATACTTCAAATATCTCATCTAGCCTGTTTTTCTCTTCCCATATCTCTGCCCCTAAGATCTATTAATGCATTGTAAGCTCTTAGCAACTGTTCCTGGCAGAGTTTTAGCATGCACTGCCATGGTAAATTAACAGAGAGAAATAGAAATAAGTAAAAAAAAAATGTACAAAGCATCTGTCTGTGCTCTTGGCACATCCTCATGAGCTTTCAATACACTGACTCCTGGCCTCGGATTTTTTTTAGTGACTTGGAAAGGCCAAGGTACTGTGTAGCTTAAAATATGATCTGCCAGTTTAGTTTTAGAAGCTGTAAACTTGGAAAGCTATGCACGTGCATACTGTTGTTCCTTAGCTCGTTTATAGTAAGCTCCTTTTGAACTGCAGTTTTGCCTTGCATGGCCAGATTTTTATGACAGACAGAACAAACAATTAATGAGAGCTGCATCTTAAAATTGGAAGGATTTGAATATGTGGAATTGCTCACAGAGCTTAGAGTCATTTTATACTCTTTTTTAAAAACCCTCCTGTTATTGAATGAAGAAAACCTGTATTTTTAAAACTGCTTTTTTAAAGAAATCTGACAATTTCAGGCTTGTAATTTCTTACCCAGCATCCAAAAGTACATGGTTCTAATGCAGTGATGGCGAACCTTTTAGAGACTGAATGCCCAAAAACTGCCCCCGTCCCTGCTCCGCCTCCCGCCCTGCCTGCTCCACCCGCCCGCAGGGCCATGCACTGCCCCCATGGCCCGCCGCAGATCGCCCAAGCAGCTCTGCAGCACCATGGCAGCCACATCCTCTGCCCACATCCTGCAGCATCATCTGCACGCTATGGGGTATAAGGACATAGTCTTGTCCCTGCTGCCCAACTATGTCCTTGGCTGCACTGCTCCGTGCGGGCTGTGCCTGGGGGCGATTCTCCTCCAGGGGGGCTGCTGATGAGGAGAGGGCCGCGGGGGGAGGCAGGGCTGGGGCAACAGAACGTGTGCCCACAGAGAGGGCTCCGAGTGCCACCTATGGCATGTGTGCCATAGGTTTGCCACCACTGTTCTAATGTATTGAGACTGATTAAAATGTATAGATGTATGCATATTTTCCCCTATAGTTTAAAAGAAATTGAAATACACCGTTGTCATGATAACCAATTCATGTAATCCATTCTTTGTGCTAAGGTTGCTTGGGTGTTTCTAAGAGCTCACAGTTTTATCAAATACTTGACTTTCAATATAATACCATTATTATTCAAGCATATTTTTTTAAAAATGGGATGAACTATGAGAATGGAACTACAATTTTGTCTAGGGGACCAACAGTATCTGACAGAGTTCATAGAAGAGATAGGGAAAGCATCCCATCCTCACAACTACCATCTACTTTTCAAGCAGGACATGGGAATGCAAACAACAACAAAAAACACTGCACATCAGTTTTCTTTGGGGGAGTGAGCTAAACTGTGAACTGTCCAGAAATAAATAAGGCAATTCCATAGATCTCTGTGCCCCTAAAACCCACCGTTCTTCAGTCTTGCTTGGGTTAAGCCAAAGCTATTTTCTCCAACCTCACAGTTTCCTCAACCCCACAGCCTCCAGACAATGGGAAAGAAACTTGAAGTGAAGTCAGCCTGGGGTGTGTGGATCGGTATTTATGTGTGGCTGTGTGTATGTGTGTGGCTGTGTGTGTCCATGATTGAGTATCATTGGTATACTTATGATACTTAATGCTGCACAGATGAAATACTTCACTCAGCTGCTTATTAAGCAGAAAGAGAATGTAGAGCTCTGAGGAACCTTGCAGAACAGGGTTCGAGGTACAGATCTCTCTCCTCTCCTAACATCAACCGGAACCAACTTTAGAAGAAAGAGGAGAAAAACTGCAACACTGTTCCTCATTCTCCCTCCCAAGCTGGTCCTGAAGGATACTGTGATTGATGGTCCTGAAAGCTGCTGAGAGACCTTAGAGGACTAGGATGGGTGAACCATTCCAATCCTGACCCTTCCAAAGGTCATCTATAAGTGCAGTCAGTGCCATCTCAGTGTTAAATCTGATCTGAAGTAAGGAGTAAAGCCCCCAATATTATTGCAATAGAGTAGGAGAATGCCATATGAAACCAAATCTGTTCAGCTTGAGATCTGATTACAATTTAAACTATTCTTTTCTGTCTGAAGGAAAGAGATTAGATCTGTTGGTTTTAGGGGCAGCTAAGTCATGCACTCATATGGCCATAAGCCACACACACACACACACACACACACACACACACACAGAGTCCATTTGAACTATGAGGATAACGATGCTGACTGAAGTTACAGGATTGTTACACAATTACAATGGCATGGTTTATGTGCAGCATTTTTAATAACAGCATACAAATATGTAACAGTAAAAAATACCGGTAGAACAGGCAAATTTCTGTGTCTGTCTCCTTTTAGCAAACCTGCTCTCTTTTGTATCTTCACATGTCAACTATTTAAAAATTATCCATTGTACTGTTTTTTTGCAGTCGGCTTTTCTCTAATGTGGCTGATGCCAAGTATCCAGACACCATTGCCTTAACCTTTGATCCGAATAACCAGTGGCTGTCTTGTGTTTACAATGATCACAGCTTGTATGTGTGGGATATCAAAGACCCCAAGAAAGTGGGCAAGGTTTATTCCGCGTTATACCACTCCTCCTGTGTCTGGAACATTGAGGTAATGTTATGTCACAAATATTGAGGGTCACCAATAGGATCATTTCTGATTTCCTACAAAATTAAAGTGTTTCAGAATTAAGAAGGCACTTCCCATTATGGCAAGAATTCCAGTGATTTTTCTTTTTTCTTTTAAAGTAGATTTCTGTGCACTTTTGGGTTTTAGGTATTACTTAGGTAATATTTTGCATGTACAATAATGACTAACCATTTAGGAATGAATTAACAGAACGGAAAAGAAAAGGAGAAAACCTACATTACTTTAGCCTCATAACCAAACGTGTATCTGCTAGAATGTAGATCAGCCTTCAGACAATAATATAAAGTTAACTGTTTTAAATGAAAATCTACATATGGGTAATAACAAATGGAGATTTCTCTGACTGCTTGTTTCCAGTAATAGTGTGTGTGGCTGCCAGATAGGCACATTCTGTTGATTTTCCATTACAAAAATATACTCAAGCCTGGGGTTATTGTCCCAGTTCTTGGTGTTAGTCATTTGCTTATTCTTTTTCCAAAGTCTGGTTAAAACTAAAGTGCTTTACTGCATGCATGTCCTTGGCTATCTTTCTATATTATCTTGAATTAGAATAAAGGTTCAATTTGCACCTTCCTTCTTGTTATCACAATTATAACAATTATGGCAATAGCTAAGTGCTGCTCCCTGCTGGTGTATCGTATGTGTGTAAGAATGCTCAAAGGATAATGAAATGTGTTCCTACAGAAAGGTCCAATTGCCAATTGTAACTCAATCAGATCATTCTGTGAAACTTGAATCTGTTAGTATAAACAGTCTCGGTAAAACCAGCTTCAAAGAGTAACAAAACAAGGCTTGTATACCTTGATAATTTTGGAGAGCAGAATATTTTCATAGAAATTGCAAGAGTGAGAAGCTTTACCTCTCTCTCATACCTATGAACAAGCCTGGGGTTCTTCTCTTGAGCGCAGTCCTTCTTTGACAAGTTTTTTGATAGTCATAACCCCCCCACCCCCACCACCAGTTTTGGAAAATATAGAATCTATTTCTAATTCTGTTAACAATTTATCTCCCTATAGGTGTACCCTGATGTAAAAGATAGCAATCAGTCTTGCTTGCCCCCAAACACCTTCATCACTTGCTCCTCGGATAACACCATCCGCCTGTGGAACACTGAGAGCTCAAACATCCATGGAGCCTCCTCGCATCGGAACATTCTGAGCAATGTAAGACTGTCTGAGCTCAGGATAGATCACATGGCTTAATCTTTGACTTCAAGAGGAAGTGGAGAAGAACAGTCCATTACGCGCAGAATATTTATTTATTTAGACAATTTTGAGACTGCCAACTCTGGGTGGCTTACATTTTATTTATTTTACCCATTTTCTTGTCAATGCAGGATTTTTTTTTTTTTTTTTTTTTTTGCTTATATCAGTAACTAAGATAAGATTCATCTATGAAAGCTGTCCTGGAATATTGCTATTTCACTCTCCCAGAGTGTTTGCATTTGTGTGTGGATGTGGGTGTGTGGGTATGTATGTGTGTATCCGTTTATTCATTTTTGGAATGAATAATGTGTGGTTGCTTAATTAAGTAGTTCTCTGCAACTATGTATGTATGATGTTGATGTCTTGTGAGTTTAGGATTACAATAATACATGTTTAATAACGCTAAAAATATGAACCCTGGGAATATTCATATCCAAAATAAAATGAACACCAAGGTATTAATTAAAACTATAAAAACTTTAATTTAAAAACGCCAAGCTTTCGCCGTCACCTGCCGGCATCATCAGTTGTGTTAAAACTTTATTCAAACGGGTGGAGTCACATTGCAGCACTGCCAAAGCTAAGAGGGAGGAAAGAAACCACCTCTTTCAAGTGTGTAAGCGCAATGGGTACCCGGTAAGATTCATTAATCGGTTTAGCATACCATCTGAATCCCGGAGTAACCCTACATTTAATGAGTTGACACCACAGACAACACGTGTTACCCTCCCCTACATCTGCGATGTATCAGAGGATACTGCGAGGATCTTGGCGCCATATAATATACAGGTAGCACATAGACCCAGCCAAATGCTACGGGCAGCCATCATGCGCCCCAAGGACCCGCTCCCCAACATGGAGAGATCGGCAGCCATATATAAGATTGATTGTATGGACTGCCCGTGTAACTATGTTGGGGAGACTTCCAAACGAGTGAAGACTAGGGTCCACGAACACAAGCTAGCTGTGAAAAGGGGCGAACAGCACTCCCAGATATGGACTCACATGGCGGAATTGGGCCACCGCTTTAATTTCAACGAGGTAGACGTCTTGGCAAGTGACAGTACAAAGGGAGGCCGTTTGCTCAAAGAAGCATGGCTATCCAATAGCAGCTCTATTAACCGGCACATTGACCTCTGTCCGGCACACTTGGCACTTAGATCATGGAGTGCGACCAACTACCCATCTTGCTATTGTTGGCCTGACAGCAAGCCCAGTGGGGGAGCCAGAGGGGATGTGCCAACCCCCCAATCAGTTCGATGCAACCCAGAAGAGGAGGGGCAACAACTGAGAATTCCCACTACCCCTGCAATGATAACACACTCTCAAAAGATTAAGAGAGCGATGGAAACTAAAGTCCAGAACCCCTGCGTTATGAACATCGGAGATATTCCAGTTGGTGTGCAAGGAGACACGATAGACAAAGATGGGGATGGATCGTTAAACCTGATACCTCACCAATGCTCAGAAAGAAACAAGATGACCGATTTAAGGGGGAAGAAGCAATCCCCCCACTCCGCATCGCCAGCTGGTTCAAGAACATATGGAGTGCGGGACGGCGCGGAGTACAACAGCAGGCTTGCGGACGCTCCGGAAAGTAAGGAGAAGAACGAGCCCGGACGGGGAAGTGCGCGAGAGGGCAGAGCTAACAAGATCAGCTGGCCGCGCCTCGCACCGGCAGCACCCATAGACTCCAAAGACTTCTGTCATACACGCGTAGGAGCGAGAGGTGTTGGAACGAAGAGGAGAGCAAGGAAGGAGCGTTATGACGCTCAGGGAGATCGCAACTTCACCCCCCCCCCAGGTCAAGACCTCGGATCACAGCATGCGCGAAAAGAACGCAGAGGACAAAAAGGAGGGAAAGGGTATGGTAGCTAAAGATAATTACAACTACGAGACTACCCCCATAGATAAACAACCTATCGAGCCACCCCAGCCAATTTGGAATACTACGTACGACCACTTTGATAACAGTTGGGTACGAGGGGGGGGCGCTAAGGACGAAAAGAAAGATGTTTATAGAGAGAGTGACTGTGTGAAGCGTGATTGGGGAAAAGAAAAGGACAAATGCAAACCACCACCCGAACCCAAAGGGGTGAATGGATTGAAAGATAGAGACAATCGGAGAGGCAAGGAGCTTACACCACCTACCTTAGAACCCAAAGAAAAGAAGATAGATGAAGATATACACGTAGCTAAGAAGGACAGGAAGAAACGAAATCACCGGAGCACAATTTAACCAATTGGGTCCGGTGACGAGATCAAGGAGCCGGGTGCAGACTTCGGCCTGCCTATAAAGGACTCTCTCACTCCCTGGCGGTCCAGCCCTGATGATGCCGGCAGGTGATGGCGAAAGCTTGGCGTTTTTAAATTAAACTTTTTATAGTTTTAATTAATACCTTGGTGTTCATTTTATTTTGAATAATACATGTGTACAAATCAGTTGGCTAAGCATGAATGGCATAGTGCTGTATAAGTGTCCCAAAATTATTTAGGCATTCTGATATTTTATTTTCTAGGAAAGAATCAAACAAGGTTGGAAATGTATTTGTAACATTACCGTAAATAACCTTATCTCAGAACTGATTTGAACAGATGCTATTTTCTTCTTATTCTCTAGCTCCAGTTTTAATGCATCCAACTATGTATCTATTGAACCACATTGGAAAGAAATTGGAAATATTGGGAAAAATGGGCTTGAAACAAATTAGTTATTAAAGCTACGGGATTTCCAGCACTTACCCCCCCCAACTTTTATTTCCACGGTGCATTACAGGGCCTTATACACAAACTCTCTATGAAGTTATATTCCTGCATTACTTTCCTGTATCACCATCCATGTCCATTTTTAGCCTTATAGCTTTTTTTGTTTTAGTTGTATCTAGTTTGTTTATATTTGGCCATAATATAATATTATTTTCAAATTCTCTGATTCACAGGTCTCAATTAAGGTTGCTAGAAAGATTGGATTTTTTTTTTTTGCTTTGCCATTGTGCTATGTATTTCCAGTTGCTGATATTAAGAGAAATATTAGCGTCCAGTACTGCTTTCATTCTGTGCCTTTCCTTTGCTTTCATCTGCTTGCTTCAAATGGAATCTTTTGTTTTGTCTCATTAGGATTTGATGAAAATCATCTATGTAGATGAAAACACTCAGCCCCTCTTGGACACAGAATACAATACAGCTGGAGGTGTAGAGAAGGCTGACACACAGGCCATAGATACAAAAGTGGGGATTCGCACAGTGTGTGTGAGCCCTACTGGGGAACACCTGGCCTCAGGTGATAGGATAGGCACTCTCAGGTAAACCTTGGAGTTTTGGAGAACGTGTCCCTGCATAATAACACCAAGAGATTCCTCCTAACTGCTTCCTTGCCTTGTATCATTTTCAGGATCTATGAATTGAAGCCCCTGAGAGAGATGCTGAAGGTAGAAGCCCATGATTCTGAAATCCTCTGCCTTGAATATTCCAGACCAGATACAGGTAAGATTTGACTGACTGATTAATTAATTAATTAATTCATCTTGTATACTGGTTTCCATAGGATTTCTGGCACTTAACGATATTGTACAGATATCACATCCACAGTAAGTAAGTAAGTAAGTAAGTAAGTAAGAAGCAATTTAGAACTAAGGAGAAATTTCCTGACACTGAGAACCAATTAACCAGTGGAATGGCTTGCCTTCAGAAGTTGTGGTGCTCCATCACTGGAGGCTTTTAAGAAGAAGTGGCCACTTGTCTGGAATGGTATAGGATCTCCTTCTTGAGTAGGGGCTTAGGCTAGAAAACCTCTGAGATCTCGTCCAACTCTGTTATTCTGAAACAGCCTTAAAACATCCAAGTAAAATTCATTTAACGTAATATAAAATAATAAAACATAATATAATCCAAGTAAAAAATCATTTAACGTAATATAAAACAGTTAAATCATATCTGGGCATTCTTCAAGCAGACATGCATTTATCTTAGATCTGTGATGGCGAACCTTTTAGAGACTGAGTGCCCAAAAACTGGCCCCGCCCCCTCTCCAGCCCCTGCCACGACCCCACTCTGCCCCCCATTCCCCGCCCAACCTGCCCATAGGACCACTCACCGCCTCCAGGGCCTGCTGCAGATCGCCCAGGCAGCCCAGCAGCGCTATGGCGGCTACACCCTCTGCCCGCGCCCTGCAGCATCAACTGCATGATGGGGTGTGAGGGCAGAGTCTTGTCTATGCTGCCTGGCTGCCATGTCCTTGGCTGCGCTGCTCCATGTCGGCCATGCTCGGGGGTGATTCTCCTTCAGGGGGGCTGCTGGAGAGGAGGAGGTTGCGGGGGGAGGCAAGACTGGGGCAACTGCATGTGTGCCCACAGAGGGGGCTCCGAGTGCTGCCTCTGGCACCCGTGCCATAGGTTCGCCATCACTGTCTAGATGGTCCCTGTGAAATCAAGATAGATGAAATCTACTTTCAACTTGGAGGCTATTCTAAAGGGCAGGTCTTGCTATACTTCAGCATCCCTCACTTCATGTTTTTTTTATCTGTGAAATCACACAGGATTCTAAACCTGAGCCTTCTGTATGTTTATAACTAAGACTTTGGACAAAGAGTCCCACTTTCTTGGTGCCACACTGGTGCGATTTCCATTCTTTTTCTTAATTTTGTTTTGTCTTCCACATTTAGCAGACGATTAAGTCTTGAATCATGTTTATTTCTTTTTTTCTTCTTCTTAGCATTATCGTTGGGCTTTAATTACTCTTGGTGGTTGTTCGTTCCTTTGAGCCATTGCATAATTTTTGCAGGTTTCTTGACCATTTAGAACCAACTGACTTTGAAGACTGCATTCTACAAATTCTAAATATGCAAATGTAGATCTTTGTGTTTATGGTCTATATTGTTTCATCTTTTCAAACTGGCCAGGAGACCACCAAGGCTTGTTACATCTGTCAGACAGAAAGCCTTAATAAGTAATGGGCATCAACCCAAATGTCCTGTTAATCTGACTTCTGCTTAATTCTCTGTAAAATTTGGATCCCTGAGATATCTTCCTGTTCTGTACTGTGAGCAGTAAAGTTATCTTTTGACTAGTCCCTCAAAACCTATCTGATAAGCCAAATAATACCAGACTATTCTGATACCTCAAATCACACAGTGATACCTCAAATCACTCCTATTAGCTCCTAGCCCAGGGTTCTCAACCTTCCTAATGCCACGACCCCCAACCATGTGGTCGTAAGTCAAGGACTACCTGTATTTCCCTGTGGACAGGGCAGGAGGAGGCACGCACGCTCTGCCTTTTCTTCTGTGGCTGGAGTGCACGCTGGGCAGGCTGAGGGTGCACGCAGGCCGTCGCCCAGCAACTGCCTCGGCCCGGGAGCACCGCGCAAGCGTGGTTCCGCCCCCTGCGCCGGCTGAGGCCTAGCTGGCAAGCAGCAGCAACGGCGCAGGCCGACCACTGGCTGGGCCATCAGCTGGCCCAGCCCAAGGGAGGTAAGCCACCCCCCCGGGCCCCATGCGCACCAGCAACCCTCCCTGCACCTGCCGTTGCCCCGCTAGCCTTACCTTGGCCACCTCATGTTCGGTGCAGCGGCAGGCAGGCCCAGGTGCTCCTGGGTGGCCATGGCACACGGCAGCAAGGGTGCAGGGCGACCACTGGCTGGGCCACCAGCTGGCCCAGCCCAAGGGAAGTAAGGCACCCGCCGGGCCCCACGCGTGCCAGCAATCCTCCCTGCGCCCGCCGGCCTCCCACCTCCCACCCCTGGCCCTCTTTTACTTACATTTAGTAGTTGCTCAGCAGGGAGGGGTGGAAACATCCAGAAAGCTCGCCTTAGCAGCAGACAACTTGCAGCACCGTTTGCAGACTGGGACTTTTGGCAGGCTTAGCAGGGCAGAGACAGCCTGGACAATTCCTATTGGCTATTGAAAGCCAATAGAATTAGACTCTATTCAAGAGAGTCTATTCTATTGGCTTTTGAAAGCCAATAGATTCTATTGGCTTTCGAACGCCAATAGCATAGAGTCTCTTGAATAGAGTCTATTCTATTGGCTTTCAAAAGCCAATAGAATAAGAGGGAGTAGTACAGCTAAGGAAAAGGGGAAAAAATGGCGGACTGCGTTGTTTGGCGACCCCCGTGAAATGGTCATTCGACCCCAAATGGGGTCGTGACCCACAGGTTGAGAACCGCTGTCCTAGCCTATTAAGGGCAAGTTATTATTATGAGTTACTTTTTCTTCTCCTGTGGTACTGGTAATCTCATTGCCAATTCATCCAACTTAGCATCCCTGTTGACTGCTCTTTCTATCCCTGCCATGTACTTTAGGTTCTCATACCCAAACTATCAGTCTGCTTGTGGAGAATCTATTGTGGGAAAGGCAATTCAATCTTGGATAGTGACATCTGAGAGAAATTCTCAGGATTAACTGTATTTAAACTCCACAGGACATACAATTTTCCTGGCACTCCATTATAGCAGTGGCTTAATGCTTTCCTGCTGTTCCTGTTCTGCCTCTAAGGTGCATTATGCTTCACCCTATTATGAAGAGAATCATGGATTATCCATATTCAGGATATTAATTTCACATTCAGGAGTTTGTGTCACCTAAACTTTTTGGTTAGGGATCTCTTGATTGTCATTTCAGACCTAATCCATGGCATTTGCTACCACATACTAAAACTACAGCAGCCATTCACATCCAGTTCACATTTGACAGATTAATTGCAGGTGTTTAGCTAAGATTAGCACTGTGGTTATACCTTACTAAAAGCTTGTCAGGCAGCAGTCCAATCCTTTCAATTTTCTTCCAGCATTAAATGCCACTATACCTGGAATTATAATCAAGCCCTGATCAGGAACATAAGTTCCAATGTCTACTTCTGTGGAATCTTTCAGTGAAGGTGAAAGATGAGCATGTTCCCTGAAAGATTGCTTTTGGATTCAGAGGGCTCTTCTCTTCTCTTCTCTTCTCTTCTCTTCTCTTCTCTTCTCTTCTCTTCTCTTCTCTTCTCTTCTCTTCTCTTCTCTTCTCTTCTCTTCTCTTCTCTCGTCCCGTCCCGTCCCGTCCCGTCCTGTCCCATCCCGTCTTGAAGTAAAGTTGATGATCAGGCTCCTGCTTTACTGATGGAAGACAGAAAACCCAAATGGCACATTCTTTAGGCCTACAAGTAAAGTAATTAGCTCAGGCTATTTTGGAGTCAGGTTTCCAGTTAGTGCATGATATAGATGTCCTCCTGGTTGCCATTCCTGCACATTGCGCATTATTCAAAAACATTATGTTTCCAAATGTTTATGCTTTTCATTTCTTGCCATTATAAATAACCTGTGCTAATAACAGAATGAGAACTGCCAATTTTTGTTTTATCTGACTCCTGCCCAGTCCCATTGTAACAGAAATTTCAACAACATTGGAAATGTACACCCATTCTAATAATGACTGTCCTTAAAATTGCACAGAGTCTAAGTAGATTGCTTATCCTTATGTGAAATATTTCTTCTTTGTCTGGTAGTTTGTCTCAGTCTCTTTTCTTTTTTAAAAAATACATTTTATTGATTTTTTTAACATAAACACCTTGTTGTTATTGTTAATTGCGAAGTCATGTCTGACCCATTGTGACCCCATGGACAACGTTCCTCCAGGTCTTCCTGTCCTCTACCATCTTCTGGAGTCCATTTAAGGTCACACCTACTGCTTCAGTGACTCCATCCAGCCACCTCATTCTCTGTCATCCCCTTCTTCTATTGCCCTCAATCTTTCCCAGCATTAGGCCCTTCTCCAGTGAGTCCTTCCTTCTCATTAGGTGGCCAAAGTACTTGAGTTTCAACTTCAGGATATGGCCTTCTAAAGAACAGTCGGGGTTGATCTCTTCTAGGACTGACCGGTTTGAACGCCTTGCAGTCCAAGGGACTCGCAGGAGTCTTCTCCAGCACCATGGTTCAAAGGCCTCAATTCTTTGGCGCTCAGCCAACTTTCACATCCATACATTGCAACTGGGAAAACCATGGTCTTGACTATATGCACTTTTGTTGGCATGGTGATGTCTCTGCTTTTTAGTATGTTGTCTAGATTTGCCATAGCTTTCCTCCCCAGGAGCAAGTGTCTTGGCTGCAGTCCCCATCTGCGGTGATCTTGGAGCCTAGGAAAATAAAATCTGTCACTACCTCCATTTCTTCCCCATATATTTGCCAGGAATTGAGAGGGCCGGGTGCCATGATTGTGGTTTTCTCAAACACCTTAATATTTGGTAAACAGCGTGTTGTCTGGGCTTATATTTACAAAGTAATCACTAGCAATCTGTTTCTATAGTCCAAAGTCCACATAATAGTTTTGCTTGATTTTCTCCCAATAATATTCTCTTTGCCAACCTTGAATTGATACAATTCTTATTAGTTTGATAGATAACAATTAAATATAAAGATATTTCTAAAATTTCTACAAATAATAATCACATCAATATCATGCTTCTTTTTTATCTGGTCATCTTGATTGCCTCATCATAAATCCTGCTTACAATTCTTATTTAAATTTGTTTTTCCTACAATATTCAAAACATTCATACTGGTTAAGATTTTCTCAAGGTAAATTACATTTAAATATTTAAATCTATTTTCCTCGTATAGGCCATCCCAATACTTTTACATTTCTCATATCTTAAAAGTAAAAGTAAAAAAAAAGTCAAAAAAGAAAAAAAGAAGAGAGAAAAAAAGAGAGAAAAGAATAAAATAATATACTATTTAAAATACATATAAACTAATATACATTTATCTCCAAAATTTTTCTGTTCTTTTTACCCATAATTAAACATATTTAATCTTTAGATGTTCCATTTAATAAATCCAATCATCTAATCTTTTAACTCTATTCAAAACAGTTTTTAAATTATCTATTGAAATTTTCTTAAAGTCAGTTACATTTAAATATCTAAAATACTTCCTTTATATTGACCATCCGAAACATTTTTATATTTCTCATATCAAAAAACAAAGTAAAAAAAAGAAAAGAAAGAATACTGTCACTTGGGGAGTACATCTCTCTTAAACTAACGTCTTTCTATTTCTTCAACCATATTCAAACAAGTGTTTAATTTTTAAATATTCCCTCTGATACATCCCATCATCTAATTCCTCAATTCTCACTTTAGCCCTCTTTTTTTGCCAAACATATTTCCCAATCAATATAGTCCGTTGAATCAAAGAGTCTTTCCATAATCCTGCAAATGTCATTGTAGATATAAGAGGTAAATCAAGCAACATGTCTTTGTAAAAAGATTTTTCCCCTTCATATTCATTGAAGATCCTGTTTTCTTTCTCTCTTAGTTTCTCTCATCATCGCTTGTCTCCCCATTTCTCGTGGTACTCTCGACAGCTCTACAATCCATTTTGTCAAATCTTTTTTTCTTATCGTCAGATTTATTTTGTGGTCTTAGAATATAAGTTATCTTTTCCATGTGTCCAATGTTTCTTGTAAGTCCTTTTCCACTTGAGCCAAGTCATACTTTCTTATATTATTAGGTTCCATCTTTAAATCTCTTTCCTCCAATTTATCTGCTCCCTCTCCATTATTATCTTCTGAGAGTTCTTTTGCCATGAAGTCAAATTGGAATGGATTCATTTATACTTTCAAAATTATTTTTAATTTTAATTATTTTTCCTCGTGGTTTAAGATCATTGTTGTTTGAATTAGTTGCAACATCTTATACATTTCCTCCTGGAAAGTATTTGTTTTTTCTTGATACATTCTTTCTGCAGATCTCTGATTTTCCATAATAGCCAAAAATCAAGATTTTCCTTTCTCTGCAAACAGCTTTAGAATCACAGTTAATATTTGTAATCCAGAAAGGTCAGGTTTTTTTTTAAGTTTATAGTTCTCGTTTTGTATGTTTTCTTTTTTTATCACAACTGTTCTCTATTATTAGAACTTTGAAGATCATAAGAACAGATTAACTTTTCTCGAGCTTTAGTCTTGCATTAGAGCAACTGTTGTAATTTTTATCCACCACTAGATGTCAGCACCAGTTCATTATTTTTCAGTTTTCAAAATAAAGAGTTATCTTCTATATTCATAATTTACAATGAAGATCTTCAGAGATTATAGGCAAATAAGAAACTTATCCAGATTTAGGGCTTATAAAACGTTTAATTTGCCGCTTCCATCTGCAGACGGGTGGAGCAAAGGTTCCCCTCCTCACTTTTGGAGGTTATTTTTCTTCTTGGGTTTTTTTTCCCAGGAAATTAGTTAATATGTAGAATAGAGAAAATCAATGTTCTTATCCTGATCCAAAAATGTTGTTTACAATCAGCTTAAAATAGTGATTTTGGGCTTCGGTTGCTTGTCGCTTAGGCTAGGCTCTGAGGTTAGGTTAGCCTTTCTCCTGTTGGTTTCTGGAAGACTTTTACTGGACCGATTGGGTCAATCGCCGTCTCTCTGTGGTCCATGGGACTTCCTTCTTTGCCACCTCTTCAGGGCAACTTCTGGCCCATTTAGGGTTCCCTAACAGGCAGAAAATCAGCTGTAGGGTGCAGAGCCCTGTGATCCCTCGGCTGCTGCACTACTGTGCAAAACCAGAAGCCTTGTCTCAGTCTCTTTTCACTAGTCCTGTTTCTGATGAGCTTTATTGCAAAGAACTTGGCTGAGTATATTCTCATTGTTCCTTGGTAGCCCTAATAACCCAAGTTCACGGTATGCTTCTTTTTTTAATTCCATGAACCATCTGTGTTCTGCAATTGTCCAAGTGCTAGTGTATTCATCAATAATTAGTCAAAGAACTTCAATCTCAGATACATAAGCATTCTTCTCCTTTTTTGTCTCCTTAACAGGACTGAAGCTTCTAGCATCTGCAAGTCGGGATAGATTGATTCATGTCTTGGATGCAGAGAAGGATTATAGCCTGCAACAAACCCTGGATGAACATTCATCTTCCATAACTGCAGTGAAATTTGCAGGTACTACAGTTCTGTTTATGAATCAGCAACTTTTATTTGCTCGTTTGATGTAGCTCTTGGTGATCTACTAAGGTTTTCTCACCCCACCTTTTCATAAGATCCAAGTTCTTGCCCTTTGTTTGACTATTATTAATTATCCCAATAGTGAGAAAATAACTTGTAAACATAAAGTAGAGCTATACAATGTGCGGTCTTCCAGATGCTGCCGAACTAAAACTTCACACAGCTCCAATCAGTGATAAGGATGTTGAATGTTATAGTTCATTAATATCTTGGAAGGCAACATTCTTTCCATCTCTGGTGTAGAGCTTGCATATTAAATGTTTGTTGGTTTACTGTAGTTAGCAGTCAATATATTTTCTGTCAAACTGACCATGTTTTGTTTTGCCCTGAATTGCTACACTGGGTTTGATTATTTTGCTTTCTGTTACAGAATTATTTATAGAGCAGCTTGTAGCATACTGGTCCTTTAATTTGTGATTCAGATTCTAAAGATTAATTTGTGGTGCGATACAAATGGAAAGATATTCCTGCTTTCTAACATGAAGTTAAAGTAGATGCCATAGCGACTCACTGTATGATTATCAAATTATATAGCTTGTCCACAGAGTGTGTTTCCTGAATAGTAAGGTGTTCTAACTATTCCAAATAGTCAATTCTTCTCTCATCCAATGAAAAATATGGCAATAGTTTGCTGTATTTCATCCACATAGAGTAGGCTTCAAAAAGAATTAGTTTTAAACTTCTAGTCCTGCAAGTGTTTGAAGTGGTCCATTGAGGCCAGTGAAAAAATGAGCATATGGCTAATAAAGTTAATTATTATCATGTAGAATGGCCCTTGATTGCTGAGACATCTTGTGGCCACTAATTATTCTCAGCTTGGATGGAACTTGATCCAGTTATTTGTTATCTTTGGAGACAGATTTTTTAAATCTAACCTTAATTATGGTATGTAAACAACCCAATTCTGGGATTCTGATGGTATAGGTAGAACCAGCTCTTCCTTTATCATCTGCACAGGCTGGAGGTGGTATGGCTGAGGAGAAGGAGATGACTTTTCTTTGGCTGTCCCGGACAGATTTCCCCAAACGTAAAACAGAAAAGAATGAGAGAGGCTCTTTAGGTGGGTTGGGTGCCTCTAAAGCAGACATGTCAAACACAAGGCCCGGGGACCAGATGCAGCCCGCGAAGTGGTTTCACGTGGCCCGCAAAGCCATCCTGGAAACAGTGAGGGAACAGCCCCCGCTGCCTTGGCCCTGGCCCAGGCCAGCCAGGAGCCAATGTACAATTTTGTGGTGGCCATCTATGCTGAAACACATTCAGTCTTAGCTCCACAAGGCCGTCTGGAAACAGCGAAGAACCAGCCCCTGCCGCATCGGCCCCACTCCCTGGGTGCATGCACTCTTGACGCGAATGATGTAGAGCTGGCCACGCCCACCCAGTAGGCCACCCAGTAGGCCCCACCCACTCCATCCACACCCACCCAGTAGGCTGCACCCACCCTGGCCACACCCACCTGGCCCCCTGAGGGCAACCGCAATGCTGATGCGGCCCTCAGTGAAATTGAGTTTGACACCCCAGAAATTCCTACTGTACTACTTTCCTACAACATATTCTAGAAGGAGTGACAAATGGCTTATCTAGATCAGGGGTCTCCAAATTTGGCAACTTTAGATTTGTGGACTTCAACTCCCAGAATTTCCCAGTCAGACTGGGAAATTCTGGGAGTTGAAGTCCATAACTCCTGAAGTTGCCAAGGTTGGAAACCCCTGATCGAGAGTAACTGTAAGGCATGAGTAAGAGCAATGGAAGAAATTAAAAAGCATTTGATTGCCCATCTTCTTGTTCGTGGACATTTACATTTTTCTCTTCCTTCAGCCAATGATGGAAAAGTGAGAATGATCAGCTGTGGTGCTGACAAAAGCATCTATTTCCGCACTGCACAGAAGGTAATTCCATTGGAGTGGTCACTTTTTATGTAACATGTATTGTAGAGCTGTTCTAAGGGGGTGGAGTAATAGAAGCAAAAGCTTAGGACAATATTCTGGCCCTCATGGTTTTCTTTCAGTCAATACATTTTTTAAAAAATCAAATGTTAGGAACTGTATCCTAGTACTGATCATAGAGTAGTTCGATCATTGTCTCATTCCAGTCTTTTCTTTCTTACCTTTCCTTGTGAGACACACATAGTTCCTCCTTGGGAAAAATATTGTACATATCCATTAATACTATTTGATTAAATATTGTGGAGGTGTCGTTGCTATTATGTTTCTTGCATTTAGACAAATGATGGGGTCCGGTTTACTCGTACACACCATGTTGTTAGGAAGACTACTCTTTATGATATGGATGTGGACCCTAACTGGAAATATGCTGCTATTGGATGCCAAGACCGTAACATCAGGTTGGTTCATAGAAGCTTCCTAGTTCAAATGTATCTGAAAAGCTTATATTTTGAAAGTATATTATTAGAAGGAAATTTAATTTTGACCTAGCTAGGATCTGTCAATGTTGCCTAGATATTCTATTAAACCTAAAATGATCTTGCTTTGTTTTTCTGAGGAGACATGTGTAATTTTCATCTTATTTTTAAAGATGATTTTTACATGTTTAATTAGCTTTTTCCCATAAAGTTAAAATTATGACTTTGAACATTTTGATATTGCAAACCTCACCAAATCCACTGGACCTACCTCTGAACAGGTTTATCTAGGATTCCAATGTACAAGTAGTTCTTGACTTACAACCGCAATTGGGGCTGGAATCTTGGTCTCTGAGTGAAGTGGTCATTATGTTAGACACCCACATGACTGCGTTGCTCAACAACTGCAATTCCAGTGCTCCTTGTTGTGGTTGTTAAGTTATTAAGCGGATGGAACATTACAGCTGCCTGCTTTCAGCTCCCCTCCATGTATGGAGGGGAATTCCTCCAAAGGGCTGCAGAAATGGAGCACAGATCTTCAGGATCTGAGCTCCATTTCTGCAGCCATAGGAAGATATTCAGCTCTCCTTTATGTGCAGAAGAAAAGGCCTCCGCCAGGCAAACGTAAAGATAAGATCTGAGCTCTGTTTCTGCAGCTTGGAGAAAGAGTTCAGTTACCGTTGACAGGTGGCTCCTTAAGGCAACCCCCAAGGATGAGAGGAAGTCTTATCTGCAAATGGCACAGCTTGCAATCTTCCCTGCCAGCTTCCCTATTGACTTTCTGGGGAAGCCAGCGAGGAAGATTGCAAATGGCATTACATGATCACGGAACACTTGGCAACTGGTCAAAGTGCGAACAGGTTGCAAAGCGTGTATGTGATGTTTTACTATTTCCAAGGCTGCTGTAGCTTTGAACAGCCAAGGTACATTTGAGATATCTTGGTTCAAAATGTCTTGTCCTATGATGACCTTTTTTGCCTAGTTAGGCATGAGTTGTTGTAGTACAGAGATAGAGGTATTTTTTTAAAGAGATAGACAAATTCATGGAGAAAAAGGTATTTCTGTTAGGTATGAGCAACATATGGAATTTACATATTCTGCATTCAGGTATATGAACGATACTCATTTTGATAATTTTCCAGAGACATTTTGCTGGTTACTGTAAAAAACAAATAAATAGCTTTGATTTGGTTTAAGAGTAGAGGAGTTTCTTTTTACTGTACGTCTGAATTTCTTCTTAGGATTTTCAACATCAGCAGTGGGAAGCAAAAGAAATTATACAAGGGATCTCAAAGTGAAGATGGCACTCTAATTAAAGTAAGGCCTTTGTTAACTCTCACATAACAAATTGTATTGTATTCCATCTTACTCTCTGTACCCCATTTCCTTGTTATGTCTGTTATGCTTTCCCAGCTTGATATTCTAATTAGATAATAATATTTTAAGTAAATTCTATCTGATATGGAATATTTAACACCTGTAGTATAGCATTTACTGATGGATTTGTGTAAGCTACAACATGGTTCATAGATTGGTGAAACATTCCAGCTGCAAATTAAAGAAAAAACTCATGAAGACAAAAAAGAGCAACATCCATGTCCAGTCTCCCAGAAATTAGCTAAGCTTCATAAATTTCCCATTTTGAATCCTGCACTAACAATGGAAGAGTATATGAATAATGGCTTAGAAGTTCTTTAATCTATGCCTTTTTTTAAAAAAAAGCAGCAGCTGTGTCTAATTTCCATGTTGTTGTTCTCAACTGACCCACATACATAAAAATCTGATTGTGCTGAATAAGCAATATTTAATGCATAGGCATTCTTCTCATTGTATATGGAGCCTTGCAAATCCTGGAACGCTTCCCTCCAAGGGCTTTGGGAGATTCTTGCATACTGTACATGATAGTTTTATGATAGCTTTTTTTCAGCACTTGAAGCTGTTTTCTAGTTTGAGGATCCCCAGAATTTTTTCCAGGAAGAAAAAAAACTTTTCTAGCAGCAGTGTGTTCCTAAAGTATTTCCATAAAAGATCAGGGAATAAGCAGTTTATGCCTAAATCAGTGCTTGGCAACCTTGGATGATTCTTTCATTTTATAATCAGCACAAATAGCAGTAATATAAGTAATATAAAAATAAACTTGAAGAACATATCAGATATTAAATGTATTCATGAAACTACAAATTTTGCTATGTTTGTGATCTGATTTTTTATATAACTTGATAACAAATAGCAGATGTGTTTGATTATGCTTTTATTCATAGGAGTCATATTTTCTCCTAATGTATTAGTTACATATATAAGTTGAAGAAGCCAAAATTTGTCAGAAATCTGCATCATGACTTATGCAGGCATTTGATGTTGCAAATACAGACATCGCATTGATTTCAACTATAATAAAGATAAACACATAGATCCAAGCTGGCTAGATTTTCTGGCTTGAATCCACTCTGGGTTTTGCATAATCACAGTGGGAAAAACTGATGTGATTTCAAATGCAGATTGCAACATAAAACAGCCTTTCTCAACCTGGTATTCCCAGATGTTTTGAGCTAATTATATTTTCCCAGGATGGGTGTAGCTGGCATGAAATATGGAAGAATAATTAAGTATAAAGCATTAGTCCTTAGTACTTACCAAAACTACTCATATACAATTTTCTAAAGCTTAGAAATTGTACCACAGATAACCACCCTTATGATTTTTAACCCTTTCTCTCTTACTTGTTCAGGTACAAATGGATCCTTCTGGTCTGTACATTGCAACTAGTTGTTCTGATAAGAACCTTTCTATCTTTGATTTCTATTCAGGCGAATGTGTAGCCACGATGTACGGGCACTCAGGTAATGCAAAAATATGTTTTCAAAGAAAGTTAAAGTTTTGGCGGGAAGGAAGTTTGGAGGGGCAAGTGTAGCAACCGGCTCCAGGTTACACTCCTGTTGGACATTGTGCAGTCATGAAACTGAATCCTTCTGGTGTAGAAGTATTATTTGATTGCATCAAAGATCCCCCCCCACCTGAAACTGGAAATGATTGTGGGTTTCTCATTTTGGAAGATAAAATCCAGATATTAAATGAAGAAACAGTTTTGACTTAATGAGATATGTAGATGAGATGATAGCTGTGTTTACTTATAAAAAGATTTTGTTTTTAAATTAGGCCAACATAATATTTTAAGAATAGATTTATCCTCTGCTTTTTGGCTAGGACCTCAAAACAGCTCTTAATGGTAATAATGTATAATAAATATATTACAAACTGTATCCTTAGAGCAAGCCAGACAGTTTTTTTGCAGGTACCTATTGTTGAATGTGCCTGCTTTTCCTTCTGCAGGACAGTTGGCTCTGTTCAGTTTAGTCCTGCAGGAAGCAGCCAGATGGCAGTACCTTTGTCCCCTTCCCTAGATGCCCTCTTAGTAATCCTTCAGACTTAAACTCTGAGTTTGAACTATGTGTAAAGATCACGAGAAGAAACACCAAGGATCCCCAAGCTACCAAACGAATGTTGTTTTGCACCAGGAAATTTTAAAAACTGTTTAACTGCTTGCTCTTCTGATTTTTACAGAGATCGTAACTGGGATGATGTTCAGTAATGACTGTAAGCACTTGATTTCAGTCTCTGGTGACAGGTAAGTGAAAGAATATTTTTTATTTAAATTTCATCTTTAAAATGAAAGTTAGCGTTTCCCTTTTTAAACAATGGGGATGGATTTGCAAATAATTTTTAAAGGAGAGTTCTTGGGTAACTGTTCCACCTGCTTCGTTTTCCTTTTTTACACTCCTGGTCAGTAAGTTTCAAATTAAAATGGGGATTCCTTAGGTCTGAAAAGAGGATGTGAAATGCTCTTTTCTGGAGCTGGACAACTAACAGGTCCTATATGCTCCTCACCTGAGTCATTTTTATGGCTTTCAAGGCCTTCTAAGATTATGCTATTGAAATCTGGAACCCAAATACTGATTTGCTGTAGTGCAATTGCTGGCTTTATGTAGGGAGGGACAGTAAAAATGAGTATGTTAATCTACTTCTTTTCCACTTGTCAAAGAGTCCCCCAAAGCTCCCATCAAAAATTTATGCACCACTGCCATACTTCCCAAATGATGTATCTTTTTAATGAAAGTTTGACTTCTTGCCTGATCTAACATAAAGTATATTGAAAAGGAGAATGAAACTTAAAACGAGCAGCTTATAGCTTTTGAAGTACCAGCATAAAAATAGGAAGTAATAGGGGCCAGATAAATACTGTCCATTGGAGAATGGATGTGGAATAGGAGAATAAAGTAGGGAAACTCAGGTCTATAGACAGCAGGCTATTATGACTGGATTAAAATGAGTATTTTTTTCCGCTTCTGCTTTCAGCTGTATTTTCATTTGGCGTCTGAGTTCTGAGATGACCATCAATATGCGTCAGCGGCTGGCTGATATGAAGCAAAGGGGAAAACAAGCAGAAAAAACTCAACCAGGCAAAACAGCTGGTCTTGCCAGGTATGAGGTAGTGTTGCTATCCCTTTTAGTTCATAAAAAGTTTTCTGACCAGACTGTTTGTGGACAGATGTCTTCTTATCTGAACTGTGCTATATTTATTATTACAACATATTGACATTTTTGATGGCAATTTTAATGCAAGAATAGATATGGAGACAAATCTGCCTATTCAGGTTTCAGTTTCTTATTCTTCCAGGTTCAGTTTTGTTTAATGCTATTTTAGATCAGGTCAGTGAATTATTCTTTTAAAATATTTACAAAACTGAATATGCATTTATCTGGATATAGATTAAAATATGCATTGTTTGGATATGGATTAAAATATGCATTATTCAAATAAAAAATTATTTGGGTATAGATTAAAATATGCATTATTTGGATACAGATTTAGTATTAGAGTCAGAATTACATAGTTGCTTTTTCAGTCATATTTTTTTACAAGTCTTTGTGCACTGTTTAGATATTTTGCTTTCTTTGTACATGTTGTATGTACCTTTTTTCTGTACACATTTGTAAACCTTTTTTCTGGAGAACTTACTAAATTTAAAAATGTGCAAAATTACATTTTGTTCTATATGTTAGTTCAAGAAACACGAATTGAGTAACTTTCCATTAAAACACTTGATTGAAAAACCCGATTTGATTCAGAGTTGTGAATCAGTTAGGAAGAACTTGTTTATGCACACTAGCTAGCCAAATTGTCCATTTTAGATCTGTTTGTGTTTTAACGTCACTTCAGTAGGAGATTCAGCTGAATCTTATTCAAATCACATTTCTGAACACGATGAATTAAATGGCCCTGTCAAGCAAATAGAATGAAAGAAAAGAAAAGAAAAGTAAAGAAGAGAGAGAGAGAGAGAGAGAGAGAGAGAGAGAGAGAGAGAGAGGGTTGATTTTTCATATTTAGAACTACATTATAGGGAAACTAAGTTGGATGTTCTCATTCTCTCACCTAGCCACTTGCTTGTTCTCATTTTCTTTAAACTTTCTTAATAAGACTTTACCTTGAATTCTGCTGTAGATAGTTCATGTATATAGTATTATCCAAATATCTGTTCTAGGTACAGAAAAACAAATGATATGCATGTTAGCAGTTACTGGGGTTTATTTTGAAATGAAAAAAATTCCCGTTGCAAACAGACTTAGGGAATGTCAGGAAAAATAAAATAGAAAAGTAAGTGACAGGTGTGGTTTTTTTGCGTCAATATTAATTTACATGGATGTGAGAAACAGGGATAATTGGCCCCTCAAGATTGAGGTGGTATTTGCTGATGTATATTGTTGTCCTTGAATCCCATTATGTCTATTTATTATACTTCAACTCTATTTAAATTTTTGATTCTCCATGAGTCACCCAGTCACTAATATGAGATGGGTGACTATAAAAATTGAGTAAATAATTACATGCTTCCTAATCAAAGGAGTTTTCTTTAAGCTACTTTGTGAAAAGTATTTAGCTTTTTTTAAAAAATATTGCCAACTATGTATGGGCTGTTAAGATTCTTATAATCTAAAAGGAAAGTTTCCAAGGTGTAATGGGGAGTGGGTAACCAGTTGAGGAGAATGAGAAGGAAGCAGGTTGGGTATGTTCAAAAGAGGTCCGACATAGATTTGAGATAAGCTTGACAATTTCTAATCCTGAGTCATTGCTGAAATTAAAAACGCTGTAATACCTTTTCCTCTATGTTCTTATTGGGAGAAGCCTGTTCAAGCCAAAAATTCTGGAGCTGTGGAGCAGTGTTCTTTTTATAGCAAGCTCTTCACCATCCCAGCAGCTGCATTGCTCTGCTTTTTTTAAGGCCTGACTTGTATCAGACACTCCTGGTTTCTTGTCAGTATGGCAGGGCTTATTAGTCACATGCTATTGGTTGGAAAGTTGCATCGAAGGCATATCAGCCCAACAGCTGGTTGGAAAACAGGTTTGACCTCTTTGATTAAGCTGGATCCATTCTGTTTGGCCAGCTTCTGTTTCTAGGTTGATTCTGGTTTTGCTGTTTAAGAAGAGATCAGAGAAGGCCACTTGCTGAACGAACGTAAGCCATTATTAGAGCATCGCTATGTGGGGCTGAAACCCTGAGAATTTTGTGTGATATTATGCGGGTGAATTTGATTTTGAAAACAAGTATTTAAATTAAGGTTGCAGCCTGGTAGATATGATTGAGTTTCTTTCTACTTTCATTGCTTAAACTTGCTAAACAATAGAGATGATGATGAATGTCGTTGGATAATCCAGACTTTAGTAAATATATACAGTATTTGGAGAGTGTCACAGGATGAACCAGGCATGAGCTTTCTAGAATGTTGTAGAAACAAGGCTGTTATGATAAAAATAAAATAAAAAATAAAATAAGGCCACTGATATGTCATGGGTTTGTGTGTTCAAACCATGATGTGAATTTTGTGCTGTTGTTCCTCTTATCACATGTGGCTTCTCATTCTTAGATCATACTTTATTTTGATGACTGCTATAGAAATAATGATTGCATTTGTCCCAAATTATTGATTTGTGATTGTGCTTGGAGTATAAAGCATTTTTTTTAAAGTTGCACTAATTATATTACCTTATTCTACTATGCCAAAAAGAGTCAGAAGTCAATGCTTTTCTTTCTTTGTCTCTTTACCCTACACTTTTTTCTTTCCATTCCCCATATTTCCATTATTTCCTTTTTTATATATTTTTGCATTTTATATTTTGATAAACTAATAAAATTTGAAAAAGTGGCACTTATTATAGCTTATGGATCCAATATGTTAATGGATCTCTAGTTTTAATTGGCCACAGGAGAGACTCCTGGGGAAAAAAAAAATCCATTCAGAATATTTCCACTAGGGGAAAAATGGAGTATGGCCATTGTTTTGTTCTTCAGTTCTCTCCTTTCTTGCAATTCCATGACTGTCAGGGCAATGTGTCATCAAAAGCTGCAGGAAAGAGGCAGGATTTGCATTCTTGCCTCTTCCCATTTCAGTAAGTGGAAAAACTATGCCACAAATCCTCCTGACTTGCAAGGAGCTTTTTGTATTTCTTTGTTAGAATAAATAGGAACTTGAGAAATTAAGCAGTATGGGGACAGGTCAGGGATGTATGACTTAATATCACATTCCCAAATTTCCAAAATACGGTTTAAAGGATTGAGCTGATAATTACTCTTCCAGGTTGTTGTGGCAAAATGCTTAGCTGATGGTCATTAAACATTGCAAGGACCCTTTCTTCTATTTTTATAAGAATTTTTTTTCTGTTCTTTAAATGCTTTATGATGGATTCTTTTCTGAATTCTTGCACTGTTCTTCATAGGAGGTATGAGGAGAGAGAGACTGAGTTACTTTTGTGTAGGTTGTATTCTCTAGAAAGATTCTAGAGCTTTTAAAAGTGTTGCAGTTCAAAATGGAATTATAAAAGCAAAAAAAAAAAAAGACAAAACATGACATTTAACAAATTAAATTATGTCATTGATTTTGTTAATCCTATACCAGGATACTTTCATCTGTCGTAGAAATCAGATCATGTTCTCATAGCTGTTAAAGAACCGGAATGTCATGTCTTTTTTAAAAAAAAAATAATTTAACAAAGAAAAAAATATACTATATATATATATGTATGTATGTATGTATGTATGCTCAAATTTTATGGATAAAACCAACAATTAAAATATAATCATTACCAAGAAAAATATCAGCGGCAGCAAAATACTTTATTGGTCTTAGTGTTTAAAGAATTTGTCTTTTGAGGAGTTTTCCAAATTTTAATCAAATATTAAAAGGAACGATGATGCATGCTGTGCTTTTCCCTTTCTAAGTCAAGAGACATTACTGGTACCCCTCTCCTTGTTTTAAAAAGAGCCATCCTTTCCTGCCTCCTGAAAAGGAAGGGACTGTGTTCATCCCACTGTGTCTGGCTGAAGGACATCTCTCCCTTTTGGGGCTATGGACTGATAGTGTGGCCTGAGGGGTTGACTGGCAGCTACAATCACAGTGACATTTACAATTATGGCAATGCTTACTATTTATTTCCTTCTACTCCTTTATATTTTTAAACTTAAGCAATGCATCAACAAAATAAAATGCAATAAAATATCAGAAACACAGAGTCTCAGAGCAATAAAGGTACATTTGAATTCTTAAATTGTATTTCTGTCCATAAGACATTGGTAGCCACAGGAGTAATCTAGTGAAAATTATAAGGAATGGTTGCTGGAATTGGGTATGTCTAGTTTAACGAAGAGAAGGATGAGGGGGGACATGATAGCAGTATCCCAATATCTCAGGGGCTGCCATAAAGAAGAGGGAATCAAGCTATTTTCCAAAGCACCTGAAGGCAGGACAAGAAGCAACGGGTGGAAACTGATCAAGGAGAGAAGCAACCTAGAACTAAGGAGAAACTTCCTGACAGTTAGAACAATTAACCAATGGAACAACCTGCCTCCAGAAGTGGTGAATTGCTCCAACACTGGAAGTTTTTAAGAAGAGACTGGACAGCCATTTGTCTGAAATGGTGTAGGGTTTCCTGCCTGAGCAGGGGGTTGGATTAGATGACCTCCAAGGTCCCTTCCAATTTTACTACTATTACTATTACTTATTTTATATAACTAAAAATGGGAATTGTATGTGAGTAAAATAAGTCTTAACTACAAGGTCCTTTTCAGGATTTTTTTTTATTATGTCCATTTTCCAATTAGTGTTCTTTCCCACACTTTTAAATAGCATAGATACAAAGGCAGATATATTTTGGTTTTCCATATTTTGCTCACTTTCACCACACCTCACTTTCTTATCCAAGGATGTAATTTCTTTAAGCATTTCTATGTTAATATCTTAAATGTGCTCCTTTTAAAAAAGGGACTTACTTCCTTCCTTGCTTCCTTCCTTGCTTCCTTCCTTGCTTCCTTCCTTGCTTCCTTCCTTGCTTGCTTGCTTCCTTCCTTCCTTCCTTCCTTCCTTCCTTCCTTCCTTCCTTCCTTCCTTCCTTCCTTCCTTCCTTCCTTCCTTGCTTCCTTCCTTCCTTTCCCCTCATTCTCATCACCTGTAACTCTCCTGGGCCAGTTGGGGGTGGTGAAGTATCACAGCATGTGCAGATATATTGTAAATAAATGCCTCCAGTAGCAGACTGAGGCAAATTATGGGTAGGTGAGGACATCTAAATGAAGAACCTGTGGTTGTCTCTCTTTTGCTATGCTTCTGAGAGAACAGCTTACATTTGTTTCAAGGTGGAGTTTTTAAGCCACAGTTCTGAAATTGCCAGTGGCCAAACTGAGGTTTTCAGGTGAGCCATTCTACCATTAGCTAACCCATCTTCATGCTAGCTAATAGGTAAATCAGATTGATGACCTTGGATAAGCAAAAAAGCAGTGGAAGCAGATTCCTGCTGGCTTCCCCATTGACTTCACTTGTGGAAAGCTGGCAGGTGTCATTGGAATAGTCTGAACATTGCAGACATTTCAATTCATATGAATAATGGGTCCTGGATTTTTTACACATTCTTTAAGTTAGCAGATGCTAGGTATCTTGATTCAAAAATTGTTGCAGTATAATGCATTTTGGGATAGCTTGAGGGTACAAACAGACAAACAAATAACCACAAAGAGAATTTTAGTAGTGTGTAGATTTTGCAGGAATCTATCTGCATTGTTAATCCAGAGCTGATATGGGGACCTCCAAATGTGGTCCACTATAATGGAATGTGTGATGAGTTTGGGGAATGGGAGGAAGGCATTCTGCCTAGTAACCAGAGTGGCAGGGCCCTCTATTGGCTTCAAAGTCAGAGAAAAAACTAAGAAAGTTGCAGTGGGACATTTGTACTTTCAGAATTGTAAGATTCTGGTAATGTAGCCTTACAATAAAATAGTAGTGCATCTTGTCCTGGTTTATCTAGGAGAGCTGAGAGCCATCATATTTTTAATCCTACATGCTTTTACTGCAGGTATTTGGTTGCTTCTAAGCCTTAGTGCTTACCGACATCTAGACCCTATAAGAGGTAGAGTAAGATATAGATCTTTGCTGGGTGATTGGCAAAGGGTTTTGACTGCCAGCTGTTCAATAATATTGTATCTGTAGCTGCTTTTAGCAATAGCAATAGCACTTAGACTTATATATCGCTCCATAGTGCTTTACAGCACTCTGAAAGGTTTACAGTGTTAGCATATTGTCCCAACAATCTGGATCCTCATTTTACTGGCCTTGGAAAGATGGAAGGCTGAATCGGTCAGGACTGAACTCCTGGCTATGGACAGAGTTAGCCTGCAGTACTGCATTCTAACCACTGTGCCACCTCAGCTCTTGATATGCTTTTATTTCACATCATGCTGTTAAGGAAAAGCTTGAGGGTTGGAAACCTATCAAGGAGAGAAGCAACCTGGAATTAAGGAGAAACTTCCTAACAGCGAGGACAATTAATCAGTGGAACATCTTGCCTTCAGAAGTTGTAGGTGCTTCATCACTGGAGTTTTTAAGAAGAGACTGGACAGTCACTTGTTTGAAATGGTATTGGATCGCCTGCTTGAGCAGGGGGCTGGACTAGAAGACCTCCAAGGTTCCTTCCAGCTCTATTCTATTCTATTCTATTCTATTCTATTCTATTCTATTCGCTGGAATAGATTGTATTCTTATTTTTAATAAAAGAATTATGAGCTCAGTTTGATACTGAAAACAAATCCCAGACTGGAAATTGGAATATTGAGATGTAATAGAGGACAAACCTCTGTAACTTTTAGTACTTGAATTGAAGAGGAAATTTCTGTGAGCATAGTTTAGGAGCTATTGTCCTTAATTCTATTTCTTCCTAGAGAAGAAACAATTCTGTAGCTTTTAAATGAATAAATGTAATAAATAAATAAACAATAAAATTAATTAATTCTAAATGAATGTTGTTTCCTATAGGCTTTATGCTAGATATACTGTATAGTGCTGCTTTATCCCTTACTACCGCCAGTAGATTTTGATTGATCTTGCCAGCTTGATGTTGGCAGTATCCTCCTGAAGCTAATGATTCATGCTAGTCTTGTCTTTGCTCTGAATTTAAGTATTTGCCCATTATAGTTTTAAAGATAAACAGATATGACTGGACCCAGTCACTTATTTTTCACCTGCTTGCTTTAAATATTCAACTAAGGGCTTCAGGATAAAATTGTATGATATTTCAGCATTTGTTTGCTACCTATAGTCAAGAGTGAGATTAAAATGTGAGGGGAGTGTGTGTATCAATCAAGTGGGAGATATACAGGTATTCAGTGATTAGCATACCTGCTTGTTTTCTCTTGCAACCCCTACTTTCCAGACCAGATTTATTTTTAATGTCTAAATGTAGCTGATAGAAAAATAGGTTAGATAGTTGCTGCTGGATCACATTTTGAATGACAATTAAGGAAGGGAATTACTACCTGCTATACTGTAACCTGCTATTCTTCTCCTCACTTACTTTCTCCTGCAAGTAATTTGTTAACTTGTAAAATGTAGGAAAATCTGGTAGATCAAATTATTTTCATTCCTTGAGATTTACGTGGTGACAAATACAAGTTGATGGTAGAGCTCTAGGCTTTCTTGTGCTTGGTCATGAAATGAATGGATGAATTTAAAAGTGGCATTATTTGGAACCAATAGGCTTAATTGCTTTCTTTGGCTAGAAAAGAAATGTAATCATGTATGTATCCATTTTGAATATGCTCAGATGATGTGCCAGTAATTCCTGTTTATCAACTGTACTGTAATTAAACTTTTATCTTCAACATTCTTTTTACTTATTTCACGGCTAAAAATGTAACATTGAGATTCGTAGATGGGTTTACATTGTCGTCTTCCTCAATATGACTGATTTTTCTTTTCCAAGAAGGGTAGTACATTTTGTCTGTAGATTTTATTTTCATAGTAGTGCTAAAATGAAAATTATAAAAATACATGACCAAAGGGCATAATTTAATGCTGTTTAAGAATTTTGCAGTAGCATTAATTTTTGAGTGAGAGAAGTTTAATTGTACTTATAATTCTTATTTTCAGAATTTTTTACAAGCACCTCAACAGAAATGTGGGCTGGAATATTTTTTTTTTTTGAAGATCAAAATGTCCCATGGATTTTTGTTTTTCATTCTCGGTCAGTTTGGCAGTTTCAAAGATGTATGACATTTGCTTGTTCGAAAAATCGGAGAATTTATTTCATGGCTCTTTCTCATATCAAATAATGTAGCTCAAATACTTGTGTAAACCATGGATTTTTAAGAGAAATATGTTAACTCGAATCGTGTTCATTTGCAATAGTGGCGAATACCTGTAGCTCAGGTGTAGAATGAGGGTGAAGGTTCGTTCTCTGAGCTTGTAGGTTGGTTTCTGACTATTTTGTTACCAGGCTAGGTAATATCTTCAGTGGAGTTTAGGGGAAAACTCTGCTGAAGGTGTTACCTGGCCTGATAACAAAACGTTCGGAAACCAACCCACAAGCTTGGAGAACAAATCTTTACCTTCATCATGCTTATTTTTTAATTCAAAATTTTCCAGAAATCTCAGATTTGATCTTTATTTGTAACATATAAATGGAGCTGTATGCAAAACTCTTTTTAATTAAGAATGTTTGCACTTATTGTATAATTAAGCTCATTTTCATGTAACCTCTCTAGGCATGAATCAGTCTCTGTCCTCTCATCTGCACCAGTGCTTTCGTCAGACAGTGATAAGGATGGTGAAGACGAAGGAAATGATGAGGATGAGTTACATGGGCTACAGTCTTTCCAAATGACAACCAATGTCAATCTTGAAAGTTGTTCAGGTATAAGGGAATATAAAGATGGGGGAAATAGCAATAGGAGTAGCACTTTGACTTATATACTGCTTCACAGTGCTTTATAGCCCTCTTTAAGCAGTTTACAGAGTCAGCATATTGACCCCAACAATCTTCCTTTTACCGATCTCGGAAGGATGGAAGGCTGAGTCAACTAGAACCAGTCAGAATCGAACTGCTGGCAGCCAGCAGAGTTAAGTATGAGAGAAAAAATAAATTTAGAATGAGATCATGTAGGTACTGGGCCTTTCTTCATTTTCATCAAACATAATACAAACAACCTGACAGCCTTTTTTTTCTGATGTTGCCCTCATCTCATCTTCAATTCATACCTGAAGCAGGTAAAAGTGTGAGTGTTTCCCAGTGTGAGTGTTTCCTTCTTCTTCTTCTTTTTAATATATTTTATTGGTTTTTTAATTTTAACCAAAAGTACTTAAAACACACCGTTGTGTTTGGGTAAACAAACATTCCAAAATACAAGCATAGATAAACAGCTCAACTTAGTACATTCACTGTAATCTCTCTGTCTCCTTCAAATAACATAATACATTTAATATATTCCATTTCTAAATTAAATTTCTATTACTACTAAACCTGTTTTACAACTTTGTGTTTACAATTACCATAATCAGATATAGTTTTACATCAACAAACTGTCACTTCGAATAATTCTTCCAGATACATTCAAACTCTTAATCAACTTAGTTAAAAAAAAATGTTAAACCTTAATTATCTTCATTACACACACTTCAACCTCCATCCAATTAGTTATCATACCTTATCAAATCTATACTAATATAGAAGAAAAACAACTAATTAATTTAAAAATTTCAGTCCCACTCTAAAAAAGAGAGAAAAAAACTCAACATTTTTCAATTCCAATACATGATTTCCATCAAAGTCAATCTATTATTCCAAAAAATGCATTCTTAGTCTAATTAAACATATATGTCAGTTTAAAATTATCATAATCAAGTATAGTTTTACATCAACAAACTGTCACTTCGAATATCTCTTCCAGATACATTCAAACTCTTAATCAACTTAGTTAAAAAAAATGTTAAACCTTAATTATCAATTCATTACACACACTTCAACCTCCATCCAATTAGTTATCATACCTTATCAAATCTATACTAATATAGAAGAAAAACAACTAATTAATTTAAAAATTTCAGTCCCACTCTAAAAAAGAGAGAAAAAAACTCAACATTTTTCAATTCCAATACATGATTTCCATCAAAGTCAATCTATTATTCCAAAAAATGCATTCTTAGTCTAATTAAACATATATGTCAGTTTAAAATTACCATAATCAAGTATAGTTTTACATCAACAAATTGTCACTTCGAATATCTCTTCCAGATACATTCAAACTCTTAATCAATTTGGTTAAAAAAAACAATGTTAAACCTTAATTATCAATTCATTATACAAACTTCAACTTCCACCTTATCAAGTCTATACTAATATACAAAAAAGTCATCTAATTAATTTAAACACTTCAAAATCCCACTCTAAAAAAAAAACAACATTTTTTCGATTCCAGTACATGATTTCCATCGGTCAATTATTATTCCAAAAAATACATTCTTAATCTAATTAAACACACACACACACATAATTATCTTTGCTACAATCCATAAAGCCAACAATTATTATTCCAAAAAATACATTCTTAATCTAATTAAACACACACACACACACACACACACACACATATAATTATCTTTGCTACAATCCATAAAGCCAACATACATGTATATAATTGCATTTTTCTTATTTCTAACTCTGAATTGTGATCCTTAAAACAATCCATAAAAACCAACATTGCCTTTAAATCTATTACACAATTTTGAATTTCTTTTTGAATCTAATTCTGGCTTTTTTTCTATGCCAAACAGGTTTCCATAAAGATGCTTCCCTTTCAGCCAGTGGGTCCACTTTTATTGCTTACAGTACCTTTGAGAAAGTATAAATCCTTTCCTCTGCAATAGAGATCTTTTTCTCTTCTCCTTGCAGCGTCATTGCTTTGTAGTTTGAGATCTTAGTCTTTGCTTCTTCTGTTTCTCTAAGTTGCAGAAGGGAGAGTTGTCAGGTGAAATAAGTTCTTCTTTTATCTCTGTAAATTCCTCTTCTGGTATGTTTTGATTTATACCATAGTCAGATGTAACATGGACATCCATTTGAGCATGTGTAGTAGAATCTCTGAATCTTAGTTCTAAAGTAGAGTTTTTAATTGTGATACATATTTCTGCAGTGGCCTCATAAATCTTTTCCAGTATGAGCGCATAGTATAATTGTAGCTGAGGTTTCTCCATTTTGATACTAATAATTAAAGCAAGGTCTCTTTTTCTTTTTGTGGAGGCTATATTTGATGTAAACAATATCCACCCCCACAGTTCTCACAACTACACAGCTTATCTTTCCCCCTCCAAAGTCTTTTGAAGTTCAGTGTTCCATCTTTTAAAGAAAATAAGCTGCAGAAGCTGCAGTATTAAATTTTCGCCACTAGATGCCCTCAGTCAAACAAAAGTCTTTTCCAAAGATCAATTCCTTTTTTCTATCTTTGATGTATAATATAAAAAAAGAAATAGTCCTCCCACATAGAATGATAGTACAGTTATTTTTTCCTTTTTTGTATCCAAAAGAAAAATATATATAGAAGTGAAATATAGTCTTTTTATATATTTATAAAACGCCTTTCTTCCCATAAAAAATAGAAGCTGTCTTTCCAAGCCAGGGAAATAGTTCTAAAAAGCTCTTACAAGTACCCCCAAAAAAAGTAGAACAGAGAATATTACAAAAGAAAGCTCTCACCCAGGTTCACCACGGGGGCACTCACAGCTTAGGTGTTCTCTGACTTGCGGTCTGCGGTGGCAGGGCGATCGGCCATTTTACTGGCCGATCTTCTTCTCCGTCGGCCCTCAGAGATCATCCGGACAGCTGGAGGAGCTGCCGCTCCTCCTCAGCTGAACAGCAGCCTCCTTGACGGAAGTCGCATCCTCCGGGCGACTTTGGAACCCGTATAAGGGTCAACCAACGGAGGGAAGGCTAGCCGACGAGGAGACAAGTCTCTACGTGCGACAAGTGACGCCGCGAACTGGAACCAGTGTTTTCTTCTTCAAGCAGACAATAGGCTGCAGCAATTTTGCTATGGGCACAATCTGAAGACTTTACTGAACACAAGATTTTTGTCATAGTCAGGTGACTTCCTAGAATAGGAGACTAGCCTAATACCTATTGCTATATGCAAAACTATGCTGGGCCTTCCAGGCTATTTTGCTAACACGCAGAGAGAAAAGAGGGTAGAAAATTACTTTTAATCAACGTTAAGAATGAAAGAAAAGCTAGAATTATCTATATAAGGAAATGTACATAAATACACCTATGAAATCTATGAACAGTTGTCAGCAGCAGAGTTAACTGTACTGTGATGTGAACTTGGTATTCTTGGTATTTAAAAATAGACTATACTAACAGTATTTTTATGTACCAATGAAAGTATACCATGCTAAAACCCATTTGGTTTTTAAATGGTCTCAACCCTGATTCCTTTTTTATATTCAAAGACATTGCAACTAGATTACTTTGGCTGTGCTTTGAGTATCACAGGGCAGTTGTTGTGAGGAAAATAGGAGAAGGAAGGAGTATTAGGTATGTCTGTTGCCTTGAGTTATTTATAAAAATAATAAAGGCAATATAAAATAAAGTAAAAACTTTGGGCAAAAAACCATAATCAGTTATGTTTTATGCTTACTAATCTGATTTGTTTTCTGTCCTAAATTCAGATCTTTCTCTTTCAAGGAGCTTATCTCACTGGGAAATGAGACGGGTAAGTTTTTAATACATATTTAAAATTAAAGAATGGATGGTTAGTCTTGGAGAGTTGTATGAGTTAGGGTTACATGATATGCTAATGTTGAGTTTTGATAGCTTTTAAATGACATAGCATCTATATATTCAACTGTAATTCAAGCAGTTATCTGTCAAGTACATATACTATCTTAGAAATATTACCCATTGCAGCTCTCTCTTCAAAATAGATAGAGACTTCTAGTTTTATGCTGATGAGTGATTTATTGAACATGTCAAAACTCAGAAAGTAGAAATAAAATTTATTTATACAAGCATTTTCATCTTGCCTACACCTATGGATTGTACAGTACAGAGTGTTATTGCAATAAATCTTCCAATGAGATCTTACATTGTTTAAATGAAATTAATCATTTAACCATAAAAATTTAATGATGTCTATGTATCAATGATTATTACTTTGGCAGCACCCTTTAGGTGGGCTTGTTCTGCCTTATGTAAATAAAGCTTGTACAGAAAAAAACAATGATTGAAAACTTGTGCTTAGCTGTCATGGGCTACTTTACTTATCTCCCCTATGGGCATATTGTGCTTTAATGCTGTCAGTAAAAGCATAAGGGAGATTTTTCAGTTTGGTTAATGTAAAACTCATTGTTAGCTTTCTGATGGTAATAGTTTAAGTACATAGAAACAACTATTATTCCTTTTCATTTTCCCATTCTAAAGATTTTCATTGTTTTTAGAAATCTTACATCAACCATCTATTATCAACTTTTCCTACCCCCAAACTTCAGGATTACTGAAATGTGTAGAAATTCTAGAAATTTTAAGATATGGCATATCTAGCGTTCATTAAGTTAAAGAAGGCTGCCCTATGTTTTTGTTTTTCTTTTCTTATGGTTGTTCTGGTGTACTGCAAACCCCTGAGTAGATTTACCATTAAAACATTTTTTTAAACATTTTACCACTTTTAGGCAAAAGAAATGGCGATGATCCAGGCTTCAGAAAACACCATGAGCAAAATGCCTCGGCAGCGGAGCCGTTGGAGTCAGCCCACCAGCAGCTTAGAGATGACGGTTAAATCTATGCTTGATCTACGTCAACTGGAGTCTTTCTCAGTCTCTCGTTCTGCTAGTCAGGATTCTCTTTCCCAGGCCAGCAATGGAGAGGACCACAAAGAGCCCCCCAATATTTCAACTTATGCCAAGAAGGTAAGAAATCCCCTTCTCAAATTGAACCCCCTCCCCCAAAACGGGAGCTTCCTTAGTTTTGCCCACTTTTGGGGCCATGGGGGAATGGTTAGGGAAGGACTGTTCTGCAATGACACCTATCATTTGGGCTTATGGAAACTCCAGTACAAAGGACTATTGTGATATAAAAGCATTAATAAAATGCTCCATGTAAATAATGTTGATAGACCAGTTCATGCCTTTCTTGTCAAGTGGTCTCCTTAATTCTGGGTTTAAAATCTTGCAAGTAGCTTTACTCATACAGGTATCATGTTTCACTACTTAATTCCTATTCCAGGAGGGAGGCTCCACAGCTCATAAAGAAAATCAGCCTTGCCTTCGGCCTCAAGTGATTAGACTTGTGTCCTGCGAAGGAGGGATTTTCCCACAGGAAATGGAACCTTCAGAGAGTGAAGAATGTGTCATCTACCCAGAACAAGATGATCTTCCTCCTGCTGATATCAGCAGGTCAGAAAGAAATTTGTTTCCGTGCCTTGATTTATTTATTTATTGGATTTGAAGGCCACTCAAGACCAGAATGACTCTGATTGTCTTGGGTTTAAAACAGAAGAACGATAACAAGGAACTAGCGCTTTTGGACAATATCCCACATAACAACACATCAAGAGGGCTGCACAAAAGCCTGAGAGAACAAAGGCCTCTGAAATGTCACTGGGAACAATATAGATTTCTGGGGAGATATCATTCCAGGGGTCAGGCACTGCAACAGGAAAGGCATGCTTTCTAGGTGTCTTTAGTTGGCCTTGTTTAAAGAGACCTAGAAGTGCACCAACTCTGCCTGATTTTACCAAATGGGTAGAAAACCATGGGAGATAGGCAGTTCTTCTGATAACCTGGTCCTATGCATTGAAAGGCTCTGTGGGAGATAACAGCATCTTAAACTGCACCATTGTATTCTTCTTTCCCTTACAGTGATTTCCAAGTAAAAGCACTTCCTCATGGAAAACTGGGTAGAAGCTACAATAGCATTGAGGGCCCAGATAAGCACAGCCCCGACAGTGCTTGTTCTGTGGATTATAATAGCAGTCGTCTATCAAGTCCAAATGAAGGTGAGTCCTTTGAAATCATTTGGACTCATACTCCTCCCAATTTTCTCTACAGGTCAGTTCAGCTGTGGCCATAAAACCCACTTCAGATTAAAAGATTACCCTTTTAATTCTGAATTTCATTTGAATTGTAATAATAATAATAATATAATTATAATAGTAATAATAAAGTTGGAAGGGACCTTGAGGTCATTGAGTCCAATTCCCTACTCAGGCAGGAAACCCTACACCATTTTGGACAAATGGCTGTCCAGTCTCTTCTTAAAAACTTCCAGTGTTGGGGAATTCACAGCTTCTGGAGGCAGGTTGTTCCACTGATTAATTTTTCTAACTGTCAGAAAGTTTCTCCTTAGTTCTAGGTTGCTTCTCTCCTTGATTAGTTTCCATCCGTTGCTTCTTGTCCTGCCTTCAGGCGCCTTGGAGAATAGCTTGACTCCCTCTTCTTTGTGGCAGCCCCTGAGATATTGGAACACTGCTATCATGTCCCCCCTCGTCATTCTGAATAAGTTTTAAAAATTATATCCATTGATGTTTTATATATATTTCATCCTTTTCATCTATAGTGATTGAAGTCATTGCCCTATCTTTCTTTTGCTTTAAATGATGAACCAAGATCATATTGGATATTTCATGACAGGTTTTTTCAAAAACGGGGACTGGAATGTCTGTTGCTAAGCGACCTGGTCATAAAGTGCAGCATCATGTGACCACACCACTTAGCAAAGGTAGTTCTGGCATTTGCAGTTGCCCCTGTTAAGCAAATCCTACACCATTGTTAAATGCAATGTCACGTGATCGCCATTTGCAACTTTCTGCTGGCTTCCCATAGACCTTGCTTGACAGAAGCTGACAGAGAAGGTCACAAATGGTGACCATGTGACTGTGGGAAATGATGATGTCATAATTGCAAGCCAAACACTAAGCGCTCGGATTTGTGATGCTGCAACCATCACAAGTATGAAGACTGGTTGTTAGTACCACTTGTTCAATGCCATTATAAGTTCAAACAGGTGTTGAATGAGTGATCATTAAAATGATGACCATCTAGACAACCAAATTAGATAACGATGCAATTGATGCAAATAATGGCGACGCAAATGTAAATTTTTAATAATAAAATTGGAAGCTAGAGCTTCTACTTACTTGGGACCAAATGGAGTTTCTAAGAATAAAGTTGTTGTTTGTCCTCTGTTTATTTGGTCAAAAGAGTCTCTATACATGCAATAGAAAACATAGAAAAAAGGGCCTAGCACAGTGGTTCTCAACCGTTTTAATGCCACGACCCCCAACCGGTCGTAAATCGAGGACTATTCAACTGATACAGCACCGTTTGCAGAATGGGACTTTTGGCGGGCTCAGCAGGGCAGAGACAGCCTGGACAATTCCTATTGGCTTAGAATTAGACTCTATTCAAGAGAGTCTATTCTATTGGCTTTAAAAAGCCAATAGAATAAAAGGGAGTAGCACAGCTAAGGAAAAGGGGGAAAAATGGTGGACTGCGTTGTTTGGCGACCCCCGTGAAATGGTCGTTCGACCCCAAATGGGGTCCTGACCCACAGGTTGAGAACCACTAGCCTAGCAGAATAGCCTGACAAAGACCTTAACAGGAAGAAGGGCTTAAATTAGAGTGGATACAATTTGTGAGAATAGGAAAAAAATTGATCTGGCAAGGATCACTCAGAGGACAAGACATATGGGATGGGGAAAGATAAATTTACTTAAACTATTGCAGTGTTATGGTGATTAGAATTTAAAGTTAGGTGAATTAATTCTTTGAGGGTACAGTTTCTTTCTCTGTATAGGACTTCTTCAAGTAAGAATAGCTTTTCCCTTCCTTGTTTTTCCAAAAGAGCAAACAAATCCATGGATGTGACCTGCAAATGTTGCAGATTGAAGTTGATAATATTCCAAACTGAACCCTTCCCGTAGAGCATTGCAGGGGAACGGGTTTGGAGAGGATGGGGAAATGATGATGATGTTGTAAAAGCAAGCCTAAAGTTGTAGACTGCTTATTAGTGCTGTAGAAAAAAAAATTCAGAGCATAAATAATATAATAATAGGGCTGGGAAAAATATGCGTTGAAATTTATGTAGAAAATTTGGCTGTTTACAAATGCCACTGGGATCCTGTGCCTGAAAAGTTTTGTAAAGTGAGACCAGCATTTTGTAGGTTTTCAAAATTCAGATTGATAGACACATAAAACATAATACACCAGGTATTACTGTTACAGCAAAAAAAAAAAAAAATGGTTCAGTGATGAGGCAGTACCCAGAGACAGTTTAATTGATGAAAACCAACTGGTGAAAATAACAGAATATTGTGATTTTAAAATTAAGGTTAAAATGATTATGGTGAAAAATATCAGTTATCATGCCAATTATAGTCATAATTTGATATAGTTCCAAAATGTTTAGAAATTTTTAAATGTATTGGACTTGACAGACTAATTTTATGAAATACTTGGAACTGTGTACGTATTACACTATATTCCCTGACTCTTAAATCCTTGGCTAAGTTTTGAATCATTGGAATCAATATTTAGTTGATTATACCATGATACATGTTTGAAAAATAGAATAACAATAATAATACTATCCCCATGTGTCCAGAATTGTTACAGCGGAATGGACCAAGAATGTTTCTATTAATGGTATAATGACTTAGTGCAATGTATTATTTCAGAGTCTGTTGATATAATGTTTTGTATAAATGGCATATGATGTGTATCATTTCCCATTTCAGATTCGGAGAGTACCGAGCCTCTCAGTGTGGATTGCACTTCAGACTTGGATGAGCAAGTGGGTGAAGAAGATGAAGAAGATGTAAACACTGGACTATTGAATGGAGATGTTCCCACGACTCCAGATCAAGAGAAATTCCTCAAGCAGCATTTTGAGACTCTAGCCAGTAACAGTGATAAGGGTACATTAGCATATTCAATGGAAACTATAATAGTTCACTCCATTTTCTCTGTCAGGCACAAGTACCTTAATCTTTGATATATAAACTTGTAGATTTATATCCCTCCTCGTACAGCCTGTAAGAAGAGAAGTGATGCCCTGCTGGATCGGACTCTTGGCTCATCTAATCCAGCAGTCTATTCTCATGGTGGCTAACCAATTACAAAAGGAAGTCCACTACTTTCCCAACATAGACTCTTTAGACCTTGATCAGTGAAATGAAAGCAGATTAATGCTCTGGTTTAAATAAGAGCATCTAAGCTTCTCAGACAGAAACAGCTGAATTGCCTAACGCTAGAAGAAAGAGGTATAGGTGTTTATGGCCATAAATTAGTCAAGATGAAACTAATAGTTATCTATTAATTTGCAATCCTGAGAACAATGGCATTAAGTTCCATTGAACTCACAGGACAGTTTGTACTATGATATGGAGTGCAAAGCAAAGTATGCTATCTCTGAGGATCTTTGTTCTTGTACATTGTACGCAAAATAGAAAAACCTAAGTCAAGTTTCACATCCAAATCCCCCGCAGCTTTTCATCCCTAATTTGAGTACCTTTCCTCCTTTTTAAATGACAGATGGATCCTGTAGGACCCTGGAGAGAATGGAAAACAGCATTTCTTCTCGGTTTCTATCTCGGTTTCCAGTACTCAGGTAGAATTCCACTTATTATGAATGCAAAACAGCTTTGTGTTTGCTCAGACAGGGTGAGCTAAGGTGGTGTACCTTCTAGTTCTGAGGAACAAAATGAGATTAGATGAAGCTTCCAGTCTTTTTGATGCATATTTTCAGGAAAAACACAAAAGCCAAAATGTGCCATGTTTGATCAAGATGCTTTATAACTGCATTTATTTGTTAAGCTGAATAAATAAGTTCATTGTGGTATAATGATGATCGAACCTTAACATTTTATTTAGTCTTTTATTTATTTATTTTATTTATTTAGGCATTTTATTTTACTTCAGCATGTCATTCAACTTGAACGGTAAAAAAAATGTTTACTAATCCGCTCCAATCTGATTTCATTAGGTGAGGGACAAAAATGCTTACTCTTCAATGCTGCATGAATATTTCATATCTTATTATAGAAATATTATGAATTATGGAATGTGGAGTTTTTGTGTATTGGATAAAAGTGTTATTTCTATTGGGAAGTCTTTGGTTTGCTTTTTGTCAGCATACAAGAGACCAGAGCAGCTGCTTATATCTCCTAGACCTAGTAAGTCAAGTGGAGCTTACTCTGATAACAGATTTACTTGCTTCAATTTCCTCCTTGTCACTAAATTATCTAGTCAGACATAGCCATGCCAACTATCTCATATTAAGACCGCAACTATCTCATATTCAGAGATTACTCCAATAATAACAGAGAGTTACTATGCCTTGCATAGTCCAAGTTCCTCCTTTTCCCTAAATCATTCTGTCAGGTATAGCCAGGCAACTGTTTTATTGGCAACTGTTCTATAAGAACAGTTATGGAAAGAATTAGCCTTAAATATTTATGGAAAGAATTAGCCTTAAGTATTATTTAATGTCCTTAGGAAACACCTTTATAGAACTACCGTATTTTATAGTAGTTAGCAATAATGCAGTATAATGATGTTATATAGAAATAGATGGTAGAAATGCAGCATTATGATGGCACAAAATTGTCAATCAAATATCTTGTCCTGTCTTCAATTCCATAGGGAACACTCAACTTCTACGTCAAAGCTGGTACTGGATGAGAAATCTACTGAAGGATCAGCTTTGCCAAAACAAGTTACCAATGAACTGCTGAAAAATGGGCTGGACCACCAGCACATTCCCATGGAGAATGGCTTCCTTCAAAATGATATTAATTCCATTAGGTCACTTAATATGCAGAAAAAAAGAAAGTCTGCTGTAGAGATCAACAGAGGACATGGACGATCTGTTGGCTCTTTCCCAGGGAGCGATGGAGCAGCGGTATTGTGGAAATCCCAATCAGTTCATGATCTTGTTCATAATGGTAAGGAAGTGCCTTCTATGAAATGGTTAGAATGATGGCTTCACAATGGGAATCTGTCCATGAGGCTGAAAATCCTAAATGTTTTCATTCAGAAATGACAAGTCCTCACTACAAAATTTAATTACTGATCAATGTCAGAGGTGGGTTGAGTTGGATATACACTGATCAGAAGGAAATGCTAATTCCTCCATCTGATGATAAGAGGCAACTTGACCGGCTCTTTTAGAAGGCGGTCATTGTTTAAAAAAATAAGCTACAAGTCCACTGAGCTTTGAAAGGAAAGGAAAGATCTTTTCTTTTAAACAAGTGTGAAAGAGATGTGCCCTCAGAAAAGAAGATTTGGTCTCACTCAACCCTGTGATAACATTAGCTGCCCTCCCCTCCCTATCAATTGTGGGGAAAAGTGAATGGATCAGGCAGCATTCTGTTGGTGTAATGAATGAGACTTTGGCAATCTTCCTATGTCCTTGACATGAAACAGGATTCAGAGAGACCTACAGAAACCCTGAACATAATTCCTTTCCCCTGCTTCTTTTGACATCAGTGGGAGGGCAACAATTTTAAGAAATAAAGAAAAAGGAGAAGAAGAAACAATGAAAACAGTAACCGCTTCTCCTTCTCTTCTGCCCTGGTAAGCTGAGTTTCAAAAGGCTTTGGATTCTCAGTTGTGGACAGAAGTTTAGCCCAGTAGACTTTAAAGCATCCAGAACTTCTTGGTAATAAATTAGTTCAGTGTCTGGGGACTGGCATCTCACATTTTTCCTCCTCTACTACATGTGTTCTTTGGGACTGCATTTATTTTTCTTAGTATTTTGCACTACTCACAGGATAAATATCACAAATTCTGTGTTAGCAATAACAACCTGGGATTATTATTCTGTGGCTACTTTTTGCCTTAAAGGAGATGTGCCATTGCAACTTTCAGGTTTATCGCATGTTACACAGACAAAAGACCCAAATAAGACATGTAACACTATTTCTTGTCTAAATTTTTCTAACAGAAATTAAGGTAATGATGTTTAGAGAAAAACTTTGTAGAACAAAGTGTTATAACATTGTTATTTTGCTTACTATTTCTTCCAGAAATTAAAGTGAAATAATTACATTTAGAAGTTGGAGCTATTTTAATTCTGATTGCACAAATTGCTCCAGACCAGTTGTGTGCATTTATTTATTCCATTTCTACAGATAAAATTCCTGGCGTGATACTGTCTGCCAGGCAGCGGTCTCAGGCACTAATGGTAGGTGAGAAGGAGCCAAAATCCAATCATTGTCAGACATTTTCTGCAACACTGTTGAAGATGGAAAATTCCAGCTGTTTGCAAGCCAAAGACATTAAAGCTACAAAATCAAAGTCCTACATGAGTCCTACCACTAGCTTCATGGCCAAGATGTCCCGTAGTGTGTCTATGGGAGAGAATCTGTGCTTTGGTGATGGGTCAGAAAACCAGAATGAAATGAAAATCAGCCCACAACTATCAGAGAAAACAAGATTAAATCTGTTAGAGGACATTGAGAAGAATAAGCCATTTGTGAAAGACAACAGCCCAGTGAAACCTTCTCTTCAGCAAACTACAAGCTCTTCATCACCCAAGTCCTTTCATAGCAAGTTGGCATCTAGTCGGGCCCATTTGACCCTTGACATCCCCAAGCCTCTCCCCGATAGACCGATATTAGCTTCTTTCTCACCAAAGACAAAGTCAAAAACTGTGCTGGGATCAGAATCTCCTCAGTCACCTGGTGCTGTTGGGAAAAAGAAACAGTCTTTTCCTGAAGGATGGGTCTTGAAATTGGAAAATCAAGCATCTGGACCTCTTGGCCTTGGTAAAAGTAGTCCTTTGAGTCCTTGTGCAGATACTCTGAAAGAGAACCAAACACAATTGAGGTCCAAAGCCCAACTTGAGCCAAGAGTAACTAATTCCAAACTAAAAGAGCCTTCAGATGAACTGCATCCGAATTCTCCAGAAAAACTGCCACTGGAATGCAGAGATAAACTTGCCACTACTAGTTATGTGCCAGCAAATGATGAGCGTTGCTCTTATGAACAAAGTGGGCCGTGGTCTCCTACAAATGCAAAAGGCTTTGGAAAGGATTCAGGTGTGCATAGATATCTATCTCCTATCTCTTTTACTCTCTTCTGTCTTTTGTCTTTGTTAACAGCTTCCCTTTCCATCATGTTTCTTTCCATTTAGCTTCTGATTGTCACGTCCAATCTGCATTGTCATTATAAGCCATCCTTTCAGTGGTGAGACATTTCAGTCTGATTTCTATTTCCACTTGTTCTTACATTTTATTTTGGTGCATGCATATGTTACAGCTCTCGTGTTTCTTCTTCAAAAGAGAAGTTAAGAATAGGAGTAAACAATACATCTTTTAAGTAATGTTCTGTATTATGAAAAATAGGATTTGATGCCCAATGTTGCCAGAATTTAACAGTATTAAATTCTCAAGCTTTTCTGATACTATATGTTAACACTTAAGCAGCGTAAGAAACATGACACACTTGGCAAAAGGAAATTGTTGTGAGGTAGCAAGAAGGATAAAAGTAACATCTAGAATTTAAAGGATACATTTCAAATATTCCAAAGTTTTTTAAGTTTTAGTAGAGTGAAATATGGGAGAAGGGGGGTTGTTACAGAAATGTTTGAAGGAGATGAAGATCTGTCCATTGATAATCTTCCATCCTGCAGAACAATTTCCCAAAATTTGTTTTGGAAAATTTAGAGATTCCCAGGAGCAGACTTGGGCACACAGTGGGGAAAGAAGATTCCTCTATACTAGCAGAAGTCCACTCACAGAAAATTAAGTGACTTCTGTAATATTTTTTGTTGGATTTCAAAGTAGTAATGTATCTCTGTATCACAAGTCACTTTGGTTAGTTGAGTAAGTTTGCATTGCAGATAATGTGAACTTAGTTCGTTTACAAGAGGCCACAAACACTGAATGTATTTTATTACAAGTGATTTTAAAAAAGAGTTTAAATTTAGTTGAAAACAAATATTTGAAACGGAATATTTTTCAGGGGGTTGAAAATGTTTTGAAAACTTTCATCTCTTTAGCATTGAAAACATAACAACATAAACTGTGTCTTATTGACAAGATAGTTTTAGAGCAAGGGTCCTCAAACTTGGCCACTTTAAGACTTGTGGACTTCAACTCCCAGAATTCCCCAGCCAGCTGTGTTGGGAGTTGAAGTCCACAAGTCTTAAAGTGGCCATGTTTGAGGACCTCTGTTTTAGAGCACTTGAGTCCAGTCCTGAGAAATCAGCTGTGGATATCATTTGATTTGAGTATGAAATTGAAGAATCATTCCTTCAAAAACTGCCGGCTGTGAAATGCTTTATATGCTAATACGAACACATTGAATTAAGATAGGAAATTAACTAGAAAGCAATAAAAAGGATGAAATGCTGCCTATTTTAAAACTAGCTGCATTGAATGTTATCTTTAAGTGGAAGTTTTTGGCTGTCTTCAGCAACAATCCTCTGTACAGGGATTTGCAGTAACTAAGATGAGAGAGCACCCTAGCTTGTATTAACTGAGCCGAGGTGGCGCAGCAGTTAGAGTGCAGTACTGCAGGCCACTTTAGCTGACTGTGTTCAGCAGGTCAGCGGTTCAAATCTCACCGGCTCAAGGTTGACTCAGCCTTCCATCCTTCCGAGGTAGGTAAAATGAGGACCCAGATTGTTGGGGGCAATGTAAATATATATATACATTGCTTACTGGTGTACACCGCTTAGAGAGTGCTTGCACTTAAAGCGGTATATAAGTCTCATAAATAAATAAATAAATAAACAGATGTAAGGCTATCTCCTCTATTACGTAAAATTAGAGCTGGTCACAAATAAATTCTACATAATTTCAATACTTTAAATATTAAAAATTAGCTAACAAGTGCCAAAATTTGAGGTTCAGACCAAATTAACCCTCCTCCCTTCCGCTAGAGACAAAATTAGATCTATAAGTATTCCCAAGCAACGAATGTGATCATCTAGATTTTCTAAAACAGATTGAATAACCTTTACCAAGACAAATCCGTTCATGAACAGGTCCTGATGTTTTGGTGTATTGGCTCTTATCTGATTTAATTCAGTTCCATAGTCATATACATCTACTACCAAACCTGAACTTGATGAAAAAGAGAAAGAGAAACTTTTGTGTGGCACCCGAATGCTGGTGGCATTTTATTCTAAACCTCAGAATCATTCAGCAATTTAATATAGTTGTTAAAGATAGCAAGATACAGTGCTGCAGAATTCTGTAGTGGTAATAATATTGTATAGCATTAAGTAGAAATCTCCCAGATGCATAACATCTATATCTGAGCCTTGTTAGTGTATTCAACATATACCCAGTTCAAACTTTCAGGAAGAATATCATGATCAGCTGTTGAAGGGCAGCTCTGTCCATGTCTTCCTTGCAGGAAAGATGATTTCACAAAGACATGTTTAAGTCCTCTTTACAATGGATTTGTCCAGAAATAATTTATTGATCAATTTGAATAAAGTGGTTATATTGGTAGGGAATAACAGATGTATTATAAAAGAATATTTATTTTTAACCATCCATTTCTAAAGCACGTTTATAGCAACCAATAAAGCTTCATTAAATATCAACTAATACAACAACACAATTACATCAACCTAATAAAATGCTTTTCCATAAAATATCAGGAGCAAATAGTGAAGCACTCTTTTTAATGCTGTAATAGGCTTCACGTCTTGCTATAGAAACGCCTTTCCTTGAAATTATGTCCCACATAAATTGTACTACTCAATCACATTAGAACAAAGGATTCTTGAGGGCAGGAGTGAGTGTCATTTTATATTTTACTAATGGCTTGCATGCAACTTTGGGCCTTGGGAAAAGTTATCTAACATCTGCTTTCAGTCTTTTTCTATCTACCAATTGTGCACCTATTTCTCTTTATGGAAGAAAAAGACATGGAAAACGAAGTATGGTCATCACAGTGGCTATCTGCTATTCATGGCTGAAAGTTCATTGCCATTAGTTCTGAAGACTTGTACATCATTCATCTAAGAATTTTGGGATGCTTAGATACCATTAGCAACATGTCCATATATCTGCATTGGCATTGATTGATTTCAACAGCAATGTAAATATATAAAATGGGAGAACTGCTCTTATAATGAATAGAGAACAGTTAATAATTCATTCAGGAAAAATAGTTAATAAGATTATAGAGATTATTCATATTGAAAATTAACAAGAATGTGAAGAATGTAAAGACCTCAAATGTTAAATTTGAATTTTTTCTTTGAAGGTGGCAATCCCAGGTTTGTAGGATAGATTGGAAAACTGGAAAAAAAAAATCCCGAAGAAAGATATGGTTAGATCTTTGCCAAAATGTGTACATTTGTGTGGTTATCAAGTACTTGAGTTGAGCAAGTCTTTGTCTTGAATCCAGTCAGTTCTTGCAGTTCTTCAGCTTAAAATATCTTTTTTTTAATTACAGAAGTTTTGGTGGGTCTTAATGTTATCTTTGTCTGGACATAAAGGCTTACGCATATGTTTATTTCTATCCATTTTTATGTCATTCATTGTGTGTCATTTACATGTTTTTACATGTTTGACTGTGCTTAATTAGTAGGATGGCAGCTAGGCAAGTAACCAAAGTTAAACTTGCCTTTTAATACTTGCAGGAAAGTGATGTAATGCTAAAATAGACTTTCTATAACCATCAGTCCCTTATATTGTATCCCTCTTAATAAGTCTGTAAAACAAGATGCTTTGGGGGATTATATGAATTACTGTATAAATTATTAATTTCTAGTACTCAGATTTCATATAGCTATGATGTACTTTTTTATTTAATTGGGATCAGACTTTTTGACTAGGATCACAATTGCACTAAATCATAGCTGTTTAACCAGCATTTCTTAACTAATAAATCTGGCAAGTTCAAGTTGAATCTGCTAAGCCAAACCTAAACAATCTATATTACTCTTGTACTTTTTAAAAACTATTCCCTGTTTTACTATTTTGGATATGCCTATTGATGGGAAGGAAACAAAGGCAAAGCAACTTTGGTTATGGATAGGCCTAACTGGTGTCTCAGCATGCTTTCTTTGACAAATCAAATTAATTGACAATGTTTGAATTAAAATACATTTCATGAATTGTAATGGTAATCATATGCTTCACATTATCAATATTCAAGAATCAATGACTTCTCCAAAACTGGTATGATTTTGCATGACTTAATATTTTTCAGTAGTGAATCCTAGGGCAGACTGAAATTAAACTTCTGTTCAGTATTTATCTTCTCTTGTTCCTCCACACTATCAGGTTCTTCAATCAGTGTTGAGCAATGCAAGCATGTAGTATCTGAGCTCCAGGACAGTATGCGTAAGGCCATCCAGATATATCACATGGTAAGTCACCCCTTTGAATTCTTGTGGAAAACGAAAGGGCTCTTACGAATTCCAGAGGGTTTTTGGCAGAGAGATTTATTGCGCAGGTTCAGAGGCTATAGCAACAAGCAATTCTGAACACCGAGGGCGGGTTCAGACTTCAGTTTTATACTTTCCTCAGGAACGAAGGAATACACATTGTAATACATTAGGTTCGTTTCTCACAGGTGTACAATGGAGAGTTTTGCTACATACATTGTATCCAAGTACAACGCACATTAGGTTAGTCACATACTGCTAACACAGCGCTATTCCAGTAATTATGCAGACACAGCATTATTCTTAGTGACTGTTAACTTTTCCACATTAGTTTCTGTTAGATCTAACTGCTTATGTATAAAACCAACATATTAATTCAAAAATATATAGCTAAGGATAGGAGCAAAAAAAAATTCCATTAAAGAATAGACATCTGTTCTTCTTCTTGTGTGTGATTAGAAACCAGATTAACTACATTAGCAAACCAGAAGGTAAACTGAAAGAATTTCAAGCGGCTGACCAGCTATACTGTAGGCCAAAATATGTATTATAATTATGTATTCATAAGATTTTAGCAGCTCCTTACTTTTTCTTTACTTGCAAGTGACCAAAAACCATGCAGAAGCATCGTGAAATGCATCTGTTTGGCTTGATTTTTAAAATTCATCAGAAGTGCTAGAAAGGAGTGGGGCTTGCAGAAAGGAGGAGGAGGAGGAGGAGGAGGAGGAGGAGGAGGAGGAGGAGGAGAAGAAAGAAGATGACTTGATGCTCTCTGAGCCTAACAGTCCTCCCGCAGATGTTTCATTACCCAACTAGCCAACATCTCCAGCACTGATGATATTTCCTAGTTGGGTAATGAAACACCTGCAAGAAAGCAATCAAGCTCAGAGAGTACCAAGGAGCCCACAGTAGTTCTTCTACTTCCTCTTAATAATAATAAAGTTGGAAGGGACTTTGGAGGTCATCTAGTCCAACCCCCTGCTTAGGCAGGAAACCCTATACCATTTCAGACAAATGGCTGTCCAGTCTCTTCTTGAAAAGTTCCAGTGTTAGAACATTCACTGCTTCTGGAGGCAGGTTGTTCCACTGGTTAATTGTTCTAACTGTCAGGAAGTTTCTCCTTAGTTCTAGGTTGCTTCTCTCCTTGATTAGTTTCCACCCGTTGCTTCTTGTCCTGCCTTCAGGACAAAATATTGTTTTTTTAAAACAATTACAGGTAGCCCTTACTTATCAATCATTCATTCAGAGAACACTGGAAATTATGACTGAAAAAATAATTTTATGGCTCATTTATAGCCATTTATCACCATTGTAGGATCCCTCAGTCACGTGAATATAATTACAGTCAGTACACATTGCCCTTCGCCTGCCCTGTGTTTCCCTTTCCCCTTGTACAGCAGAGAGATTGGGGAAAAACAGATTGCAAGAAAATAAGGTGTTTGTTCTTCTATACATTGAAGACAATGTGATTGCACTAGCGCAGTGTTTCCCAAACTTGACAATTTTAAGGCATGTGGACTTCAACTCCCAGAATTCCACAGCCAGCGTTGCTGGCTGTGGAATTCTGGGAGTTGAAGTCTTCATGCCTTAAAATTGTCAAGTTTGGGAAACACTGCACTAGCGGCCTGGTGCTGGGGGATTATGGGCATGCTGTGCAAGCAGTTTACAGTATTCTCTTCAAATCTCTTTCTCTCCAATCTTTCCATTTTGCAAGAGGGTGGGGAGAAAAAAAACAAGTAGCCAATCTCTCCTTGCCCTTCTCTTCCTGTTCTCTGATCCTTCCCTTCCCCCCTCCACTGCAGACCAAAGAGATTAAAGAGGGATTTCAAGAGAGTGAGCTCTTTACATCAAAAGCAATGCAATCACGTGGCAGCCTGGAGCTCAGAGCCATGGATATAAAACTCTCAGTATTCTTTTGAAATCTTTTTTTCTCCAATCTCTCTTCTCTGTGAGGGGGAGGAGGAGGAGGAGAAAAAAAGCAAGCAATTTCCGTAGGCAATCTCTCTTTTGCTTGACCCTTCCCTCTTCCTCAAATCCATATATCTGAAGAATGCCCAGATTGAGGAAGGGTGACTTGAATTTTAAACACTCTTCTATGATTGCAAGTGATAATCTTGCAACATAGGATTTACTGCTGCTAGTTTTGTCTATTCCTTTGCTTTTCTAAAATAAAAAACATAGCTCTAAAACAAGCCTATTTGCACTTCTTTTTTCAGGTATCTACTGACATGGAATCTTCACCTGACAAAGATGAGATTTCTGGTCTCTTCACTGAAACTTTCTCTGTAATGAAAAGAGATTTGGATTCTCTGAAAGATGGTAAAGGACTTCAAAGGAAGAAAAATCAACTGATGCAGCCACAAAATATAGTTGGGATGCCATTAGGGGAGAACAGTGGTGAAACTTTATCTAGTCCTCGGCATTTTGGAGATGACCAAACTCTTGCCTTGTTGGAACAATATTCAGAGTTACTGCTACAAGCTGTTGAACGACGTATGGATAAAAAACTTTAATTAGAGTTTTCAACGACACGTGTTTTTAATGGAATGCTGAGAACCATACACAAAAACGGATGGAACTTTATCATATTGACAACTTGAAATAATACTTTGGGGTGTTTTTTTAATCCAACGGGCAAATTTCTTTTAACAGAAACAGTTCTGTCCACATCTTTTTAAAATGTGCTGGTCACAGTACTAATCCCCTTGTGCCTATCTCCTCCATTAAGAGTGTTATAAGAAATATTTGGCTTAAAAAAACCATTCTCGCAATTAAAGGGAATCAGTCCAGGGGTGGCCCAGCCTGAAACTGCTGACTTAATAGAATGAGATCAAGATGAAATAGGTTTGTCCCTTTGCAGTGTTATCTCAAACTAGGCATACACTATTAAAACTTTTATTTATTAATTTATTTTTGCAATTATAACTCTGAAACTTTTTACCTGGGTTTTGTAGTTATGGTTATTTTGACATGTTTTCCACATTTATTGTGAGAGAGATTTGATACAGTAAATATATTGATGGAACAGATAGGTTATAAAACTGCTTTCTGTTGTAGCCTGCATTACTAAATTTTGCTTCCTTATTCCTTTTTATTATGCCAATATGTTTTATTTTAATTTTGTATTTAGCATTATCATTCTGCTTCCATTTTCTATTTAAAGAAAATTATGTGCTCTACTTTTCATTGACATTTGTTTCCACAAAACATCTATCTTTTGACTCAGCTTCTAGAGATTTGTTACAAAGCTTGTTGGTTAAAAGAAAGGCTTTTTTTAACCTGATTAGTTCTACTTTTCTCAGGTTTTATGTAAAACTAGATCTATCAGAGTCAAATTGATGCAGTTGAATAACTATCCAATTTTTAAAATTCTTACTGCTCGGTTATGTCAGTGGCATTAGCTACTGGACTCAAGATGTTAGCACTGTTCTGTTTTCGTGGATATAGAAATGTAGAAAGATTGATATGATGGGGAATGGATAGTGATAGAAAACAGTCACAGAACAGACTGATGAAAGCTTCTAATCAATACATCTTCTGCGAAAGCTTCAGATATTCCTGACTTCCCAAAAGAGAGATCCCCTTTGTCTATGGCTGAAATTTGAAAACAAAGTCTGAGTGTTCAGGGAATATTGATTGCTATGACATTATTCTATTTCCTTTTCTCCCTTACATTGGAACATAACTAAAGCTGCATGAAATATTACTGTGTTCTACATTATGCTAGGCATCTCCAATTTCATATCAATTAGCACATTGCCCTTATTCAAATAAAGAAGAAAGTAAGTGCAGGTCTACATCCTTTCAGCTATGGAACTCTTTTTATTGAATTATTAATCCTAACATGTCTGAAGTATTCACTGATAAAAAAGAAACCATTTTAAAACAATAAAGTTATAAAACATTAATACTGTTCTTTCAGGTTAGACAATAGCGGTGTTTCTTACTGCTGATCTGATCATTTTAATAAATAGCTTCACTTTATAGCCTAGCCTTCCTCTTCTGCCTCCTAGATTTGTTGAGGTTAAAACAACTTTGGGGAGAATTCCTAGCCAGCATGGCCCAAATTAAAATTCTGAAGATTTGTGCTCACAGTCAAATCTAGAGGGCACCATGGTGGAATAGGCTGAGTGGCTTTTCAACTTGCATTTTGTAAACTGTCATGTGAACATCTGTCTTCACTGGCCATCTGTGGCATAGCTTTTTGTCTGAATCTTGTTGACTTTCATTCAGCACCACTGCAGTGTTAAAGAGATCTGCAGAGCTGTTCCCATTTTGGCTGTCCACTGAACTCCAAGGCTGGGGACTTGGAGCAGTTAGTGCTGTTTAATTATGTCATTTCTGGATTTGTTTAGACAATTCTCTGAATAGATTTGAATGATAGTTGATGCGCTTCTTAAAACTGAGCTTTTTCTTTCCAGCTATAGATGTTTCAGTTCAGAGATACAAAAGAACTCAGGATAGACTGCTGGAATATACTCTTAATTTAAGTGAAAACTAAGGTGGCTATTTTCTACATATCCATGTTGGGAAATGTCTTAACAGCCAAAATGTCTTCTTCCGTGTTCATATCTAGACTATAAAAAGTGTTCAATGCTCAGGAACCTTTCCTATGCTGGGACACATGCACTCAGGTAAAGAAGTCATGCTTCCAGATATCCTGTGGCATGAACAATGAGGAATTCAGAGTGTCTATTCAATCTTGACAGGGTCAAACATTCAAATGTCTTTGGAAATAAAATCAACTTGCTGATAATTTATACCTCAAGCATTAACGAGTAATGATTAATCAGGGACTGCCTTGGATAAGAGGCAACATCTAAACCCCTGTTAATTTCAAAGCAGTTTCCAGTGAATAAGTTTCACTGTGTTATTCTTAGATCAGGAACTATTTATTTTCATACACCCAGGTAGGAAAATACTGTAACACAGATGGGGACTTGGATGTGAACTAGAACTGTAGTTTTGTGAGTCTTGAGTAAGTAGATATTTGAGGAGAAATGGATAGGCCTGTAATTTCTAATATTTAAAGGCCTACTGAAGGATTCTAGAAAAGTTATAGGATTGAGAATCAGTTGATTCAAGGAGCAAAATAGAAATGAAAAAGTTCTGGAGTGGAAAAGAGATATTGTAAGTAGAGTTAGCAGTTAAACAATAATGTAAATGAGTTTGTAATTAAGAATTTGAGATTTGTTTGTCTTTTCAAGTGCCCTTTATTTTCCCACTAATATATATGATTTGGGCATTGGGAATGAATATTCTCAGTCAATAAAATTTCTCAAAGCCATTTGAGTTCCATGAGATTTTGACCTCCCTTATTTTCTCTATGCGGTCAAGAAGAACCAGGAGAAAAGCCTACATGTTCTCCATGGAAAATACTTGATGTAAAATACACTTTTTAGTCATTAGTGGCACCTTATAGTAATTCAGATATAAACTGTGGAGCATTGCTTTTTAAAAAGTTGGATTATAAGGTTTTGTGACAGTAAAATACCAGCTAGCATACTTTTTTGTTCTTAAGTGCATGCAGTTTTTCTGGTGTTATTATAGATGTCCATTAGCCCTTTAAAGAAACTTCAACATGTTATCTAAGGGGAGGAAAAATATAAATGCAGTATTTCAATCTGTTCTATTTCTACTGTTTTTAATGTATGCATGCAACTTCTATGTATTAAAAAAAATCAGAGAGATTGTAAAAGATCCATTTCTGTCATATTTGCATATTGTCTCTGTGTTTTTTGAAATGTTTCTTAATGTGATTTAAAGTTTCTTATACTATTTCTCTTTTCAATGATAGGCTTCATTAAAAAAATATTGTGCATGCAAATGAGATCTATCCCTGTTTCTATAGAAACACAGGAAAACTTTCAAAGGCAAGAAATATGTGCACACCAGTTATAGATATATGTATCTGGTGTTTCTACATACGAATATCCTGTTACATACCTGTACTTACTTGTTTTCTTTTTTGTATAAATGTCTTTTTGATATTGGGGCTTATTCACTTCTCCTTTTGATTCAGACCTTATTCATCCCAAAGAAAGAACTAGCTAACACAGAGGGCAGTGTTTTAAAACATAAATAACATTGCCATGTATGTGCACTCAGCTACTAGATCTACAGAATTCCATATTTAAAATATTACAGATTCAGAATGCAGAGCAGCTACTGTAAGGCCCTTCAGGTATTGCTGATTAAATTGTTCTTTCTCTAAATTAAAAATAAAAAGAATATTCTGTATTATGTGTAAATAATAAGCTGAAGCTGGGCTGCTTATATATTGGGCTAACCTGCTGTAAATTAGGAATACAGTAAGCCATGTCTACACAACATATCTTTAAGCCTAGGGTACAGATAGCTTTTATCTGTGTTCTTTCAACACTCCCTTTTTATTTTACACTTGTTTAAAAGGAGAAAACATCCCTAGACCTTCTTATTTATAAATGGTGTTTTGTATCTTGACTTTAAGGGAAAATGAACCTTTTAATTATTTTTAATTATTTGAAAATTGTTTTAATGGTTGTTGGGGATTTGCATTGTGAGCGATTTTGGGGGGGGGGTGTTTTTAATTCTGCATTCATTTGTATTCAATGTCTAAATTTCAATAAACAAATTTATTGTTACAAATTTATTTTCATGCTATTGTTTACTATGATTTTGCTAAGACAATTGATGAACTCAAGTGGGGCTACAAAATAAAGTGGAATAAGCTACATTTTCCCCGGTAATTTCAAACTGAGAAACAGGCAAAAGTTCCTTAACATATCACTAATTATTGTTCTATAAATCAGTTTCCTGTGCAGTATGTATTTGCAGGTCAACCCTCTCAAGATTATATCCATGAACCAACTGTACAGTGGCCTTAAAGGGGGAGAGAGAATATTATCAAGCAAGTAAAAATTAGTATAATAAGCAGAGCCAATTTTGTTTTCATATGTTTCAGCAACGATGTTAGCTAACCTAGTTATAATGGGGAGAAACATTAGTACAAATGTACTGTATACAGAAAGTAAGATTTATATATTTTCTTGTATGCCAATGCGGTACAGATGGTAGTAATCGTAATAGTTATAGTTTTGCTATAGAAAATACTTTGGTTCCACAATACTGCTCAGGAGTCAAGACTGATTCAAAGGCATTATTTATTAATTAATCAAATTTATATAACTGCCCATCTCACAAGAAGTGAATAAATGAATATTAGACATTGAAGGGATTTTATTGTGCTTACGATTTTAATATGTTTAAGTTTGACATTAGCATTTATTTTATAGTGACCATTTTATATTGATACTTATAGTGTTATCATGTAATCATTGTCTTGTTATTTTGAAATCATTATTTTGTAGTTAATTGCTTGATCAGATGGTTTATATATATATTGGAAAAGTAAGGGCTTCATGCTTTAGGTACAGGTGATTGCTTATATGAAAAGAGCACAGTATGGGGAGGGGGAAAAGGAGTTACGGATGGAGCCTGGGTTGCTATGTATGAGTCATCATCTAAGAATTATTTTTTTGTGCCATCTTATGCCTGGTACCAAGACCTGATCTTTTTGTTCTGGAAAGGTATAAAAGGTGGAAGACATCTTTTCTGGTTGTTGCCTTCATTCCTCTACCAGCCACGAAGAGGAATCAGGCGGCCCCTCTGTTTTGATCAAAATAAAGTTGTAATCTTTGTTGAAACCTCTGCTCAGCAGTTTCTTTAGCTTTTTTAAATTCCTGAGTAACGCTGGGGCAATTGTGAGGCTAAGTGGAAAATCTTACAACATGTTTGTGCATTTGCATATTTTACAACATTTGCATTGTATGTTTGCATTTACATGTTTTACAAATAAACCCTTATGTATGGAAATGGATAAGAGAGTCCCCTTCAGCAAGATGAGCAGCATACAAGTCTAATAAATAAATATAAAAAGTGAAATAATAGCAACAACAATAAAAAGAAATGGGGACAGCAGAAATGCTAATTTACAAATAACTGCTGTGCAATTGCTCCTTTTGTTGGAAGGGTAGTGAATCTGGACTTGGCAGGATTATGCACTGTGATTAAGGTAAACTAAATGAGACATATTCCGTAATCACAATTGAATTTGTGATCTGGATTGGGATGACAGTATTTTAACTGGGTTGTCAAAAACATATTTTAATGATTATATATTTTAACTTTGGTTTAGGAGTGAGCTCATACTGCATCCTTTCAACCAATTTTAGTATGCTGTGGCTTTCTTTTGCCATTTTTCTGCCAAATGAAACTTTTAAGACTTTTCAATTTAGGCAGATTTGTGATGATTGCAGTGTTCGTAATAGTATTGTGTTGGTCAGAATCAGTGCCATACTTTGAGAGCTTTCCACCTCCCCTGGAATTCAGAGAATGGATCTGCCCAAACATTTTTGGGTTTTTCACTCTTTTTATGATGAACTGAAAACCACAATTGAGATTCCCTCATTATCAAAGAACCTTTTTATTGATCTGGCCCAAAAGAATTGCATTATCTCTAAATGTGACTCATCGTTACATATGTGTGGTTACTAACATATGGGTGAGCAATAGCCTCGGGGAAGCACATGAAATAAAGTTTACTGCTAGTCAAAATCTCACTTGAAAAGCCACCAATACACCCAATGTTTTTTTTTTAAACAACAAGGTTTTGGTAAAGCCCTTGGACAGACTTAGGTGTGAACATCTCTTGTAGGTGAGCACCTCAGCATCCTTTTGGTGGATTACCACCGATTCAACCCAACCCCAAAATCATGGCAAACATTCCCCAATATGGACCAATCTAACAGATACAACCCTCACTTTGACCACCTCAGATGAACCTGCTACTTGGGCAGAAGATGGAATGTATATAGTTACAGGACTCTTGTTTAACAAATACAATACAGTAAACTGTATTAGAAATAATTACAAATGAAGGGCATTTAGAATAACAATGCTGTTTTGCTTCTCTATACTATACTTGCACACATACAGAGATAAAGAAACTTGGTTAAAATAACACTACAAAAGAAAGTTTTGTGAAAATAAGGAGGGTATGACTTTTCTTTTACATGCTGCTGCCTGCGTGTGGAGGAAATACACCTAGCTTCTTCGGAAACCTGGACAGCTGCCATGGAAAGCTGGTTTGGAGAGATCTTTGGTGATTGGCGAAGGGAAATTTTTCTGGTTGTGTTAGCTTTTGGAGGTCTTCTGGTTTTGCCATGTTTGATTCCTGTTATCCAAAGAACAGTTACTTCTACCATCTTGGGGATGACGTTCATAGCATCCTCTGTAAGTAGTGATAAACCCCATAACAAAGGAATATACATCATTGGTCACCAAGTAACAGAAAGCATTCTGTTACAAAATTAAAAAGGGATGAAGGGATCTGTAACTGGAACAAAAAGCAGTTGTTTAGCCTAACTATTGCTATCTCATTTTTGCAATCAGCATTTGCATCAGGGACAAATTTCATGCAAACATGGGAAATATGTACATGGATGGGATGTACTGAAGGACGGAATAAGTCTAAGATGTGGCACTTCTGGATGTAACTCTGCCAGCTTTCAAGATTATTTGCCACCCAGCTGTTTTATTTGATCAATTAAAGCACCACTTCCTCAAGAAGCCTCCATTTGGGTTGCCTGATCAGACTTTTAATGGTATCTCAAATTTAAGCAAGGGCCAGGGACCTTACACAGCCTACATGAAAAACAAAACAAAATCCCATTTATTATCTCAGAATATTAGATTTTTCCATGCAATCAGATTAACTGGGCCAGTATGGCAGCCAGTTTCCCCTAAATCTCAAAAAACGCTAAATATGTTTGGGGTTTCTTAAACATATCTTTGAGAGATTCAAGATGTGAAGATTACTGGGCCGTCCCCCAAAAATCATACTGAGATTAAGGTCGTTTGCAGAACACCCTGAAAAACCTGTTCCATGAATGCAGACCGTACGAAAACAGCCGTGAAGTGTACAGGCAGCGGGGGGTGGTGGAGGGAAACGCATGGAGAGGTCGACTTCGACCTTTTCGCGTCGTAATAAGTTTTGTGGCGCCGGTGGGGTTTATTTAACACGTTTTCGTCCCAACTGCACCCGCAGAGAAACTACGCAAGCCCGTCGGAACCCGCTGTCAGCTCGAGACACAACAACCTCCCCACTGCCGCCACCAGGCACTGAAGACGAGTTGGGGGCGGAGCCGTGAGCGTCTTCCTCAGCGGAGGCAGAAGGCAGAGGCTGGGAATGGCCGTGGGTTCACCCGGTTCGCGGTCGGTGCACGCGCAGATAAGACTGCCTGATGGCGGAGGCTGAGTTGAAAGAGGGCGTGTTGCGAGCGATGAAATGCTGCTTGGCTGATTTTCCCGCCGAAGCCAGAGGTGAGCGGGGTGTGTTTGTGTGATGAGAGGCACGTTAGAGACAGCGAAAGCTAATCCTCCCTGGTTCAGTGCATAAATGGAAGTAAGAGTATACGATCCGTTTATAGACTAGCATACCGGAAGGAAAGAGAATGGTAATAATACAGTACCATGCTGAATATTGCAGTGTATAAGACCACATTCTTTTACAGGGAGAGGTTTTAGGATTAGGAGCTTCATTGCAGAAGCCGTCTCTCACCGATTGGGATCTATGTTAAAGCAGTCCAAAGATCGCGGGGTGGCCTTCCTTCTCTGCCATGGAAACCTGGAAAACCTGATCTCTACAACCGCCCCCCCCCCTATAAATAAAAAGGCCTGCATTGTTTTGCTGGCATCACACAGTTGGTAGTGCCCCAAAGTGAATCATAACCAGTGTGTTTGCTATTTTGCAAAATTGGGAGTGCTGTTGCACAAAATGCTGTACAGGCAGTCCTCAACTTACAATGATCATTTAGTGATCATTCAAAGTTACAAAGACACTGAAAAAAATGACTTATGACCATTGGGATCGTAGCAGCATCCCCATGGTCACGTGATCAAAATTTGGATATTTGGCAACTGGTTCATATAGTATCCCGGGGACATGTGATTTTCTTTTGCAACCTTCTGACAAGCAAAATCAATGAAAAAGCCAGATTCACTTAACCATGTTACTTAACCACAGTGGCAAGGAAGGTCGTAAAATGGAGCAAAACAAAGGAACAGAAATGTTGGGCTTAATTGTGGTTGTAAGTCAAGGACTACCTGTACATTCTGTAATGAAGCAGTGATAACGAGGTGTCACGTGGAGGCAGTTGATAGAAATACAGGTAGGTGGGCAGGTGGGGCATAACATTACCAAAAGCCTAGGCCGGTTTAGCTCTCGCACTCCACAATCCCAGTCTGCACAGCAAAAATATCTGACGTATAAGAATTCTACTCCCAGTCAGTTACTGAATCTTCTGGGAAAAATGACAAAATTACCACTGCTCCAAGAAAAACTTTAGGCAGAGTTGTCAATCCCTAAAATGATTGCAATATTTTTTCTTCTTCTGTGCGAATAGAGTTGTGTTGGTCGGAATCAGTGCCATACCTTGAGAGCCTTCCACCTCCCCTGGAATTCTACAGAGAATGGATCTGCCCAAACAAACCATGTGTAATACGAAATGCTTTCAACCATTGGCCAGCTCTGAAGAAGTGGACCTTGGGTTACTTGAGGTAGGAGGCTACAAATAATAAAGGTGGGATGTATGTGTGTGTGTGTGTGTGTGTGTATAAATACATCAGTCACTTATACGATGTCTTGATGATGTTCCCAGCACATCTGAGTGTTCTTCCACTTTTGCTTAAAATTTTGTGATTATTCTTTCTGGCATAAATCTCAGTTTCTTGAACAATGATAAATCTCTTGTGCTATTTTTGGTGCAGGCAGATAATGGGCTCCAAGCTGGTGAGTGTGGCAGTAACCCCCAATGGTTATGCTGATGCAGTTTATCAGGACTGGTTTGTTATGCCAGAGGAGCGTCATATGCCTTTCAGTGCTTTTTTGGACATTTTAGAGAAAAAAGTGTCTTCTCCAGGAGTGTTCTATGTGCAGAAACAGTGTTCAAACCTGACTGAGGAATTTCCTGAACTTATAGGTGATGTGGAGCCTGAGATACCTTGGATGAGTGAAGCACTGGGTAAATATTAAAATCCTAATATTCCAGAATTGGTACTATAGTAGACAGTTTATTTCTGGCTTTGGCATGCTCCAAGATTGCATTGTTCATGGAGATGTTGCAATCAGAATTGATGGTTTTATTACTGTGCGTGGAGTTCCCAAACAAATAAGTTATATGCCTTTTGTTGTTCAAAGCCATGTTACCTTTTAAAATGTAAATTGCAACACACATAAAAAGAGGCATGACTTTGATCTTGCAGTTACAGCCACTATGTCGACGTTTTTGACTTTGTGCAATAACCCTTTTTATAGATAGATTTGCATCAATAGTTGGAGTTGCTTCCCATGAAGTTATCAAGAGCCTCTGGAGTTGTTGGTTTTAAGATGGTGAATTACCACTTTTTAGTGGATTTTTGCAAAAACAAGGGCAGAAATTTTGAAGATCTAAGAATACTATGTTAAATGGTGTAGTACAATATAGTGTTTTCTTTATTTTACCTGTATTATCAGCAGTTTTTAGACATCCCTAATTATGTCCAGCAATTCCATGAATACATTTACCCAGTTTAGAGGTAAAACCATTGGCTTCAGACTAATTCCCATATTTAGTTTATGTGATGGTGAAGCGCTGCTAGTATGTGAGTTAATGTGATAATTGATTCTTCCGTTATTCTCTAGAACAGTGGTTCTCAACCTGTGAGTCGGGACCGCATTTGGGGTCGAACGACCATTTCACGGGGGTCGCCAAACAACGCAGTCCACCATTTTTCCCCTTTTCCTTAGCTGTGCTACTCCCTTTTATTCTATTGGCTTTTGAAAGCCAATAGAATAGACTCTCTTGAATAGAGTCTAATTCTATTGGCTTTCAAAAGCCAATAGGAATTGTCCAGGCGGTCTCTGCCCTGCTGAGCCCGCCAAAAGTCCCATTCTGCAAATGGTGCTGCACCAGTTGAGTAGTCCTCGACTTACGACCGGTTGAGTAGTCCTCGACTTACGACCGGTTGGGGGTCGCGGCATTAAAAAGGTTGAGAACCACTGCTCTAGAAGAACTTAGTTTATTAATCAAGTTTAATTTTCTCCCTTCTCCCAAACCAAACCCTATTATAGAAGCTTATAGACAGGACATAGATTCAATTACCCTCAGTTGTTGGATTGTTTTTTTACTATAACGTTAAAACTGTACAGTTAAATCTATTGAAATAATTATATCTGGGTGTTGCTGAACTTACAGAATACTAGAAGAAATTTCCTGATGATAAAAGCTCTTGAGCAGTGGAACCTTTTGCCTAGATTAATGATGGACTTTCTTGCTGGGTGGCTACTGCAGAAAATTGCATTAGATTTTTTATTATATTCCTTCCAATTCCTAGAGTCTGATTTTCTGAGTTTTAATTTTAAGGAACATTATATAACATAACTATTGAGGAAGGGAAAGTAAAAATTGGAAGAGAATGAAATAAGAAAGCCAGTTTGGTCTAGTGCAGTGGTTCTCAACCTGTGGGTCGAGACCCCATTTGGGGTCGAACAACCATTTCACGGGGGTCGCCAAACAACACAGTCCGCCATTTTTCCCCCTTTTCCTTAGCTGTGCTACTCCCTTTTATTCTATTGGCTTTTGAAAGCCAATAGAATAGACTCTCTTGAATAGAGTCTAATTCTATTGGCTTTCAAAGCCAATAGGAATTGTCCAGGCTGTCTCTGCCCTGCTGAGCCCGCCAAAAGTCCCATTCTGCAAACGGTGCTGCAAGTTGTCTGCAGCGAAGGCGAGCTGTCTGGAAGTTTCCACCCCTCCCTGCTGAGCAACTACTAAAAATGTAAGTAAAGGAGGGCCAGGGGTGGGAGGTGGGAGGCTGGCGGGCACAGGGAGGGTTGCTGGCCCGCGTGGGGCCCGGCGGGTGCCTTACCTCCCTTGGGCTGGGCTAGCTGGTGGTTGGCCTGCGCTGTCTCTGCCGCTTGCTAGCTACGCCTCGGCTGGCACGGGGTGACACCATGCATGCGTGGCGCTCCCGGGCAGGGAAAGTCCTTGACTTACGACCGGTTGGGTAGTCCTCGACTTACAACCGGTTGGGGTCGCAGCATTAAAAAGGTTGAGAACCACTGGTCTAGTGGTTAAAGGACCAGGCCAGAAACCATGGGACTATGAGTTCTGATCCAGCCTTAGCCATGAAAGTTGGCTGACTTTGGGCCATTTCCACCACATCAGGTTTGGGTGATCCAAAAATAGCAGACCCTGCACTTTCAAGAAAATGCTAGGAAGGAAAAAAGACAGAATGAAAATAAGCATCTGTTGTTAGCTACTTTCATTGGGCATATAAAATAATTCATCCTTGTGCATAATAACGATAATATATATTTCTGAGACATTAACAGCTGTTTCTTCCAGATTTATTTAGAAAAGATGTCAAGAAAGGCTGCTAATTGACTGAGTGAAAATAAAATTCTTTAGCAGAAGATCTGCAAGATAACATAACAGAAACCCAGACCTTTTTCTGATTTGACTTTTTTTTTTTTAATAGGAAAGAAGCCCGATGCTGTGAATTTCTGGCTGGGAGAATCTTCTGCTGTGACCTCATGTATGTATGAGATCAGTGCGTTCTCTGCTGCAGCTTATAATTGGAAGGCAAATTTGGGCACCAAAACGCCTTTAAAAAAAAATAGAGGAAAATTTCTGCTTTTGGGGAACTTAATATTTGAAATATCATCCTTACTCCTAACTGTTACTGTAACTGAACCTAGTTCCCCACTACCATGTTGCAGTTACTTCATCTGGACAGAATTTTGGAGGCAAGAAAGTGGTGGGAGAGGCATTCAGAAGACACAAGGATTATACAGTAAATAACAGGCAATGATGCCTGGACTCAGTTCAGGGAATCAGGCAGAGCAATTGCATAATGAAAGGCTTACCTAGAAACCTGCTGAGTTTTTTTCCCCAAGTCCTGATTGCTGAATGTCGTTGTAGTCTGTATTTAAAACGATTAAGGGATAGCAAAAAAGAAAGAAAAAGGAAAAAGCTACAAGCCAATTCCTGGACAGTGCAAACATATGGAATTATGCTAATCCTTATACATTCTTACTTGAGCTTTATTTTTGTACTCTCTTTATTATGGAGGTAACAAATGACCATTCCCTCTTCCTTTTCTTTCTTTCATTTTTCTCCCTCCAATCTTAGTACACAAAGACCATTATGAAAACTTGTACTGCGTAATTTCTGGAGAGAAACATTTTTTGTTGCATCCGCCAAGTGACCGTCCCTTCATCCCATATGGTAGGTATTTTGAGAAATGGATAGGAATAGGGTCAGTTACATGATGTTGATATTTTGTGAATTATTCAAAAAAGCCTAGGCTTCAATATTTTGCTATGCAGTAGGGACTGTGGCTTTTCTAAATAAGCAAAGCATGGATAATCGCCATACAGCACAGGTGGTAGATACAGCTGAGGTGTATCAGAAGCTTGGAAAAGGGATAAGAAGATGAGATCCTTTCAGAACCTCTTGGCCCATCCCTCTTCTGTTGCTTTGGCTACTTGTTCACCCAGCAGATGTTAACTGTAGTGGGACAAGGAAGACATTACGAGTATTCCTTGACTTACAGCCATTTGTTTAATGATCATTTGAAGTTACAACAGTACTGAAAAAAGTGATTTATGACTTTTTCACACAACCATTGTAACATCCACTGAAGTCATAGTAGGAATCCTGGCAAGTTGTGTGATGCCCATAAGTTTGGTGCTGCTCTACATCTTGACTTCATAGGCCTATTAGCATAGTATAAGATGCTCTATCAGCTTTTCCCATTACAGATAGTCCTCGACTTAACAGTTCCTTTAGTGACCATTCAAAGTTATAACGGCATTGAAAAAAAAGTGACTTATGGCTGTTTTTCACACGACCGTTGCAACATCCCCATGGTCACAGGATCAAAATTCAGATGCTTGGCAACTGACTTATACTTATGATGGTTGCAGTGTCCTGAGATCATGTGATCACCTTTTGCGACCTTCTTATACGCAAAGTCAACGAGGAAGCCAAATTTACTTAAGAACTGTGTTACTGACTTCACGGCAGTGGTTCCCTTAACAAATGTGGCAAGAAAGGTCGTAAAAAGGGGCAAAGCTCACTTAACAACTGTCTTGCTTAGAAATGAAAATTTTGGGCTCAGTTGTAGCCATAAGTCGAGGACTACCTGTACTTGGGCATAATGCACTGCAATAACCTTTCCCAACCTGATACTCTATAGATTATTGGAACAATAATTTTGTGGCCTGGACATTCTTAGAGTTATATTCCTCAAACATCTGGAACACATCAGGCTGGAGAAGGCTGTGCTGTAGACTTCAAACTTCTGGCACAATTTCTGGAAGAAAAAAAACCAGTAACCAAACTGGGGATTACATGGGATTTGTGGTTTCTTTCCTGTTTTTGAAATATTTATAAAAGCATCTAGGTGAAAATGGAGACATTTTAGACTGATGGTATTGGTAAGGGGGAATGAGGTGGATCTACTCCTTGTTAAATTCCCTTCTTCTGAAATTGTTGTTAACTTTGAAGGGGAAAAAATATGGTTAAAATTTTCCAATGCTGATATGTATTGGGGAGCTAGAATGTGGATTGATTAACCAACGAGTTATATTTACGCTGTGCTGTGGCCCCACTCCAAATTCTTCTCCCCAGTGTGGCTTAAAAAGAAAGGGAGGAAAAGAGAATTCCAGTCATGAATTCCCACAGAATGCCTGATTTGCCCTTAGTATTAAAACAGGTGTTTATATGCGGATGGATGTATGATTTTTTTATATTTATATAAATACATACATACATATGCCTCCCCCCTCTCTCTAGCTATATATAAATTCAAGTTCAGGTTTCTGTAAAAAAACAATCTGTTTTAAGGGTAACAATCTATGTTCAGTGGTAAAATATCCCATGATGCTCTTTTGAGTTTGCCACCTTGCCCTGAGGTGCCTTGGTACATACTACTACTACTACTACTACTACTACTACTACTACTAATAATAATAATAATAATACTAATAAAATTTGGAAGGGACCTTGGAGGTCATCTAGTCCAACCCCCTGCTTAGGCAGGAAACCCTATACCATTTCAGACAAATGGCTGTCCAGTCTCTTCTTAAAAACTTACAGTGTTGGAGCATTCACCGCTTCTGGAGGCAGGTTGTTCCACTGGTTAATTGTTCTAACTGTCAGGAAGTTTCTCCTTAGTTCTAGGTTGCTTCTCTCCTTGATTAGTTTCCATCTGTTGCTTCTTGTCCTGCCTTCAGGTGCCTTGGAAAATGTGGGAACTGCAGAGTTAATCCTAACCAGTTTGTATCTGTATATCATGTTCCAGAGTTGTATCCACCAGCAACTTACCACATCTCAGAAGATGGGTTATTTGATATTCTGGAAGATAAAACGGCAGAGAAGGTATGCGTACCTTTCAGTCTACTTTATTTTAAAAATATTTTTCATGTTCCATTATAGATTAAAAATAAGATGTGATATTTGAGTAATAATTCTGCTTAATGTGCTATGATTCTCAGATCTATTATTTATTTATTATACATATGAGCAATAGTGATATGTATAATGATGCTATAAATATGACCTAAAATGGTATCTGTTTTTCACACAAGTCCTAAAACTAGATAAAGAGAACCCAATTAAACAAATGGGTCAAAAACACTTGTGCGTTTATGATTAAGAAAAACTTATTTATGCAGAAATATTGAAAATTCAAAAGGGTTCACTTTTATGCATCAGTGTATGTCAGGGAACAAACACAACTGGCAATTAAATGTTAACATTCAGTCCTGCTTCCACAATACTAACACACCTTCCAAAGATTGGCAAGATACAGAGGGACATACAGTGCATTCAGAAAGTATTAGGACCCCCTTCACTTTTGTCACTTTTGTTCTTTTTAATAAATTTACAGATATTTCTAAAATTCTGTTTTTACTTTGTCATTATGGGGTACTGAATGTAGATTAATGAGAAAAAAATAAATTTCAACAGCTGTAGAATCAGACTGCAGCATAACAAAACTGACAAAAGTGAAGGGGGTCTGGATACTTTATGAATGCACTGTATTATGTTTCATAGAATAAATGTGCCAATAACTTGCTATTAATTTAAGCAAAGTACTAAGTGTACATTTTAATTAAATAATTATTTTAAAAAGTCCTTTGACATTTGGTTGTACTCCTTAATAATTGTAAAGGATTCTATTTTCAGTGCTTTTCAAATATTTCTCATAAAAAGAAAAAAATGATTCAATTCTGGAAGAAATAATTATCTTATTAATAGCTATTAATATAACATTAAACTTTCATCCAGGTACCCTGGATCCCTTTAAATCCTTTAAATCCAGATCTGAAACGATACCCAGAATATGCTCAAGCAAAGCATTTAAGATGTACTGTGAAGTCTGGTGAAATGTTGTATCTTCCTTCTCTTTGGTTCCATCATGTTCAGCAATCACATGGCTGCATAGCAGGTAAGAAAAATGCCAAAAGTATCTTTTAATTTATAATAGCTACAAGCTCACCAGATTTCTCCATCAATATGTATATGATCTCCTTCTTCTGACTTCAGTTAGATTGTTTTCAATGTCATTCCAAAATATCAAATCAAATCTTTATTGTTGTCATAGGCCAGTATAAGGAGGGTGGGATGCAGTCAATTTAAAAGCATAGAAAATACACCAGAATTTAACAAAAGAAAAAAAAAATGAAAACCTAGAAGATATATGAATTAAAACTGAAATTTATAAAATATATAAAAAATAAGAAGCTTAACAAGAGTGGAGGCATAGGGATGTATAAAAGGTTAATACACTTACCTGGCAAGAGAGATACTGTGATCATTCCAAAATAAAGCACTTGTAGGAGCAGATCTGGCTTCACTCATTCAGATTCTACTCATGGAATAATTCTGCAGGCAGACAGAATAGAACAGAACAGAACAGAACAACAACAGAACAGAATAAAATAGAATAGAGTATTGAAGAGTACTAGGTACATGTTTAGAGGGAGTCTTTGGTTATCTTGAGGAAATTGTAGAAGAAAGAATTGATAAAAATTACCTTTATCTTCTTTGAGTAGTTGGAACTCTCGCTTGAAATAATATTTATTTTATAGAAGGCAACTCAGAATCCAAGCCAGTCTTTGAACAGATGAGATCTGAAAATAATGTGTTTTCATTGGAAAGTTCAAATTCTATCACAATATTTTGACAGTTTACCAGTTCCTCTGCTGCAATTCAAAGTAAGAATTGCATACATGCTATAAATAGTCCTTGATTAATGACCATTCCTTCAGTGTCTGTTCGAAGTTACTGTAATGTTGAATAAGTGGAACTTACGACTGGTCGTCTCTGCACTCCTGCAATCATGTGAGCATAAACCGGGCCCGTGAGAACCTGCTTGCCATTTGTGACCTTCCCTGCCAGCTTCTGACAAGCAAACTCAGTGGGGGAAGCTGCTAGGGAAGGTTGCAAGTTCACTCCCACTTCTGCTGCTTTTTCTCCTGAGGAACCCACCAATAGAGTACACAGTCCCAGGGATCTCATATACCAGTGGCCCCCAAATCTTTTGGGCATCAGGGACCGGTTTCGTGGAGAGAGGTTTTTCCATGGACTGGAGGGAACATGGTTTTGTGTGCTGCCTGCATTCCCCAGATGGGGCTTCACTTGTTTACGTGGCCCAGTTTCTGGCATGCCACGGCCCGCTGCCGGTCCATGGATTGGGGGTTGGGGACCTCTGTTATACACCCTAGTGTGTACCTGACTGCAGCATCCCCTTTCCATGCACTCTGTAGCATGCTCACATGGCTGAATTCACCTTGTGCACTTTCTGCACCCTGCAGCAGCCATCTGCCGTTCAGTCACTCTCATACTATGCTACAGCAGTCATGTTACCTGCCCGCCAGCCTGCTTGACAGCTTGCCCAGGATTCGGTATTTCCGCCAGCCTGCTTGACAGCTTTCCCATGAATTTTGCTTGTTGGAAGCAGGCAGGAAATTGCAAGGGAGTCCTCCTTTAACAACAGCAATGAGACTGCTGAAATTGTGGCTGCTTAAGTACATAATATTGCACTTTACAATTGCATTGCTTAGCAGTAGAAATTGCACTCCTAATTAACCTAGTTAATTTAAGGACCACCTGTACCTATGTTCATTTAAAGTAAAGGTCGTCTTTACAATGGATTCTGTATGATGGCTCTCTACTTCACCCCCCCCCTTTTTTAAAAAAAATATAAATTCTGTTTCCATGAAAAATATATAAAACTGGATTATATTTTAAAATATTGTACTGGAATGCTTTTATAGCCATGTAGTAACTAATGCTACTAATAAAGTTTTTTATTGAAGCAGAACTGTTGAAATCACTTGGCTGAATTTATTTATAATGGACAGAACAATTGGATTACTCTCCTCCAAGGTTCCAATGACAGAATCTGTCAAAACCCAATGTTGGGTTGAGAATTGGTAATAATACTAAAGGTAGAATATCTATAGGTGTGGTTTTTAATTTGCGTTGAACCACAAAGTTCATTATAACGCTTAAATTATGGGATAAAATACTATTAATAGTATTAAAATACTTTTTCTTTCTTCCTCAGTGAATTATTGGTATGATATGGAATATGATCTAAAATACTCCTATTATCAGCTGCTGGATTCTCTCTCGAAAGCTGCACAACCAGTCTTGGGATCTTCTTGGAACAGCTAACCTTTTACATCTAATATGGAACTGTGCTTAGAATGTTTGTATACCTTTATTCATATAATTTAAATAAATAATTTCATAATTGATCTCATAAGGATAAAAGGCAATTTTTATATCATATGAATGCATTATAGGAGATGTTGGCCAAACTGTATCTTACACAGTTGTTTTCCTATTTTCAGTGAAAAGCTTTGTCTCATTACTGTGTCAGTTGCCAAATCATATTCTGATTAAGATAACAATATTATCTTAAAAAATTAAGCATCTCCTTTCCAATGAGATTTCAGGATAATGTTTGTAAATGACACCATCTACTTCTAGTGTAAAATGGGTTTCTGCGGATAAAGTTTTAAGTCCTCAGTATCATTCAATATCTTTGTATGTCTGTTGGATGAAAAAATATGGAGTAGTGATTAGTGCATAGTATCTGCTAGCTTTCTATTTCTTTACCCATTAGGCCTTAAAGCAATATGGTCATCTCTGAGTTCGGGCCTGGTTCAAGCATTATACATTTCTAGGTTTCTGGATAGAAGCTACTTCTCAGAATGATGAGGATCAACATGTACCATCACCAGCAAGGAAAAGAATATACTGCATAATACTTACTGTCATAATTTCTCTGACAGAGCACAGATAGTATTCAGATTACCACCTGTACACTATAATGGGATTATTGGGCTTCCAGTAAATCAGTGGATGACATGATGGCTACCACTCTGTCCTAACTACATGGGTTGTGCTAGCTTTATTTGACCTACACACATCTGTCTCTGTTAAGACTGACGAACTGAGGAATAAAGTAAAAGCTTATGAAGGCTTTAGACCTGGAACTTTATCTAGTCCTCGGCATTTTGGAGATGATCAAACTCTTGCCTTGTTGGAACAATAGAGTTACTGTTATAAGCTGTTAAATGACATATGGATATAAAAAAAATCTCTATTGAGAGACTATTTATTTTTAGAAAACATTTTAGACATGGCAGACAGCAGTTGGTACATGGTACCAATTTGTTAGATGGGCAAGTAATAAGCTCTCTTATATATAATTATATATAATTCACTTTCAGTCTTCAGCTAAATATATGCAGGTTAGGAAAGAATTGCAGGACTAGTCCCATAACCCCTTAGTCAAGGGATTGTTCAGCTGAACACCTAAATAGAATCATCCAGCTTCCTATAATATTAGGTGTTTCACTAAATAATGCAAGAGTCCTTCAGTATATTCCCCAAGTGTTAGGCAAGTATGTTCTTTTCGATGCAGCTGGGCATGCATTTTATGCTGTTCTCTTGACTTCACACATTGTGATAATCGGAAGACGCTGAAATTGCAAAAGTCTTCCATCTATTATTAAGTCACAAGCAACGGTTTCTAACATGTAATGTTTAGATCCACAAACATTGTTAAATAAAAGCCAAAGATGCCTGGTTTAGGTTAGCACAGAATGGGAATAATTTAGCATTGTATGTAAGCAATCATGGTCCTTTGAATGGCCTTTTAAATTTTTAAATAAATGTATAGTCTATTATATGTAGTTCTTGAATTATGACTGGTTGCTTAACAACTGCTCAAGGTTATGACCAACCATTCAAAAGGAATTTATGACCCTATTTCGAAGCTCTGACGTTGCTATCTCCTTGACCACATTTTTGTCACCCAGCAACTGGTCTCCCTTTATAGCTGTTTGCAGCACCCTGCAATCGCATGACCATGATCTACAATGGTTTGCATTTATTTCTGATTTCCTACAAAAACTGCCCCAAACAACAATTGGTCTGCTTAATAACTGCGGCATTCGCTTAACAATACAGGTAAAATCAGGTCTGGTCACATGGTGACCCACTTTACAACCGTCATGAATTATGATTAATTGCCAGGCTCAGATAATATGGTAAATCGAGGACTGCCTGTACTGTGTGTGTTTAATCAGAAATGAGTCCCATTGAACTGGTTGTCTTAAATGTAGGTAAGGATGGAGTTGAACACAACCTTGATTTTCAGGTGTGATGTCAGGAAAGAGTCAGAGCATGGACATGTTAATGCTGAAGAAATAAGATATTCTGTCCTATATATTTATGCTATTTTGAATTCTGTATACTTGTTTTCATATGATGGTTGCAACAGTGAGGATGTAGTAATAATTTTTGAATTTGAAAATTGACTATAGTCCTTGGTGTATAATATATATGTTATGCTATAATAATCAGTAGAGCTACTTTATGAGCTGTTCTGAATACTAAATGTCATATACCTATGTTCTCAGGTTAACTATTATGGAAATCTTTCTGTATTTATCAAAAGAAGAAGAGAAATGCTCAGGGTTTTGCAGCAAATAAGCCAAAACTTCACAGTTATCACAATATAATTGTTATTTTAAAGGAATCTGTCAAGTGTGTAATATTGCTTTTTTTTCTGTTTTGAAAGAGGACTCAATTAGCCAGCTTGTGATTATAGGAGGAATAAAACAAGTTTACTATCACATTGGGTTCATTTTGGGAACAGGTTTATTCTTGCATAGTGGTTGCTATCATAAAAAGAAAGAAAAATGATTAAGAAATCTAGGGTGTAAATTTTAGCAGTTTGAATGTATAAGAGCATAATGACTGAAATCTGATCAAAAATTATTTGAATTCAAATGGGATAAAACCAGATGTTATTTTGGTCAGCTAAGTGGTTGCAGCTTATAAATGATAAAAAATTTCAAATATAGAGAAGTGTCACTATTTTAAAATAAAGCATTTAAATATAGTTTGACAGTTTTTTGAGTGGTATACAGATTTGGATGCTTGCACATAATGACAGCAATAGGAGAGAGGCAAGCACAAAATTTCTATTTCTCATAGTTGGCAGCAGCCAAAAAAGCTAATACAATCCTTGGTTGTATAAACAGTCATAGAATCAAAATCACATGCCTTACTAAGGCTTTATAAAGCCTTAGTAAGGTCAAAAAACTGGAATACTGCATCCGTTTTTGGTCATTACATTACAAAAAAGATGTTGAGACTATGGAAAACTTGCAAAGAAGAGCAATGAAGATGATTAAAGGCCGGGAGACTAAAACATATGAAGAAAGGTTGCAAGATTTGGATTTGACTAGTCTAGAGAAAAGAAGGACTAGGGGGGACATGATAGCAGTATTCCAGTATTTGAGAGGTTGCTTATTTTCCAAAGCACCTGAAGGCAAGACAAGAAACGATGGAAATTAATCAAGGAGAGAAGGAACCTGGAATTAAGGAGAAACTTCCTAACAGTGAGGACAATTAACCATTGGAACAGCTTGCCTCAGAATTTGTGGGTGGTTCATCACTGGAGATTTTTAAGAACAAACTGGACAGCCATTTGTCTGAAATGGTATAGGGCAGTGGTTCTCAACCTGTGGGTCGGGACCCCATTTGGGGTCGAACGACCATTTCACGGGGGTCGCCAAACAAGGCTGTCCACCATTTTTTCCTCCTTTTCTTTGGCCACGCCCCTGGCACCCGGTGATGTATAAGTGGTTGGGGGTCACCACAACATGGGGAACTGTATTATGGGGTCGCGGCATTAGAAAGGTTGAGAACCACTGGTATAGGGTCTCCTGTTCGAGTAGGAGTTGGACTAGAAGACCTCCAAGGTCTCTTCCAGCTCTTTTCTGATTGACCTCTTACATCCCATTGCTTGAGAAGTTTTTCAGAACTTTGCTTTCAAACAATGCCAACAGCCTCTTTGGAAGGTACAAAGAGTTACCAACTACACACAATTTATGCATTTGTAATAACAGGTGGAAAATTTGACTCGTTGTTTAATACATTACAATCTTTTGTCAGGAACCCAGGCTAGATTTATTACATCCTTGTTATGCCAGTTGAATCAGTGCAGCCTAGAAGAAAAGATGTGTTGTCTGATGAAGGTATAAGCATAATGAAAGAATTTGCACTGTTTGCAATGGCTGCAAAGAAAGATGCCAAAGCACATTTTGACAAAATAGTGCTGTTAATATTAGCAGGGGATGTGTTGAACTAATGTGATTGCTGTAATTTCATATATGCTTTATTAAACTTTATGGCTGCAAATAAATATTTAAATAAATGTGCAATAAGTAAACAATCTTTTGGTTCCTAATGAACATGATTTACAATAGACATCATGGCAATATTTTAATACGGCAGTTGTTTTAATAGGATATTCTCATATTTTTTGAGTAGCTTTTTGTCCACACAATCTCTACGTCATAGAAGTAACGTCAAAGTCAAAAGTTCTCCTCGCTTTTGCTATTTGATTGCTACGTCTGCTGCGCAAGGGGCCAAACTCTAGCAAGGCAACTCTAGCAGCCACTTGGTAGTTCGCAGGGCTGATTTGACTTCCGCTTGGTAGCTCCTCCCATAATTTGTCAGAACTTTGTGACTATTATTATTTCATGGTGTACAATATTGATTTTCCACCCCCCCCCTTGCGCTGCGATTGGCTGCATCTGATGATGGGACGTGTGCTGCACGAAATGTGTTCCTGTAGTTTGAAAAAGGCACAACGCGACTGAGCAAGAGAGGACAAATCCCTGCAGTTAAGCTTGGCGAGGTTTTCAAAACTGGTTTGCTGTTGTCTCATTCCTAGTGCTGAGAGGGTGTGATTGGCTCAAAGTCGGGACCCAGTTGGCACCGTATCTAAAGCCGGACTAGAATTGCTTCTGTTTTGACGTCTTAAAAACTTACGCGCACCAATTATTTCGCTTTCTGATGTTTAAAAACTACATTTCCCAGAAACCCTCACCGCGTAGTTTTATTCTCCACCCTGAATCCTTTGGACTGTAAACTGGAAGCCAAAAGTCCAGGGAACAAAATAAACAGGCACCGGCGCTGCGCGGACGCAAAGGGAATCTGCCTGGCTTTAGCAAACCTGCTCTGATGGCTGCGCGCATTCTGGTCTTGCCTTCTCCCGCCTGCCTGTATGACGATCCCAATCAGGTGAAGATCGAGGGCCTCTCCCCGCTGCAGGAGGTCACAGTTGCAGCCTCTTTGGTGGATGAAGGCGGTAACCTTTTCCAATCGTGCGCTTACTATCGGGCTGAAAGTAACGGAGAATTGGACCTCAGCTACTCCCCTTCCTTGGGTGGGAGCTACTCTGGGGTTGAGCCCATGGGCTTACTGTGGACGTTGGAATCCAAGACTCCCTATAAGAGATTGAGGAAGAGAAACGTCCTCACCCCTTTCTATGTCACCTATGAGGTGTACGACGGGCGCGGGGTCACCGGCTCGCTCCTTTGCAGTTGCCACAGCGAGAGGCACTTCGTGGGCGAGGGCGTGAAAAGAGTGCCCATCCGAGAAGGCCGGCTCAGAGCCACGCTTTTCTGCCCGCCGGGTGAGTTGCACAAGTGGATGGGCTCAAACTCCAGGGTGGTGAGGCTGAGATCTCTGAAACACGCTTAGGAGGCTGTGGGAAAGCGGGAACTCGCTGGAAACTTTAAGAATGGCAGGTGTGCTATCCATTTTAATCTCCATTTTATGTCTTCCTTCTCTTCCAAGTCTAGTTGTTCTTCGCTGTGGACACAAAATATATTGTATGAAATTAATGACTAAAATGACACAGTTCTAGGCCATAAAATTCTAAGGAAACTAACTTGTCAAACAGCAACATTAAATCAAAATAATTAAAATACCGAATTAGTCTAGATCTGAATACAGAAGCACTCCAGCTCAGTAAAACTAGGAATGCTGTTTCCCAACTGGGGACTATCACAGGTGAGACACTCCCTGTTATCTATTTATTGTAGACTAGGCAGTGAAGCAAGGCTTCACTAGTAGTCTGAAAACAGTCTTGTCTGGCTGTTTGTTTGTTTGTTCTCCAAGTGTGCTTGAAATCTCTAAATCTCTGTTGTTGTTGTTGTTAGTTGTGAAGTCGTGTCCGACCCATCGCGACCCCATGGACAACGTTCCTCCAGGCCTTCCTGTCCTCTACCATCTTCTGGAGTCCATTTAAGCTCACACCTACTGCTTCAGTGACTCCATCCAGTCATCTCATTCTCTGTTGTCCCCTTCTTCTATTGCCCTCAATCTTTCCCAGCATTAGGCTCCTCTCCAGTGAATCCTTCCTTCTCATTAGGTGGCCAAAGTATTTGAGTTTCAACTTCAGGATCTGGCCTTCTAAAGAGCAGTCAGGGTTGATCTCCTCTAGGACTGACCAGTTTGATTGCCTTGCAGTCCAGGGGACTCACAGGAGTCTTCTCCAGCATCATAGTTCAAAGGCCTCAATTCTTTGGTGCTCAGCCTTTCTTATGGTCCAACTTTCATAGCCATACATTGCAACTGGGCCTTGACTATACGTACTTTTGTTGACGGGGTGCTGTCTAGATTTGTCATAGGCTTTCCTCCCCAGGAGCAAGCGTCTTTTAATTTCTTGGCTGCAGTCCCCATCTGCAGTGATCTTGGAGCCCAGGAAGATAAAATCTGTCACTACCTCCATTTCTTCCCCATCTATTTGACAGGAATTGGAAGGCCTGATGCCATAATCTTGGTTTTCTTAATGTTGAGTTTCAAGCCAACTTTTGCACTCTCCTCTTTCACCTGCATCAAGAGGCTCTTTAGGTCTTCTTCACTTTCTGCATTAGCATGGTATCATCTGCATATCTTAGGTTGTTGATATTTCTCCCGGCAATCTTAATACCAAGTTTTGATTCATCTAGCCCTGCCTTTCTCATGATGTGCTCTGCATATAAGTTAAATAGGCAGAGCGACAAAATACAGCCTTGCCGGACTCATTTCCCAATTTTGAACCAATCAGTGGTTCCGTGTCCAGTTCTCACTGTTGCTTCTTGACTCGCATATAGGTTTCTCAAGAACCTAGTTCTCTTTAAGAACTTGCCACAATTTGTTGTGATCCACACAATCAAAGGCTTTAGCATAGTCAATGAAGCAGAAGTAGATGTTTTTCTGGAACTCCCTAGCTTTCTCCATGATCCAGCGTATGTTGGCAATTTGATCTCTATTTCCTCTGCCCCTTCGAAATCCTGCCTGTACTTCTGGAAGTTCTTGATCCACATACTGCTGGAGTCTAGCTTGTAGGTTTTTAAATATAACTTTACTTGCATGTGAAATGAGTGCACTGGTGTGATAGTTTGAACATTCTTTGGCATTGCCTTTTTTTGGAATTGGAATGTAAACTGATCCTGTGGCCACTGTTGAGTTTTCCAAATTTGCTGGCAAATTGAGTGTAGCACTTTTACTGCATCGTCTTTTAAGATTTTGAATAGCTCAGCTGGAATATTGTCACCTCCACTAGCTTTGTTGTTGCTCAGATTTCTAAGGCCCATTTCACTTCACATTCTAGGATGTCTGGCTCGAGATCAGTGACCATCCCATCGTGGTTATCAGGGATGCTAAGCTCGTTCTTGTATAGTTCTTCTGTGTAATTTTGCCACCTCTTCTTAATCTCTTCTGCCTCTGTGTAATTTTGCCACCTCTTCTTAATCTCTTCTGCCTCTGCCATTTTGGTCCTTTATCATGCCCATCTTTGCACGAAACATTCCCTTCATATCTCCAATTTTCTTGAAGAGATCTCTGGTCCTCCCTATTCTATTGTTTTCTTCTATTTCTTTGCACTGTTTATTTAAGAAGGTATTCTTATCTCTTCTAGCTATTCTCTGGAATTCTGCATTCAGTTGGGTGTATCTTTGTCTTTCTCCCTTGCCTTTCACTTCGCTTCTTCCTCAGACAGCCATTTTGCTTTCTTGCATTTCTTTTTCTTTGGGATGGTTTTAGTTGCTACCTCTTATACAATGTTGCGAACCTCTGTCCATAGTTCTTCAGGCACTCTGTCTATCAGATCTAATTCCTTAAATCTATTTGTCACCTCTACTGTATATTCATCAGGGATATGATTTAGTTCATACCTGAGTGGCCTAGTGTTTTTCTCTACTTTCTTCAATTTAAGCCTAAATTTTGCAACGAGAAGCTCATGATGTGAGCCACAGGCAGCTCCTGGTCTTGTTTTTACTGACTGTATAGAGCAGTGATGGCGAACCTTTTAGAGACCGAGTGCCCAAACTGCAACCCAAAATCCACTTATTTATCGCTGGGTGCCAGGCGGGCGTGGCCCACTGGGTGGGCGTGGCTGTGGTCATTGCAGACTGGTTGGGTGTGGCCAAGATGGGCGTAGTCACCTCGATGTTGCTCGTGGGGAGGCCGGGCAGGGTTGGGGGAGATCCAGGGGGTCTCTGGCAGGTGGGAAGGAGGCTTGTCCTGCAGGGTGAGGTGAGGCAAGGTGAGACAGGGTGGGGGTGCCATTGTCGCAGGGCAATGCTAGGCAGGGGCCCTGGCGGGTGCTGCCTGACACCATCGGCTCTGCACACAAAGGCCAGCGAGCACATGAGGGCCCCTGAACTGGCGCACTCTGGGGCTCCGCAGTCCGCTGCCAGCATTTCAGAGAAGCCGCCTCTGAGCTGGACGGCCGGCCGACAGCTTAGGAGGCGATGCAGTAGGTCGTGCCCGGGAAAAGGACAGCATGCGAACCAGGAGGGGAGAGGGATGGGGAGGGAAACCAGCCATGCTGGGATGCATCCAATCACATAGGACCTCGGCGAGTTAGCGGGCAGCTGGTTGAAGAGGGACGGTTGCCATCTCCGGGGCATGGTGCGCATGCCCACAGAGAGGGCTCCGAGTGCCGCCTCTGGCACGCGTGCCATAGGTTCACCATCACTGGTATAGAGCTTCTCCATCTTTGGCTGCAGAGCACATAGTCAATCTGATTTCTATGTTGACCGTCTGGTGATGTCCATGTGTAGAGCCATCTCCTGGGTTGTTGGAAAAGAGTGTTTGCTATGACCATAGTATTCTCTTGACAAAATTCTATCAGCCTGTGCCCTATTTCATTTTGTACTCCAGGGCCAAACTTGCAAGTTATTCCGGTTATCTTTTGGCTTCCTACTTTAGCATTCCAATCCCCCATGATGATAAGGACATCATTGTTTGGTGTTGATTCTATAAGGTGCTGTAGGGCTTCATAGAACCGGTCAATTTCATCCTCTTCAGCACCAGTGGTTGGGGCATAGACTTGGGTTACTAAATCTCTAGATAGTTTGATTTAGGTTTCTGGAAGCTTTGGCAAGCTCTAGCTTGGGAAAGGGTGCCTTAAACTTGAGTTTTGCAAGGGGCTGGTCTCTGTCTGAATTTTCTTTCCAAAAGTATCAGCCAGTGTGGTTTCATAATCCTGTAAAACCTTATTGTTTTTCATGTTTTCCTTTAGGTCCTGGACCTTTCCCAGCTATTATTGACTTGTATGGATCTGGAGGCGGACTTGTTGAGTACAGAGCAAGTCTTTTGGCAAGCAGGGGTTTTGTTACACTGGCACTTGCTTTTTTAGCTTTTGAAGATCTGCCAGCTTTTCCAGAGTTCATTGACTTAGATTATTTTGGTGAAGCAATAAAGTTCTTGCAGAAAGAACGAAAGGTACCAAACAAACTAACATCGTGGGAGGTGGAGGGGGGGGGTTGTCTATTGAGCAAGAAATCATTTGGTGCTTTCATAGTTAAACATACAACACAGTTAATCTGAAGTCTTGTTGGAACTGAAAAAACTTCAGTTTATACTGAGGTTCATAAATGCTAATTTATCTTAAGCTGATGCTGAAGCAGTCTTGGGTTTGGTTCCAATCTTGTGTTGTAAAAAGTTCTGTTTGGGCAGCTTCCCTCCACTTAATGCTCCCCAAATTTGTTGTGTATTTTGAATGCTATGGTTGCAGACCATCTGGAGGAAACGAAGTTAAGAGATAAATTTTAATTAATGGAAGATTGAATGGATATGGATCTTATGACAATCCCTTTCCTGTGGTTTCAGGTTAAATCCATGAAAATTGGAGTCCTGGGACTATCTAAAGGTGCAGATCTCGCCCTTGCTTTAGCTGCATTTTGGCCAGACATCCAAGCTGCTGTCAGCATTTCTGGCTCGGGGGTAAATACTTTCATCCCCTTGAAAGTGAAAGAACATATCATTCCACCCCATCCTTATGACTGGAGGAAGATGAAACCTACTGAAAATCCAAATGTAGTAAATTTGTATGAAACGATGGATGACCCCAAAGACCCATCTACCTGGCCAAGTCGCATCCCTGTTGAAAAGTCCTTAAGCAAGTACCTCTTCATATGTGGACAGGATGACAAAAACTGGAAAAGTCAAATGTTCTGCCAAGGAGCTGTTAGTTGCCTTCAGCAGCACGGACGCCACGTGGAGTTCTATTGCTATCCCGGAGCTGGTCACCTTCTGGAGCCCCCTTATATGCCCTTGTGCCATATTTCACTCCACAAGCTAATGGGGTGTTTTGTAGTCTGGGGCGGAAAGTGGAAAGAACACGCAGAGGCACAGGAAGACGCCTGGCAAAGAATATTGGCCTTTTTCAGACAACACTTGCTGGAGTCAACTTTGAAAAGTACTTTATAGGGTACAGTTTTGTGCTTGCATGTAAGAAATGCAACATTGCCTGTCCTACTTTAGATGTCAGTTGGTAACCAAGTTAAACTCAGAGTGATGGCCTTTAGAAAATATGTTTTGCCATTTTCAGGTACACTAATGGGGCATAGCAGTTTTCACTACTTTGGTGAAAACTCTTCCAGCTATTCATTTTCCCTCATTGACCAAGAAATGATCAGTCTATAATTTTAATGATAGGTTTATTTTAACAATGAGAGACAGAATAACAACAAAAGAATCCAGAAAAATGCATTTCAAAAAAGTTATAAATTGCTTTGCATTTGAATGAGTGAAAAAAGTATTTGATCCCCTATCAATCAGCAAAATTTCTGGCTCCCAGGTGTCTTTTATACAGGTAACAAGCTGAAATTAGAAGCATTCTCTTAAAGGGAGTGCTCCTAATCGTAGCTTGTCACTTGTATAAAAGACACCTGTCAAATCCCTTCTGAAATGTGTGCAAACCTGGTGGCCAACTACAAGAAGCGTCTGACCTCTGTGATTGCCAACAAGGGATTTGCCACAAGATTTTCCCTTCCCTCCTTTAACTCTAACCTGGCTGCAGTAGAGTTCTATGTCTAGCCATAAGAGGGTAGTTTTCTGAAAACATAACAAAATGGGAGCAAATGTGGCATGGGGAGAGGAGCTGGCAAGAGTAAACAGATCAACTTCAGAAATGGAGTCGATCTGGACAAGGGTGCAGAGAAGAAAATTCCAGAAGCATTTCCCTCATGCATCCCAAGGGGAAATGGCTGAAATTCCCTTTTTCCAAGCTGGTTATATGATGCAGAACAGAGCATATACAGCCAGCCATGTGCTTCCCTGTGCTCATATGCATACAAAGCCACAGATGTGTGTACCTTTCCTGTTTAGTCCTGCATACAACATGGATTAGTCACTAGAGAGAAAATGTATGCTTCAATACAGTGAAGAAAATATAGGTAGTCCTCAACGACCACAATTGGGCCCAAAATTTCTGTTGCTAAATGAGATGGTTGTTAAGTGAATTTTACCTCATTTTATGACCTTTCTTGCCACAAATTATCACCACAGTTAGTAACATGGTTGTTAAGTGAATCTGGCTTCTCCATTAACTTTGCTTGTCAGAAGGTTACAGAAGGTGGTCACATGACCCTGGGAAACCAACTGTCATAAATATGAATCATTTGCCAAGCATCTGAATTTTGATCACTTGAGCATGGGGATGCTGCAACGGTCATAATTGAAAAATTGTTTGAAACTTAATTATGATATAAGTATACACTTTGAATGGTATGTAATATACAGTTGCTATTCTATTATTGAACCAAAACCCAAGCTTTATTTTTTTAACATTCGTTACAAATTTTAAACATGCTTCTTTTCTTACTATTATGCTGTATCTCCATCCTATTCCGCACATTAGATTACATGAAACATGAAAGAAACATTTCTACTTCAGAAATTACATAATATCCAAATTACGTTTACTGTCAAATCATTTGTTGCTATTTTCATTTAATTGACCATTCAACCGGAAGAAGCGTTCTACAAAATACATGGTTTATTTTAAAACTCTTTGCCATCCGAGATTTTCAGTATAACAACAAATTTCTTCTTCCATAAGCGTTCAGCTTTGATTTGCAAGTTTTGAAAAACCAAATGTATAGGTATAGTATAGGGGGTACCTTGCTCAATAGCAGTAACTGTGAGAGGGATCTCAGAGTCCTAGTGGACAATCCCTTAAATATGAGCCAACAGTGTGCTGCAGCTGCCAAAAAAGCCAACACAGTGCAAGACTGCATTAATAGAGGGATAGAATCAAGATCACGCGAAATATTAATACCACTTTACAATGCCTTGGTAAGGCCACACTTGGAATACTGCATCCAGTTTTGGTCACCACGATGTAAAAAAGATGTTGAGACTCTAGAAAGAGTACAGAGAAGAGCAACAAATGATTAGGGGACTGGAGGTTAAAACATATAAGGAAAGGTTGATGGAATTGGGTATATCTAGTTTAATGAAGAGAAGGACGAGGGGGGACACGATAGCAGTGTTCCAATATCTCAGGGGCTGCTATAGAGAAGAGGGAGTCAAGCTATTTTCCAAAGCTCTTGAAGGTAGGACAAGAAGCAACGGATGGAAACTAATCAAGGAGAGAAGCAACCTAGAACTAAGGCATAGGCACGGGGTGGGAGGGAGCCCTCAAATCAAGATTTTGACTGATTGAAAACCCTTTTTTATCCCTTTTACTAGGACTTAGCACTAAGCAGTAGATAGGCAAACAGGGACAATCTGTTATCTGGTTTGGGTTAAATAAACTTCATAAGTCAGTTGAGAGGGTCAGATAACCCTTTCTGATAATCCCATTACAAGCTTAATATGCACACATGCTCCTTAACTGGGTGGTTACTTTTTGATGCATGGATAATGCTATTAAAGATGTTATTACTGTGATCACATAATGTATTCATTATTTTAACTGTGTCAGTAGTACAATTAGGCATGCTAGAGCAAAATGAAGTAAAAATGTAAAAGTGAGAATCAATACCACTGATGTATATCAATTCCAATTTCTGTTCCCTTTTGCCCTCATAATTTCAAGATTGTGTCTATGGAAAACTAAAATGGTCACACAGATGAGAACATTAGACAGATTCTGAAAACAGCAATGTCGGTTAATCACTGGTCATTCATAGATATCTGCAAGTGAGAAAAGGTACATCCTGATGCAAACTGCCTCCTATGTACTTACGAGTGATATAAAAATTCAAATGTGGGAGGGCAGACCATGGCTCATTCTGTCACAATGGATATTTTGTCATTTTGGTGTTATCATGGACAAGAATGAATGCCTACACATTCAGCTATTCATATGAAGCAGGTTATGGGGGTGGTGCTTTAAAGCCAAACTCTCCTGAAGCTATTTAGAATTAAAACTTAATACCTTTGGCAAATTTTGACTGCGTTCAGTCACTATAGGATGTTTACACGGCATGCTGACTCACTCCATGTCCGGATCAACATACTGTCACCTGTTATTTGCAGAATCACTTCTCCCTGAGGGTATCTTTCCTTCCCACCAGATTGGATAGAGCAGAGGTAACAAACTCGCCATGTCACGTGATGTGTTGCCCATTGTCGGGGCTGGAGTAGGTGTGGTTTCAGCATGATGCATCTGGCCTGTGGGCTGGCAGTTTGACACCCCTGGGATAGAGTATGCACACTTCAGAAATCTTTCAACTTAGTGGGACCTCCAAAGTGAATCTTTTTGGTGGCTGGCCGTACCTTAAGGATTTGACAATCTCCCAGCCTTTTAGCTTTTCAGAAGGCCATCAAGACTTGACTTACCCAGGACCTAGGATAGAATGAGGACATCTGGGTTTTAGGGCATCCCATGGGGTTGACTGAAGTGTTGGCTCTTGGTTTTCTGGCTTATGATTATGGGATTTTACAGTTGTTATGTGCCATCCAGAATTGTGTTTAAGGTGGCTAGCCATATATCCTTTTAAATAAAATAAATAAATAAATAAATAAATAAATAAATAAATCTGTACTGTTGAACTTACAGTTCTGGAATTGCCAAGGAGAACTGAAGGATGTTGCTTCCAAAACTACTGAAGCATCTTTCAGGTGTAGAATAGAATACAGAGCAACAGAACTGGAAGGGACGTTGAAAGATGAATCAAGTAAAAACAATGTTTCCAAGTAGAGTTTGTTCAGGAATGTCATATTTCTTATAAAAATGTCATCAGCTACTTTAGCTTCATAATGCGATCAAGAGGAACTTGTAATGATTTTAATAACAAAAGGCCACAAGGTTCAAGTAGACAGCTTGATCTTCAGGTTTCCCCAGTCATGTTCTGCTACATGCCTTTCTTCTTCTTCTTCTTCTTCTTCTTCTTCTTCTTCTTCTTCTTCTTCTTCTTCTTCTTCTTCTTCTTCTTCTTCTTCTTCTTCTTCTTCTTCTTCTTCTTCGTCTTCTTCTTCTTCTTCTTCTTCTTCTTCTTCTTCTTCTTCTTCTTCTTCTTCTTCTTCTTCTTCTTCTTCTTCTTCTTCTTCTTCTTCTTCTTCTTCTTCTTCTTCTTCTCCTTCTCCTTCTCCTTCTCCTTCTCCTTCTCCTCCTTCTCCTTCTCCTTCTCCTTCTTCTAACAAGTTTTATTGATTTTTTTATTTTTACAACAAAGTGCTTGAGAAACAACGTGGTGATGGGGTAATCAATCATCCAAAAACAAAATCATACATATATAACTCAGGTTAAATCATTAGAAACTCCCTCTCTATTTCCCTCAAATAATATAATATATTCAAATTAATGTATTTTTCAATAAAATTCAATCAATCAGAACAATCATCAATAATATTTCATCTGTATAAATCCAAATCTCGTTTTTAAGCTTTACTGTTTACAATTTCCATATTCCAGTTTGGCTTTTAAATAAACATATTATTAACACTTTAGGTGTCCCTCCTTTCCCTTTTTCCTTAGCATAATCCTTATCTATAAAATACACATATTATTTCAACCATAACATTCTTATATTTTCTACAAGTATTCTATTTTTTAATCTAGTAACTCATTTATTAATACCATTTCTTCTTTTATCAGAAATTCCTCTTATTCTCCTTCCATTACCAAATAGCTATCCTTCCTAGAAATAAGAATATTACTCCAAAAATACATTTCTATCTATTTTAAATCTATAATCTATCAATCAATCTATATCTCTGAAAAACTCTTTTAACCCACTCAATAAAGTTTAAATCCGGTCCAAATAATTGTTATATCCACAACAAGCATATTAATACAGAAAAGCATCTTTTTACTAAGTTCGCATATTTGATTAATCTTTATTAAACCAAGATCTCTAAAGCCTTGTTTACCCGTCAAGTAAAGTTTTAAATCACATTTTTAAATCTAACTCTGGCTTCCTTTCTGTGCCAGTCCGGTTTCCACAATAGAGCTTCTATATCGTCGAGTCTCAATATCAATATACTTATCAATACTTCAATCTGGGCCAAGTTCTCTTTCCCTTCTTCCAATATCATCTGTATAGTGTAGACAGTTTGTTTCCATGTTATAGTCACAAGTTGATTATCCACAATGTCACTATTCTCAGTAATTCGTATCTGAGAGTCAGTTCCTATTACTTTTAACACTGCAAGTGTCTCAGTTAGAGTCATTCTTTGATCTTCAAAATTCTCCATAAATTGTAGATTAACATCCATTTGCTCAGTGACT